TACACATTCCTTTTGTTAGTTCTGCAGTAGTACTCCGTAACTTCTGCAGAGTTCAATACCGAGGCCGGCGGTACAGGAAACTTGACCCAGGCCACAACGGTTTGGGTCCATTGGGCCACGTGTAAACCCATGTCGCATCTGGTCAACTGCTGGGATTCCGCTCCATGTGTTGTAATGGCCCCTGGTGGCTCATGTCTAATAAAAGAAGGGAACATGCTTAATACATACTATTCAGTTCGCCTTGTAAAAAATGAGATTATAAGTCACGCGAACACCTTGTGCAAGTAGTCGATGAGTGTCTAGGTTTATCATTCGTGGTGTGAATCCGAATCAATGGAACCTGAATAGCCTCAACGATGCCAATGATTCTTGCGTCTTGCTGACACCCTGCGTAAATATTAGAGATGTACATGCTCCGTACTTGGTAAAAGTTGCACATGGATGTGGAAGAAGTGACAAAACAACATCCTCCCCATCGCTACCATGGACGCCGGCTGCGGACACTGGGTGGAGGTTTCACCTTGCTTCAACAGGATGCCGTGGCGATCTTGTCTTGGGTCCCTTGATCGCCATGCCAGTCTGAGCTCTCGCGTCTCGCCCGGCTGAGTTGCCACGCGCCAATCATGGCAACGTCCGCCTAGTCCGTCGCTCCGATGGATTCTGGCTTCTGTATTTCGTATTCCGTGGCTGTTTATGGCACGGTAAGAAAGTAAGACTGCGTGGATGAAGTCCGGGGTGAAATTTTAGACCTCGTGGACTGTAAGACAGTGAGTGCTAGAGCCAGGCCGCCGACTCTTGGGTCTTGCAGTAGTACTGTGTGTTGTGTCCCTCAGAGCGCAGCATGCATAGCAGCAGTACCAGACGATGTATGGCAGCCTCATGAGTTGGTTGGTGGCGCCGTGCAAGCCATGATGCGTTGTGTTTGAACAACAGCTTCAAGAGGAAGCTTCGAGGTCGCGTTTCTGAACACTCTTGTGCCCCCCTGTCGGCTTATGTGCGTGATGGACGGCTAGATGTGTTTCTATGGCACACCAACGGTAGCTGATGTTTCGCACGAGCCTCGAACTAGTAACTCAATAATTCGTGTCTAGCATGTACTGTCAGTGGCCAATGAACGACAGGACAGCAACATGTCGACCATATCCTCCGTAGGGATGGACATAGTACATACTGTATGTACGTCGTCGAGACGAGGTATGGCCGCGTTTATCTGGGCGCAATTTCCAGTCCGAGGTCCTGGCTGTCAGAATAGAGATGACTACCCGTCAGCGACTAATAAGTGCGGGTAGTATGCTGAGACATCAACGGCATCGTGGTCTAGCTTCGACACGACTCCATCATCCAGGTGGGTCTGTCGTCAAGGAACGGTGGGCTTTAGCTGCTTAGTCATACCAAGTCAGCTTGCAGGATGGCGGCTTCTTGGAAGCCTTGCTGAGATGACCATGGGTTTCAAGGCTGGCCAAGTGGCTGTTCTGGCCGCCAACCATTTCAATATTCCGATAGACATTGGCAAACTGGCAAGCTTCTTACATGGACACAGGGGCCAACACCAGCAATTTGTGCGGTTTTGCAGGCCAACCAGCAAATTGTTCTCCACAGTGTCATTTTTACTCCGTCCCTGTTCTAACCTCGCTCTAGCGCGCCCGCCCGACCGGACATGGAGAATATCCCACAGACGTGGCAATGGTATGAACAGGGGTACACAAATGGTGGGAGTGGTAGTACTCCGTACTGCGAGCATGGGCGGCCGTCCACCATCCAAAAGAGAAAACAACGGCGAAACGATTTGACAGAACAAGCTTGCCGAGATATGATCATCAGTCCCAGTAATGACTAGTTCGTACATTACTCAGTACACAGGCCATCGCCATGATCTCCCGACCTTCAACGCGCCTTTCCTGCAGGTCATCGAAAGCCACCAATAGTGCTGAGCTCTCTACCATTAGCGAGGCCAGATGGGCTGAGCTGACTCGAATGCTGCCTGTTCATCCGAATTGCCCGTTGCCAGGTTGTTCCCGGCTTCGAGAAGATACATACATATACACACACGCGCGCGCGCACAGCAAGTATTTCTCAGTAGCCAACCTAAGAAACTAAGGCCTAGACGCGCAATCACCAACCAGCCCCATACGAACGATGGACAGATTGGGTAAATGAGCTAGGCCATCTATTTCTACATGGTTGGTGTATCCAGGAATTGTGAGATTCAGGATGTGCCTCACAAAAAAAGAACCAACAGCAGCAACAACAACAACCAGGAACCTAGTAGAGTCGTCGTTTCGCATGTGTTCAGAAGATAGGCGCGGGTCATGGACTCGAACTCGACCTGTGAGTACCTCTGTATTGAGTCTTCCATTGTCGCATGCCGGAAGTGTGTTCAAAACCCAAAACGATGCATGCGCGCAGCGTGGAGTCCATCCGGGATGCCACAAAACAGAAACTATCTACGGAGTACAGCATGTACATACAGATGCACTCTGTACAATGTACTGGTATCTTTGTCTGATTGTTGTACTATGCCACCTCGGTGCCTCATGGCACCAACCATCCACACCAGGTCCTCCCGCTGAGGCTGCGAGTTGCTGCATTTCGTCCCAGGCCTCCGACAATGAGCACTCCTGAATGTGGTACAAGCAACCTCTGGTTTTTATTGTCCTACTGCGACTGTGAACTAGGGCTATCGGCACTTCGGAAGCATTACTAGTAGTATTAAGTTGGGTCTGTTAGGCGAGGCTTATAGTACATAGATTTGCAGGCTACGTATTGGCAAATGTTTTTTCATGATGTGTAAACGAGCAACCCTGGATTGATAATATGCCCGCCATACTCCGTGCATAGGCAGCAAGTATATGCCCACTCGGTGGCGTAGAATGACGCGGGGGTGGGCAAATGCTTACCTACTTGGAGGTACCATGTATTGCCTGCCACCGTATCGTCATGAAACGAAACGGGTGCGCGATTTGACTATCTAGGCCACCGGTACTCTGAGAGCCGGCTTCATTAAATACTTGATCTGCTTGGCCAGGAAGGACTTGAAATTGGCGCTGAGCCTTGGGAATAGTAGACGCCTCGGACGCTCGCGCGCGGCTTCTTGCTGTTTCGGCTTTTTGCCATCTTACTACTTAAGTACGTAAGTACTTTGGCTCAATTCTCAAACCACAACAGGCTCAAATTCAAATTACTAGTAGTATGGATGACCCAACGCCCGGGACCACCCAGTCGACTACGCGGTCTGGGCTTGCGATGCGAACAGACCACCCTGCGCACTGAACGCTCACATATCGTATCGCCTTATATTGCATGTATGTATAATTTTAGATCCCAGCGCCGTTCTGGAACAGTAGATTGGCATAATGCGCTGTGTTGGGTGGTCTCCCACAGGTGTCTCGGCACATGGGTCTTGGTGCTCTCCTAACAGAGTAAACAAATGATTCAACTTGTCCTCGAGTGCGGAATGTAAAAGCAACGGAGTACGGCGTACATGACTTGATGGTAGGACGACCCTGCGCTACCCTGTCCGTTCATGTTGAGCTAACAGTGGGTCGGTAGATTGATGGCGGCTGGATGTGTTGGATGTTGGTTGGATCATGACGGCGTGTCCAAATGCATTGTGCTGGTAAATTGTCACGTTGTTATCAATCGCACCCCTGTGGCCGCGGTGCATTTCCAGTAGTACATCGAGTCCGTACAATACACACATTCAATGTTTCCATTTCCCCTCCTTTCATGCACCTGGTGCTCTTTCTTGTGCCTGGTTGGGACACCGCCGTTGCCTACTATTCTGTGATGCAGAAACAATTGAAGAGTGTCGACAGCGACCTGTCATTACGGTATTTGCAAAGACCATGGACCACCAAGGCCCGGCGATTGCATAGTCTTATGTATGGAGTATTATAGGCAGTTGGAAGTGAGGCGCGGGCGTGAGGCGCCGTAGTCCGTGACATTGAGGAGAACATTGAAAGCTTGGCTTGGGGTTGGACTGGAGTCACTGGACCTAGTACTAGACGTAACCTCCAGTCCTCCACGTTCACCCAGAGCTCGCTCCATCCTCACTCGCTTTGCAAGCACCGAGTTGCTCCATCCAAGACTCCGTTGCAGCGTCGAACATCCACCCTCGAGCACCCAACAACCCTCCCGTCCTCGAATACTCACCAGAACCACCATACCCCCAAACATCCACCCAACGCCCCCCGCCGTCGCTCCACGTCAGTTGGTGTGGCTTCGACCCGGTCCCCGTCCCCGTCCTGGTCCTTGTCACACCTCGCCCTGTCGTTCTCTGGGCCTGCCGCTCACCTGTCCTCTGCTGCGCCAGTAACAGCACTCGGGCTGGCTAGTGAGAGCACTCGAGGTCACCTCGCTGACAGACGGCCTGCCTTTAGCGAACCTTTCCTTTCTGAGGCCTTCCCGCTGGTGGTTCACTTACTCATGATCTTATTACTCCCGTGGTCGTCACTTGCTGCTCCTGTCGTTGCCCATTGCTCCCAGCCCGTCGCCTCTGCCCCGTCTCGGCTCTGACCGGCAACATACACAAGGCAACTCTGTCAGAAAAAACGAGGCTCGAACTATTCCTGTCCCCCAGCCTCGTTCTCGAGTATTCACAATCGCTAGTTCCGCCCAACTGGCCGTCATCTAGCTCGGAGTAAGCAGGCCCCGCAAGGAAGTGGCCTAGCAGAGAAAGCGAGCGAGCGAGCGAACGAGAATCAATACAACATAATATTAGCTCACGGTACATTGTTGATACTGCTCGACAGCTGCACAACCTTCACATAACGCCGACCGGGCCATCTTACGGGCCAAACCGACCTGGGCTGCTCGTTGTTGATAGCAATCGACACAGATTTGCTGTGCTGCCGCGCATCCCCACCGCGACGAATCGACAACAGCAATGCGTGAATAGTTGCATCAATCGGCGACGACCATTGACTGCACAGCTCGCCAGCTCCTGGTGTTGAGCCTCCTTCGCGCCGGCGTGGAAGCGTCGAGGAAGAAAAGTCTTCATCATGGGTGGGTGTATGAGCTCTAACAGCGAGGAGGCGGAACAGAAGAAGAAGAGTCAAGCCATCGACAGAGTAATAGAGGAGGATTCGAAAAGGCTACGGAAAGAATGCAAAATTTTGCTCTTGGGTACGGCACCCAAGGCCCCCCTTTGAGACTGTGATACCTGGCGGTTGCACTCTCTTGTCGCTGGCTAACTGTTGTTTGAATAGGTTCTGGCGAAAGTGGAAAGTCTACCATCGTCAAGCAGATGAAAATCATCCATCTTAAGGGATATTCAGAAGATGAATTGTATAACTATCGACCCACTGTATTTAAAAATCTTGTCGAATGCGCAAAAGCCGTCATCACCGCGATGCAACAATTTGACATTGAGCCGCAACTGGAAGAGAATAGGCGACACATCGAGTACTTGATGGAATATCAAGCCGAATCTGGCCCACAGGCACACATTGATCCCCAAGTTGGCGCAGCTATTCAGTCGCTCTGGGCCGACCCTGCGAGAGAGCGGTTGATGGAGCACCAGACCGAATTCTATCTCATGGATTCCGCAGAATAGTGAGCAGTGTCTCTATCTCTGAATCTTCAGACCCAAAGTCTAACACAATTGTCAATAGCTTTTTCCAGGAGGTGTTACGAATAGTTGCCCCCGACTACCTGCCGAACGAAATGGATGTGCTGCGAGCTCGTACCAAAACCACTGGCATATACGAAACGAGATTTCAAATGGGCCAGTTGAGTATTCAGTGCGTTTACACTTACACATTTTCCCAATCAAACGTCAATGCTGACTTCCGGATAGTATGTTTGATGTCGGTGGGCAACGAAGCGAAAGAAAGAAGTGGATTCACTGCTTCGAGAACGTTACGTCAATTATTTTCTGCGTCGCTCTCTCCGAATATGACCAAGTTCTCCTCGAGGAGAGCAGCCAGGTTAGCCGATGTTAATTTGCTGGGCATCACGAGCTTCTAAGACTGACCGGCGATGTTAGAACCGTATGATGGAAAGTTTGTTGCTGTTCGATTCTGTGGTGAATTCGCGCTGGTTCATGAGAACTAGCATCATCTTGTTCCTCAACAAGGTTGACATTTTCAAGCAAAAGCTGACTCGATCGCCATTGGGAAATTATTTCCCAGACTATTCGGGAGGAAACGACGTGAACAAGGCCGCAAAATATCTCTTGTGGCGATTCAATCAGGTGAACCGAGCACATTTGAATCTATATCCTCAGTAAGTCTTGTCATTTTGACCAAGTACTGCGTAGCCGGTGTGCTGACAACCGAATTCAGCTTGACACAAGCTACAGACACATCGAATATTCGACTCGTTTTTGCCGCCGTCAAAGAAACCATTTTGAACAATGCTCTGAAAGACTCGGGAATCCTATGATGGGGACCGCTGTACTATGTTCATGATTTGAGCAGGCGGACTACAGGGTGCTGGCGTCTTAGAGCATTTCATGGAGTTTTGGGGGGGCGTTCCTGATTTCGTACGTTTGGTGATGCCCACGGACGCGGCTTTCTTCTGTTTTACTTGTTTCACGACCCGGCCAATACAGATGGCCATATTAATTCACCCAGTCACGGCGAAAAAACGTCACCCGTGCCGAGCCTTTTCTTACTCGGCAGCCCCTGTAAGTGCAGGCGCGCGGGCACAGGCTTGAATGTGCGACCCTCAGCCCTTCACAGTGGCTTGGCGCTTACGGCACTACGGCGATAAGAAAAGAAGGACTTGAATGGAGACAAGACTATGCAATTCAGTACATCGGATAATGATGAAGTCTTGTGAAGACTGGAATGACGACATGTTTGATATGACTATCCGGAGGGCGAGTTCTCTACAATTTGGATATTGCGGAAATGTCAGGATCCCTGGAGAAAGAAAGGTCAAGGCTCGCGGTTGGCGTCGATAAAAATAAGAAAAGGCCTTGAATGATTGCAGAGTCGATACGGGTGTGTGGTGGTGATTGCTATTGAGCAGCAGGGAGCACGATGGTCCCGAATACCCCAGCCGTGTAAATAATGCTAGCATAATGAATTCGTTTTTCGGTGAGTGTTTAGCGTGCACTGCTCGACTCCTTGTCTCTCTCTCTCTTTTTTTCCTTTCCTTTCTTTTTTCTTTTTCAACAAAAACTTTTCGTTTAATAGTGTTTCTAGGATGATGGAAATACTAAAGACCAGGTGTTCGTCCACTTCAGCTATACTCGGTATGCCTTCAGCCATCAATTGATCGCGTCTAGCACAGGCCAGACAGCGGAAAAATCAAATAGGGTTGACGAACCTAGCGCCCGAAGTTGGCCAATTGCCGTATGCCATGGACCACCTCATGCTCAAAGTCGATGCAGCTATCGAGACACATTGCCGTGTCCCCATATGCTGGTGGCCAAGGCGGCTCGACCGTGAACAGTTGTGGGGCCGCATCGTAATAGCTCACCAGCTCCATCGTGGTCGGGAGATGGCTCAAGGCCTCTCCACACCAGACATGTAGACACCTCCTCGGTAGCGCGAGGACCAACGTTGAGGAGAGTCGGGATGCAGAATGACGTCTGCATGATTTGTATACGTGCTGCGAGAAGATGGTCATGGCATGGCAAAGGAGCAGCACGATGAGGAGACATATCCCTCGATGCATGCTGGGCCAGTCTACATTGCTAGATACCGTGGCCTATGGCCTACTTGGGCAAGTTGCTGCTCCGGAGCGGCCGGGCTACCGTTAATAGTGTATGTACGTACGAACGATGGCGTTGCCAGGTCCAGCGTGCCAATCTGGACCGCCGTACATCTGAAAAGCTTGACGGAATGCATGGATTGACGATGGACAAGGCCACAATGACGGAATGGAAAGTATATGTGGCCGTGGTGTCTGGTGTGTTAAGCTCTGTTGTTGCCAGGCCCTTTTCCTTTCCCCTCTCCTGCTCGCGTTGCCCTTTATTAGCCATTTCAAGTCCCTAGCTGTGTACGTTGGCATTTCTTGTTCTCGTCAAGCTCACCTTGTTGGTCTTTCCCCGCTTTCACCCTCCTCACCCTCGAGTGCTGCTCTTCACCCCACCATAGCTCTCAAGTGCTCCTCCGAAGCTGCAACAGCCCACTACTTACCCGGGGTTCGAGGTAGGCCGAAGCTCTCTCTTCCCTGTGCGTGACAATTTGCTCTCCGAGCAATTGAAGTTTGGGAAAGCTGCTATCGTGAAAGACTGGCTGATATTTGAAATTTAAAGTTCCTAGACGTCCATACCATGGCCACTGAACAACAACGACTGCCGACGAGGGAACGTCGCCCCTCCACCTCAGCTCCCATTGTGGATATCACTGGTGGTGTTGGGCCTGCTGGCATCTCTCGTCCGAAGCACAAGAGGACCTTTACGGGCTTCGGGCCCGGGGAAATCAAGAGCGTTGAGGGTGAGTGCTGCTGTAATAACTGCCGAGTACATGGTGGAAGACGGATTGTCGACTTTGTCCTGCCGTTGTTGTCTCACATGATGCTTGTACTACTCGGGAGCACCCATGTCTGCCGGAGACCGCAGCTAATCGACTTGCAGCCTCCATCCCCGAGCCTCAGCGGGAAGCCTGGAAGCGAAACCAAATAACCAGCTTCACTGACAAAGACGGGTTCGAAAAGGAAGTCGTGCGCCATGTGGAAACCACACTCGCCCGAAGCATGTTCAACTGCGACGAAATCGCCGCTTATTCTGCTACGAGCCTTGCCTTTCGCGACCGTCTCATCACTCACTGGAACAGGACGCAGCAGCGTCAGACGTACCGCGATACCAAAAGAGTGTATTACCTGAGCCTGGAGTTTTTGATGGGCAGGGCCCTGGATAATGCGATGCTGAATGTTGGCCTGAAGAACGTCGCCCAAGGTATGCAGTTTCTTCGCGCTTTCGCATTTGATTGCTATGATTGTGTGTAAGTGACTGACTTTGTGTCTGTGCTGGCAAGACGGCCTTGCGGAGCTCGGTTTCAGAATCGAAGATGTTGTCAAGCAAGAGCACGATGCTGCCCTTGGAAACGGTGGCCTGGGCCGCCTGGCAGCCTGCTTCCTGGACAGCCTGGCTACGTTGAACTTTCCCGCATGGGGCTACGGCCTACGATACCGCTACGGCATTTTCAAGCAGGAGATTATTGACGGATATCAGGTCGAAGTTCCTGATTACTGGTTGGATTTTAACCCCTGGGAGTTTCCCCGTCACGATGTGACCGTAGACGTATGCCTCCTTCCTTCGTATCTTCCGAAACAACATCTCGCTAACCGTGTAGTTGCCTGTAGATCCAATTCTTTGGCCAGGTTAATAAGAAAACAGTTGATGGCAAAACTGTATCCGTTTGGGAAGCCGGCGAGATTGTCCAGGCCGTTGCCTACGATGTCCCCATCCCAGGCTACGACACTCCGACGACCAACAACCTCCGTCTATGGTCGAGCAAAGCCTCTGGCGGAGAATTCGACTTCCAGAAGTTCAACAGCGGCGACTATGAGAGTTCCGTGGCGGATCAACAGCGCGCAGAAACTATAAGCGCGGTGCTGTATCCCAATGATAACCTTGAGCGTGGCAAGGAATTGCGTCTGAAGCAGCAGTACTTCTGGGTAGCAGCGTCGCTGTATGATATTGTGCGCAGGTTCAAGAAATCCAGGAGGTCATGGAATGAGTTCCCTGATCAGGTGGCGATCCAGTTGAATGACACACATCCTACGCTGGCGATTGTGGAGTTGCAAAGGATTCTGGTCGATATCGAAGGCTTGGAGTGGGATAACGCGTGGGAAATTGTCACGAGCACTGTAAAGTCCTCCCTCTTGTATGCGTTCCGTTATGTTTCTGGATGACGAGCTAATGAGGATTAATGGCAGTTTGGATACACCAACCATACGGTCCTCCCAGAAGCCCTCGAGAAATGGCCTGTTGGCCTGGTCCAGCACTTGCTCCCTCGGCACCTCCAGATCATCTACGACATCAACCTGTTCTTTTTGCAAAGCGTAGAAAAGGCCATCCCTGACGACAGAGACATGCTCCGCCGGGTATCCATCATTGAGGAATCCCAGCCCAAGATGGTACGCATGGCGTTCCTGGCCATCGTCGGCTCTCACAAGGTCAATGGCGTGGCGGAACTCCACTCGGACCTCATCAAGACCACCATTTTCAAGGACTTTGTTGAAATCTACGGCCCGGACAAGTTCACCAATGTCACAAACGGCATTACACCACGCCGCTGGCTGCACCAAGCCAACCCCCGCCTGTCCGAACTGATTGCCTCCAAATGCGGCGGCAATGACTTCCTCAAGGACCTAACGCTTCTTAACCAGCTGGAGAAGCACGTTCAAGACAAGCAGTTTCGCAAGGAGTGGGCAGAGATCAAGTACGCCAACAAGGTGCGTCTGGCGAAGCACATCAAGGACACTACTGGCGTTGTTGTCAATCCTGCCTCCTTGTTTGACGTGCAGGTCAAGCGTATCCACGAGTATAAGCGTCAGCAGCTGAACATCTTTGGCGTTATTCATCGGTATCTGAGCCTCAAGGCCATGACGCCCGACCAACGTAAGAAGCAGTTGCCGCGCGTGAGTATCTTTGGCGGTAAAGCTGCGCCGGGGTATTGGATGGCCAAGCAGATTATCCACCTGATCAACTCGGTAGGCGCGGTGGTGAATAAGGACGAGGATATTGGTGACTTGCTCAAGGTTATTTTCTTGGAGGATTATAACGTGAGCAAGGCGGAAATAATTTGTCCTGCTTCGGATATTAGCGAACATATTTCGACCGCTGGAACAGAGTATGTTTCCCCTCGTCATTGGTCTGTTTCGTTTCAGAGAATCCAGAGCAGGCAGAAGACTTCTTCTCATTGAACGAAATGGTACTGACGTTTTCACAGGGCCTCTGGAACCAGCAACATGAAGTTTGTCCTCAACGGCGGCCTCATCATTGGCACCTGCGACGGCGCCAACGTAAGTCTCCAACACTGCAAGGTTCAGTATGTAACCGTGTGCTTCAGACCTCTAATGGTAGCAGATTGAGATTACGCGTGAAATCGGTGAAAGCAACATCTTCCTTTTTGGCAACCTCTCCGAGGACGTCGAGGACCTCCGCCACGCTCACACTTATGGCTCCCACACAATCGATTCCGACCTTGACAAGGTCTTCAACGAGATTGAAAAGGGCACGTTTGGCACCCCGCATGACTTCAGCGCCATGATCGCCGCAGTCCGCCAGCATGGTGACTACTATCTCGTGTCGGACGATTTCCACAGCTACATTGAGACGCATCAGCTCGTAGATGAGGCGTATCGCAACCAGGATGAATGGATCGCCAAATGCATCACGTCAGTTTCTCGCATGGGCTTTTTCACCAGTGATCGGTGCATTAATGAGTATGCTGAGGAGATTTGGAACGTTGAGCCGCTTGCTGTTGACAGGCACTAGTTTTTGTCTTGGGACTAGCACCATCTGGGTCCCGTAAACAGATCACTACATTGGGATCCTCAGGGGGGGACACATGATTTTTGCATTTGGAATTCTTTGTTCTTTTGTCCTTTTTTTAGTATTATTTTATTTTCATTAGGGTATATTTATGGATAGCTTTACATATACACTAAATAGTAACGTATGCGACGCGATCACAATAGTATTCGTACAAGATGCGCGAGTATATCGGAGCTGTCTGGTAGCTTTCAGCTACTTTCACCATGAGTTTTCGCTGCAGGAAACGACGTCATCGCAACGGATAGTAGCACCGGGTTCAGGTTCTGGGCCGAAGCACACTTGGAAGGGTAGGCCCGCGTCCCCAGCTTGGGTTGTGGCTTGAGTACCAGGGACCTGAATTCATGGCCAATTTCTCCTTCCTTCTCGGGGAATCGTGTTCCAAGGGTGGCATCGGATTGTTTGCCATGGGTTGCCGGAGCATTTCGTCCACGAATGCTGACGCCTCTCGGCCCGCCGCGCCGATTCTGCACTGAGGCAGCGATGGACGGGCAGACCAGATCGGAGGACGCAATGGGGCATTAGCAGATAAGAAGTATCTCAGCATGGCGGCCAGGCAGACAAAAGACATGTTCCTGGCTAAGATAGCGTTAGTCCCTCCCGATCTCTGCGTCCCTTGAAGGGGTACGGAGTGCAGGCCACATTGATTTTTTAGCGCAGCTCTGAAAAGACAGGGCATTGGCGCCGAGGTGCTTTTGGGGTCCGAACTAGAGTACGGAGTAGGCGTTCTCCAATGTTGGAGACGGGTCCCTGCTTTGCAGCCGGAGGACAACTTGGTTGAACGAATCGCGGTGTGCGGGCTTGGACACAAAATGCATTTTTCGCACATGCAGATTTCGCTTGTCGTTGGGCACCCTGCCATGATGATGAAATTGAGGGGCGTGTGGCGCAGAAAGAGGAGGACAACGTAAAGGATCCTTGAATTTATGATCATCTGTCGACTCGCCGTAACAACGCCTATGACGTAGGTGCGTGTTGTGCCCGTTTGTTGTCAAGGTCCCGATGCACATCCTTTTCCCCTGCCGTGGCGGGGGAGGGGTAACAAGGCATTACTAGTATTCTTGAACATTCGACGCATTTTGCACGACAAATCGACGTGTCAGATGGGTATTCTCAGCCACTTGGGCCCTTGTTGATGCAGAATTGCATGGAGACTATCGAGTGTCCACTGCTGCCGTCGAAGTTGGCTAGCTGGTCCCCGAAGCTAAGTCGTGGCAAGATTTCCGGATTAGTATGCATGTCGATGAAAAGTCGTGCAGATTTGAACATCGTCGGGAGTCTGGTGTCGTCACAAACCATCTCGGATGTGCCAGCCTGCCGAGTGCCAGGCGTTTGTGCAACGGGATTTTACACTTGTAAATTCGGTTGTCGCTGTGGCTTGTTGTATTTGTCGGGTAGAGGATTTCTATGAATGCGCACTGCTCCGAGAGTGTGGTTGGGAATCGATATCCCGATACCTGGGCGGAAGGGTCAAGCGTTGTTGGCATGAAGCCTCGGAAGTTATCTGAGCGACAAAGAAGCCGAATGTCCAAATAAATTGGCAGATAGATGCAGCCATGATTTAAGAGGAAAGAGCGAGTGTCAGCACTTGTCGCTGGCTCCTAGGGAACCCCCACGTCGTTATTCACCACTGATACTCTTGCTTTCTGGATGCTCTCCTCGCTGTCCTTCTTGCTTCTTGATCAATTCTTTGCTCCCAGCACCGCCTTTCGCGACATTTCTCGGCGGATGTTGAGGCAAGCCTTCAAAGTTCAGTCTAGCTCTGCCCTCTGAAGTGGCTCTCTTCCCAGCGCTTGGGGCTTGCGATGCAGCGTCGCTGGCACATGCGCCAACACCAGGGTGCTGCAGTGCCTGGGATCTCGATCGATGATCCACTCGAAAAGGGCCAGCCTCAGCACAGCCATTCGCTCTGGTCGAGCTAACGGACACGCCCACCCCCGATGCAATACCTAATGATCCCTATTTGCCAATGACCTGTCTCGAGCGGACACGCCTCCGAGGACCATCAACTAACACGGTTACCATGCCATACGCCCTGGTTGAAGTCAAAGCCCAACTCACAGACAACGGGTCGGCTGCTTCATTCCTATCCGCATCCTAGCCGGCCGGCCCCTGCCTGGTCTTGGTTTCGGTTCTGTTGTTTTGTGCTGTACCGTCCTGTTCTTGCTTGATCCCATGAGCAAAGCCCAACCGAGACGGATCCGAATATTACGACATTACCTCTCACCGTCCTCGCACCACCACTTGCTTATTTACTCCCTTGTTTCCTCTCTCCCTCAATACCACTGTCGATAATCATTGATCATATAAGGTTCGAGGATCCGCGGCTTAGTCTTCAGCTCTCTCTGCATTGCGAAGCATTGAAGGGTGATAACAATAACCGTTCAGCCACCCTCGGTTAAGTTCTTGACAGAGCTGGGGAGGTTCTAGAACAACAAAAACAGGGCGGGATCTTTAACGCTGCTGGCCAAAGCTTGGCTACTCCCAACTACAAACAGTACGTTCCTCTCTGACGGCGCTGAACAAGATCGTCTGTCGATGCCGGCCTGGTTAACACGGTCGCAGTTTGATTGTTATTGTGTAACACCTCTCACAGTTTCTATCTATACTCTCAGAGGTGCGTAACGTGTGATACCATGAGACTCTCTGCCCCCTCCCACCGACAGAAACAACCCGAACGAACACACCGGGCGCCCCGGCACCCAGGAGCTTTGGACTGGTCTGTCAACGCTTCCGTTTCGTCCCACCCTCTTGCACCCGCTCTTGTCTAGCAAGCATAAATGAGGCCGAGAGGATTCACCCATTAGGGAGCTCAAGTCATGTATCCCCCAGCACTTTGTGGGCACGGTTGGCTCGCAACACTTGGCAAAAGAAGACAAATAGAATGCCTAGGAGGTTCTAGCGGAGCACTATTACGCAGAGCCTGCTGGGTGCGAATTCTTGGAGCGCTCATTCCCATGCTGCTGAGAGTCGCAATGCAGCCGTGAGCCGTTTGAGTGGACGGTGAGCAAACAGCCAAACAAGCTGTTGTATTGGCACATGAAGGACACCTATGGAAACTCTATTTGGCCGCTCCACAGAGGCACAGGGAAATCTGTCCCTTATGGCAGGCTTAGGACATGCTCACCGACATCGACATTGTGCCGACGACACAAGTACAAATGCATTTGATACTGGGTCCCTGTGGATTGGCATTGATCGTTGGCGCGAAGCTGGTGGCGCCCCAAATGCCACTGGAGCCCGAGAGCCTTTCCCCCACCTGCAGCTCAGACGCACGAGTTTCCTTCCTCCGTTTCCAGCCAGACCGCAAAGCTTCCCTCTTTTTGACTCAACTTTGTCCCCGATTTGATCTTTCTCACTCGCATCACCCCGAGGCTGCAATTGCCACCAGTGACCCGCAGTCACATCGCCATTACTGACAGTTTTTCAGTCTTTTTGCTCGGCTCGTCCAGCGACCGATACCAGAGCCTCGCCAAACCCGCCGTCTGGCTTGCCCCGCTCGTCCATCTGCGTTGCGACAAGATTTCCTCCAGTCACGAGCAAATTGCTGGCTGCCGCAGGTAAACCTGGGCACACAGCATTTCGTACAAACTGCGCGCACAGCCGAAATTGATCGGCCGATTATCCAGGCGCAGGGGATAGCCACAAACTACCACTTGCGTTCCTGGCATCGGAGCCTCGTTGTTTTCATTCCCATAACCACCCCGCCATCTCGAGGTCCAGGACACCGTAGTTCCAACCGCAGCAATGGCCGAATTCGTACGCGCCCAAATCTTCGGCACGACTTTCGAAATCACGTCTAGGTAGGGGAAAGCTTCTAAAAACAATGGGATATTTCAAAGGCGGTTCAATCTGCTGTATACTGACTGGCATTGTAGATACTCTGACCTTCAGCCTGTGGGCATGGGAGCATTCGGTCTGGTTTGGTATGTACACTGATTATGCCATGCAGCCGTAATGTACCTTTGGCTAACCCAACGGCCGCCAATAGCTCTGCACGAGATCAACTCACAAATCAAAATGTTGCTGTCAAGAAGATCATGAAGCCATTCAGCACCCCGGTTCTCGCCAAGCGAACATACAGAGAATTGAAGTTGTTGAAGCACCTCAAGCACGAAAATGTATGCCAGTCCTGAATACCGTACCTTGCAGCCTTGTATCTCCTAATACTAACTTATGACGACCAGGTTATTTCTCTGAGTGACATTTTTATTTCCCCATTAGAGGATATGTATGCGTAGTCCTTAGAAGCTTTTTTAAAAGGACATACTAACCTGCTATGCAGCTACTTCGTCACCGAACTCCTTGGAACAGACCTACATCGACTTTTGACCTCGCGACCATTGGAGAAGCAGTTTATTCAGTACTTTTTGTATCAAATCATGGTATGTAACCAAGCGTCATCGAGTTTCCCACCGCTAGACTGACAGTTTACGCACAGCGAGGCTTGAAATATGTCCACTCGGCCGGCGTCGTGCATCGTGATTTGAAGCCTAGCAACATTCTGGTCAATGAAAACTGCGATTTGAAAATATGCGACTTTGGTCTTGCCCGAATCCAAGACCCTCAAATGACTGGATACGTCTCGACGCGATACTACCGAGCCCCTGAAATCATGCTCACGTGGCAAAAATATGATGTCGAAGTAGACATCTGGAGCGCAGGCTGCATTTTTGCTGAGATGCTGGAGGGCAAGCCGCTATTTCCCGGCAAAGATCACGTCAACCAGTTCTCCATTATCACCGAGCTCTTGGGCACCCCTCCTGATGACGTTATCAACACAATTGCTAGCGAAAACGTGAGCTTCATGCCTTGAAATTTTACTGGCCACTCTGTCTACAGTGGTACTAATGTCTTTCAATATAGACACTAAGATTTGTCAAATCCTTACCTAAGCGAGAACGCCAACCCTTAAAGAACAAGTTCAAGAACGCCGACGCCCCAGGTAAGAGTTTCTTCTATAACGAGAGACGTTTTGATACGGGATACCTAATCCGGTGCTATAGCAATTGATTTACTCGAGAAAATGCTCGTATTCGACCCCAAGAAGCGGATCACAGCTACCGAAGCTCTTGCACATGAATACCTTGCCCCGTACCATGACCCAACAGACGAGCCGGTGGCTGAAGAGAAGTTCGATTGGAGCTTTAATGATGCAGATCTACCCGTTGACACGTGGAAGATCATGATGTACGTAACTGCTCCTTCTGCTCATAAGTGTTCTACCTAACCCGCATTGCAGGTATTCCGAAATTCTTGACTACCACAATGTGGAGGCTGGTGTCGCCGCTATGGAAAGTCAAGAGTTCAACGGGCAATAAATGAGTCAATCAAGCGATTTGTATACGCCAGCATGGATAAGCGAATGGTTGGATACCTTGTCGGGTCAGACAACGTCATACGACAGTCATTTAGTGAAAAGACGGTGCTTGGAGCGCAATCACATCTATCAGTACAGAATACACGCTGGCAATGTATGAAGGAGTGGGAGATGAACAGGGCTGGATGTGTGCATGTGAGACTTCGGAGAGGTGTCAATAATATCAAGTCATGGCGTTTGGGAGACTGGTGGGTCGGGGTTACTCTACTTACTACTCATATTTCAACATCCTCTTCTTTGTACAAGGTCTCCGGAATTGTGGAAGCCTAATAGCACGGAGCTTTGCCGGAATAAAATGGTCATCATTAGGGCTTTTACCCCCGCCGTCGTGATGCAGCATGCCTACCGTACGAAGGAAGTTTTGGAGCAAACCAGGTATCACCCAGATTGCGCAGTTCTCTGTTTTGCTTACTGTCATGTTTTTGGAAGTGGTAGGTAGCTTATACTTGGCAGTGGCTAAATATACATTCCTACAAGCTGCGCATACAGAATTTACATGGGCACATTTTTTGAAGCTGGACAATCAATTGGTATCAATTTGTATCAACATTCATCCAAAGTTGCAACTATCAACAAAGGTCCTCATTGATTTTGAAGCTCATAGAGACAGCTTTTCAATGCGCTCCGGCCCATTATGCAGTACCACTGCTCAGTTTTTATCAACGCCAGCCGGGGAGTCTTTCTTTCGTCGTAAATGCCAGTCTATATATGTGTAAGTGATGCCGTAATTCCACATGTATCGAGTTTATTTCTCCTCCAAAAGCCTTTCAAGCTCCTCCATTTCCCCACTATGGTAGACCATGTCATAGAATTGGCCTTTAGCGTCGTAGAGTTCCTTGGGCGAGCCGTATCTGAAAATAGAAAAAAAAAGTATGCAGGTTAGCAACGACGTAACTTGGGGAGGGTGAAGGAATATTAAAAGCTTACTCTAGGACCCTGCCGGCGCTCATGACAACCACCTTGTCGTAGTCAATGATGGTTCGAAGACGGTGGGCAATAGTAACGAGGGTGCGATCGTCATCAGCTGCCTCGAGGTCGTCACGGAGGATTTGCTGGATACCTCGATCGGTCTCGTAGTCCATGCTGGCGGTTGCTTCGTCCAGGAGCATTAGTTTGCTCTTGCGGATTAAGGCGCGGCAGAGAGAGAGGACCTGGCGTTGGCCATGAGAGAAGTTCTCCCCGCGGGCATCTACCTCGGTCGACAGCGTGATGGCCTGGGCGTGTCCACGGATGGCGGCATTGGCGTCATTATCGTCTTCTTCAGTGACATCGCCGGAGAAGGAGGCGATGCCTTTGCAGTTGTCGAGAGCTGCTTCGAGCTGCTCTCGTGGAACTCGGCCGGTTGGGTCAAGATTGGACTCTACGGACCCATTGAACAGGACCGCTTCCTGGGGGATGATGGTGAGACTTTCACGAAGGCGGGTTCGGGGAAGTTTTGTGATGTCCACGCCATCGAATAAGATCTCACCCGATACAATCTCGGTGAATCGAAGTAGTGATAGTACGAGCTGGCATCCGTCAGCATAGAATGCTCCTGATTAACGGTTTTCGGAGACCTTGACGTACAGTGCTCTTGCCAGATCCAGTCCGCCCTACGACGGCAACCCGTTCTCCGGCGTTGAACTTGAGGTTGATATTACTGAGAATGTCTGGGCCATCAGGATCATAGCGGATTGTCACGTTTCGAAACTCAATCTCGCCGGACCGGGGCCAGTTCTTGGGAATAACGTGAGTTTCGTCATCGGCATACTGGCCTTTACCTTCATCTGGATAAGGCCTGTCATTTTTGTCCTCGGACTCCAGCTTCACGTATTCCTTTACTCGGTGGAACTACACTTCCAGTTAGCGAGGCTTTTGCGCAGCAATTTCAATGCTTATTGAATTTTGTAACATACGCTTTGCATCTCAACTTCAAGGTCGTTCATAGCTCGGACCATGTAGAGAACAGTATTGCTGAGATCATTGGCGTTGGTTAGAGAGAAGCCAACCAAACCCGCACCAACAATGCCGGCCTTGGAAATGGCAATGATGCCAGCGAAAAGTGAAACAAGTGACGTGACGAAATCTATCCTAACACCAACCCATCGGTTGCAATTATAGTTTGCCTCAGCCGTTGCAGACCAAATACGGAGCTTGTCAGCAAGGTCAAATCTGAATCCCTGGGCCTTGTCCTTTCTAGCTCGAATAATGGCAAGCCCGGAAAGGGTGTCAGCAAACTGCGAAAATACAGGAGACTGAGAGGATGATGTGAGGCGCTTAATGACGACGGCGGTTCTCGTGTACATTTCCCCAATCAACACACCGATAAAGCAGGTAATAAGCCCAGGAATCATGAAGATGGGCATGATGGAGCTGACAGCACCCAGTCGGAAGAAAAGCATCATGAAAATGTCCACGATTTGACGCACCATGCCGCTAAGATTGCCATCAATTGATGCCATATCGCCAGAGAATCGGTTGGTGATTCGACCCACTGGGATGGTCTTGAACCAAGACAGGGGAACACTCATGATGCTTCGAATAAAGTCATTGTGCAGACGTCTTGCGGCACGCCAGCCGCCCCATTCAAACATGATGACAATAAATCCAAAGGCGATGATCTCGAGAAAAATGAAAGCAGCAAAGATACCCAGGTAATAGGCAACATCTACCGGACCGCCCTTTTCGTATGCTTCAACCCAAATGGACAACCAGAAATTGGCACCGAAATAGAAAATGTTGGCCAGAAACAGGCCAAGTATGCAGGCAATAGCGAAAGATGGGTGACCGAAATATCCCAGATATCCAATCACGGTCCATCTGTTAACTTTACCCGAAGCCTTTGCTTCCTGGTCGACGATGTCCTTGACGGAGACGTCCTGGACAACCTTGTCAGGGTCATTCAAAGCGTCTGATATAGCTTGCAGATCCGGTTCCGGAGGTGTTTCCACCTCGGTTTCACTGCTGTCATCAGCATCGCCTCCGAGGACCTCAGCAATCTTGATCGGTCGGCGCACGACACCGATGTTGGGCTCAGCCGCCTTGACTTGTCCCTTTTCGAGCAAGATGGAGAGATCAGCTTGAGCAGCGATCCATGGAACTTGAGTAACGAGAACCACGGTGCGGCCCTTTAGCAAGTCGCCACAGAAGCAATGTTTCCAGACACCAGCAGAAGTCTTGGCGTCTAGGGCTGCGAAGATGTCGTCAAGTAGCAACAAGGGAGCCTTGGAGTACAGAGCCCTGGCCAGAGCTACCCGTGCCTTTTGTCCGCCAGACAAGGATGTTCCGTTCTCTCCAACCGATGTCCGATCCCCATCTGGTAGCTCGCGCAAATCTTCAGGAAGACAACATGCAGTCAGGACCCGGTCATATCGTACTTTCTCCATTGGGCTACCGAAGAGAATATTGTCTTTGATGGTCTCATTTTGCAGCCACGACGTTTGCGAGGCGTAAGCAATGTCGGCCGGAACAGAGATGGAACCGCTTTCTAGATAGGTCTCTCCCAAAATAGCAAGCATGAGCGTGGATTTTCCGCTCCCACTCTGGCCAGTAACGACATTCAGGCCGCCTTGGACAAAATCTAGTGAAATATCTTCGAGTCTGAAAATGGCCTTCTTGTTCCGCCTAAAATATCCCTTTTCAATGCGGAGCGGCCCCTCAGGGTATTGGACCAGTGGCACAGTGCTGGCAAAGTACTTGTCGAGTCGGCCAAAAGCAACAATAGCACCAGCAAAACTTCGAGCAAAATAGCTGGCCATCATGATGTTTCGACGGATGTTCTTCACAAGATACACCGTTGTGAAAGCCGTAGAAGCTGTCAACCGCTGCTTGTCGATTATGACGTGCAGGCCAAACATGACGAGTAATGAAAGATAAGGAAAGATTTGTGTGATCTGGTTGATGAAAACTTGCAGAACAGACACTCCCCACAACGCCTTTTGTTCCAATGCACGAGATTCGACAATCTTTTCCGTGATTGGCTTCTCCCAGGCAAAGTATTTGATGGCTTTGATGGAAGCCAAATACTCGGTTACAAGAGAAATTCGCGAGTCCTGAGCCTTCCGAACCTTCTTTTGTGTGCGGTACATCCATTTGCCGAGAAGAAAGGAGATGGGAGTTGCGAGCACGAGGATAACGACTCCGACGATGGACACCCAGCCAAGCATCCGGTATAAACCGACAAACGAAACGATGGTTCCAGCAGGAACACCCACCAGGATAATTATAACATCTCGTGCTTTGAAAATAGCCTCGACATCTGCAGCCATGAGGTTGGCCAACCGACCAGCCGAGGTGGCCTTTGTGCTGTTCTCTTTTCCCTTCTTTTCCTTGTCGTCATCAAATTTGCCGGCAAAAGGATCATCTTCAAGTTCCATAGACTCCAAGGCTCTTTGGTACAGCTCTTGGGTCATGGCAGACTTGATACGAACAATGAGTCTGGTGGAAGTGAAGACATATCCCTGGAACAGGATAGATCGACTCATGGGACCGAAGAAGGTGAGCAGTAACCATATCCACGGCCTATACACGGCAGAGCCGGGGTCGTCAAGGTACGCAAGCAGCTGGAACATGCCAAAAGGGGAGACGTTTTCGACAATATATGCAAGGCCAATCAAGATGGACATGAGGGCCAGTTCTGTTCGCTGGAAGCGTAGCGTGGTCCACAAGGTAGACTTGGAGGCAGCTCTGGCCAGCTGAACTTGGCGAAGAAGATAGAGAGGCTCATCATACCAGGCCAACTTTGGAATACCAGACATGTCGAGCTTGCCCCAGGTGCCCTTCCAGATGGTCGGAGTCAGCCACTGGTAGGTGCAGTAGTAGTTGACCCAGCTGGTTTCTTCCTCAAGGGCAGGTTCGTCGGGCACATGGAAACCCGGGATCTCGTAGGCGAGCTGAGGTTGAATCCATTGACGAGGCGTACACATGGCAACAGCCAGGCCGAATGAAAGGGCGCCTGCAGCGCCGACGACGCTGGCATCCTCGGTGCACTCGACGTCGATTTCGATGCAGGGAAGAAGCTGAGCGGTGATCAAGATGGCCAATTCGGCAACAATGATGAGATTGATGTGGTAGAGAGCTTCCTGACGCCACGGGGCCTCTGTGACTAGACGAGTCAATCCAAGGGCGAAGATGTATGCGACAAGAACGACGTTGAGCACGTGAGCGTGTCCTTGGAAAAACGCGGCGGCGAGGAAGGCGAGGGCCGCGGCTCGAGCCATCTGCGACAACACCTCATAGCCCCATCGAAGACCAGACGCCCTGGACTTTACGGCATGGTGTGAAAGGCTGCGTTTTGAGCGTCGTCTGATCAAATGCAGCACGATTAACAGACAAGATGTGGCGAGAACAGTGGCTTGCGGGATGCCAGAGCGAGCGGCACTCGAGGCCTCCACGACCCAAGGTACCTGGGAAGCGGCAGACGAGATGCTACGAATTGTCAGCGACGAACGACTGAATCGGCCAAGTTGCAAAGTGAATTGGCGTTGCGCAGACACAAAGTGCTCGAGTGTATTGAAATTGGACCGTACCGACTCGGAAACGTTTGGGGGCCGTTATCACCGAGCACAACGCGGTTGCGCATAGGAGAGAACTCATAGTCCCGGAACCTGTGTATCACCACGTTCATGGCTGCGACACTTAAGTCGGAGGCCGACGCGAGGATGAGCAAACGGGTGATGAGGTCTCGGCGAAAGCACCAAACAAACAATCAAGCGGGAGAATGGGCTCTGAACGCTGAGCTGCGTCGCAACTTGTCTCGGCCGTCACTCCCTCGGGCCATCAAGCAACCAACATCAGCCACCAGCGGACAACCCCCAGCAGCCCGCAAGGATCATCCAAGTTCCTTGGCGGCGCGGCGGCGGCTGCCGGAACCCACCTGGGGCTTGTCTCCAGCCCTGTTTCCAGAAGTGGTAGCAGGCGACTAGGTTCGTGAGCCTCGATCGAGCCGCCAATCTCGAGCAGCCGTGGTCAAACCGGTTGATCTACCAAGTCCTTGGACGAGACTGCGTGCTTGCAGAGTTGTGAAGAGTCCCAGGTTCCACAATTCACAGATTCTGGGGGACAAGTGGTGACACGAAGACGTGGCAACCATTGCAGGTTGAACCGGTCGACTGGGAATGGTGACGGCTGATCGAGGTTGAGAGGGAACCTCTGATTGACCACATGAGCAACGAGAACACGATACGGGTACCGTAACAAGAATGAGAGGAAACAATTCCAAGGATGAGCCACACCCTCAACGTTGACACAATGCCAGAGGCGTCTCGAGCTGCTCGAATGGGCTTGTTAAACGCTCCCCAATTTACCTTGCCGCGGCGGTTGCTGCCTCGTCTCACCGGTTCAGACGGCATCAACCTACATGTACGGAGTAGTTCGGGCGAACATGATAGCAGTCTGGCACCCCGATTGAGTCATGACAACCTGAAGGACGCATAAAGATTTGGTCTCAAAACAACGCTTGCACTGTCTTTCGAAACCGACACACTTGACTATTCCTATCCCAGCCGTGGAGTTACCTTGAACCCACGGAATGCTGTGCCGGTACGGTCCCGACCCTGGTACTGTACCCATGGCGAACCAACACTTTTGGACTTTCAACACCGTTGCCCGGCCGAGGGCGAGCGAATCACTATCATATATATATATGTCTTGTTTTAAAGCATGAGCACATGGTTTCAATACATGGTCGGTACAATTCGCGGTCGTGTATTTATTCTTGCGGTCGTAGAGCTGCAACTGCAACGCTTGCTGTCAACCAGACTCGGCAAAGATTCATAGGGGGACAAGCTTCCTCTGCACTTGGTTACTTACTAGCATGCTTTCAACAACCTAGTCACGGCCCGGTGGTGGTGGTGGCAGTGCCAGTCGCCGGTGAGCGCCAACGTTCGCCCTAAAGGGAAGGTCGGCGTTCACATGCAAAAGGCTGTTTTGGCTGTCGGGGCTTTTGTGAAATTGCCAGCCGACTCGATCTAAGGACCCGCCGTAAGCTGCTTTTACTATTGACTTCGTGTCTACTTTTGGTGGCGTATCAAGAAACAGAGCGCTGCGTTCTCGGCGTGGCTCCAGAAGACTGTCCGGCATGCGGTGTATGTGCCAATGACACAAGCAAATACCTAGTATCTGCTGACATCTCGTAGCATGATGTGTGATGCACAAGCGCCAAGAAAAAAGACGACTACGTCCTCGACGGCTGTTCTTCGTAAACGCGCAGCAGTTGGAGTTTGACAAACCAGAGACCCAAAATGGGGGGGGAACTAACTGAAGACGCGAACATACATGCACAGGAGACAACGTGGCAAGGGATATCATCTGTTACCCGGAAGAGACAAGCACCTCATATTTTTTTTCCTATCAACTGCAGGAGCTGGTGCTTGTATTTACGATTACGGATATCTCAACATACCGTAGGTAACCAAACCAGCATTAGCAAACTCACAGTGCACACACAGCAAACCGACTATTCACAACATGCAATGCTGGAAAAATTACCAAGTTACTTAAACACACCATTGATCACTCAATCCTCTTTAGCGCATTACTTGAAATAATCCTCTCTTCATACCCATTCATCACAATGGAGACCATGGCCCTCACAACTTCATCAACGCCGATCCTATAATAGTGCTTCTGGGAGAGCGCGTATATGTGGGTGATTTTGGATGATGATATACACCGTTCCAGAAGCTAACAGCCTACGACCCCGGTTCCGCCAGCTACAATGAACTTCATTGCGGGTGCATGGTGTTGACACTGTGGTATGTATTCAATGTGTTGTATTAACCTTGTCCTTCAGTTTGGGGGACTGTCTCAGTATATATAATGTGTCAGATGATGAACGAAGACGCAATACGCGACGATACAGCTCAACCCAAGAAATGACATCAAATGTGCAACCCACTGTTTCAATTAGATTCTATAGCTTCTCCCGCCTGTGTCTGACTCGAGTCCCCATTCCATCACCACAGATCTACATATCCAACTCGGAGCGCGATATCCTGAATGTTCCATCCTGCCTCGTGCTGAATCATGTTGCAAGCACGCCATCCATCGACGCGCTCCGAAAGTCGTTGTCTCCTGTCTGCAAAGACCTGCTATTTATAAAGTAGAATAATGCTTTAATGCATAGTCGATCGCCTTTTAATCAACCTGGCGTTAAACAGGAGCAATCGCCCCCATTTCCACAAGACCCAGTCCTTATAAGTCATAATAACCATACACCCCACAGCCAATCACCATTAATTGGTCTCATCCACACTATACTTCCACAATGGTAGCGCGCAGTCCTCCTATTCTCCTGCAGAATGGGAAAGCAAGACTAAGGCTCAGGGTTGTCGAGTCCCTGGTATACCGAACGCGCGTTATTTTTTTGAGCTCTCTTTTTTATGATGACTACTACTGACTAACTTGACGTACACGATATTGATTATATATGTATGCATCGTCGTCGCATAGTCTTTCAATATTTGATAATTATAGTTGAATAACTCTACACCAAGAATGAACCCCCTCCCTCTAGTTTTGCCAGACATTTTTTTTCCTCTTCCCTTTCAATCCTCTCGAGCCCTTCGGTCCGGGAGCCCGCGCCCAACGCCTCGCCTCATCCAACGTCTCGCACAACCTCACTCCCCCCAAGCACCGAATATCCTCAAGCCGCCTCGTCATGCGCGACACAAACGGCCGTCGCGTAATCCCCATCATGGCTAATCGACACCAAAGCACAGGCGTCCTCCGCGTCCCCCGCACCGGCCCTGATCCTCGCCACGGGCGGTCCGCTCCCCAGCGTGTCCCGCCGCCCGCCGGCCCTCGACTCGATCACGACATCGTGGAAGGTGAGTCTCCGGTGCGAGTGCGCCTTGATGGCGGCCTCCTTGGCGGCGAACCTGAAAACAAACCCCATCAGTCCCCTTTGCCCCCGACCCGTTTTGGGGGAACTGGGCACAATGCCAAACGTACCGTCCTGCCACAAACGCAGCCGTCTTCCACAAGTCGGTGCCTCTGGTGACGCCGCCGTCTCCGCGGCGGTGGTCCCCTTGCGAACTCGCCGCCGGCCATTTCAGCCGAGCGTCATGGCGGGCAACTTCCTCGGGGGCAAGGACGCGGTTGATGAAGCGCGTGCGGCGGGGGCCGCATAGGATGCTGTATATGCGTGAGATTTGGCATATGTCGGTACCGATGTTAATGGGGAAGGGGAAGGGGCGGATAGGGGGGGCCATGAGTGCCCGGCATGGCTGATTTGCATCACGATGAATTAGAATCTTGGAGCGGGCCGCGTTGTTGCGTGCACATGAAGCTGAGTGGTGCTTGGCCTTATCGATAGTGGGCGATGGCTACGTCATGAGGAGCCACCAGCTGCAGCATGCCGTCGTTAGTCATATTTCACGGAGGAAATGCTCCCCAAGTTTCATCATGATGTAACTCATACGCATTTCACTAGTATTAAGATCTCGGCTGGACAGATGTACCCCCTCACGTTAAGCTCTTTTCCCTAAACGCCTCATATTATTATCATTTGTACCACATATTACCACACCAGCATGTAAAAGTTGAGCGAATGCCCCGACCCTCGTAGACACATACACACATAATCAAATCAGTGATTCCAAGCACTGTGGTAAACTGAACATTCTGAGGAAATTCCAAAAGAAGAAGAAAATCCGAAAAAAAAGACGAAAAAAAAAGGGTACACAAGCTGTCCGCAATTCCATTAGACGGTATAGTTCGCCGTCGGCTGCTTGCCCGTATTGTCCGCAAACCAGTGTTAGTCATGGAGCAGAGGAGCCCGTTCAGCTTCACCGGCAGGCTGTGCCTCGCGGCGCCACAGATAGTCTCTGCCTGTCCAAGCTGGCACGGCAACCGTCACCGTAGCGAGGAACAGGACGGCCATGATGACAAAGGCAAAGATCCACTGGAGAGCAATGATCTGGCGCTCGAATTGAGCGACTCCAATGGCGGCAGCCAGGAGACTGAGCCAAAAGCCCATGGTGTAGTCCTGCAGTGTTTACGAATGTCAGCTTTGTTCGTGCTCCCCAACTGTCCGTCACAAGAAGGGCAAGAGCTGAGGAGTGAGGGAAAAAACGCACCTTGTAGGCAACAATAAAGAAGCCGCCGTAGGCCAGGATGGCCCAGATGAAAATGTTGCCAAAGATCCTGGCGACCAGGTTGTGCGGGTGGTAGACCATCATGGCGCCGTTCCAGTAGAGGGCGACAAAGGTCCAGGCCAGGGGCCCCGAGACGACGGGGGTGTGGATGAAGCGCGGCGACGTGTTGTGGCGGAAGTACAGGCTCGACAGATTGAAGAAGTTGATGACGAGCATGACCTCGGCCCAGATGAAGTGCGAGCGGACAAAGAGCATGATAAAGGCAAAGTGGAAGAGGTTGTTGACGATGAAGTGGCTGCCGACGCTGGCGGCGTAGTTGACGGTTTCGGGGGTGCGCGAGAAGAGGTGCGTGATGTAGCCGAACTGGAGGATGAAGAGGATGACCCTGGCGGTGCGTTAGAGACGGGTGAAAGACACACAATGGGAGGCACAAACCAGTAGATGTCGCCGAGGACGGGGCTCATGGTGAAGGCGGTGCGGATCAGGTTATTCTGGTCCCAGATGCGGCGGCGGAGGGTGAAGCCATCCTTGGGCTCGTGGATGGCATAGTAGATGGTCACGATGACGGACAGCAGCCAGGTGAGGAGGGTGAGCAGCTTGTAGGTGAGGATAGAGCCAGAGCTGTGAGACTCGCGGCGGCCAAAGGGATTCCCTGTGCCATGTCAGTATCGTGTCGCGTGCGAAATCGACCAAGTCCATCTCGTCTCGAGCGATGCTCTAGCCTCCTGCATCTACTCACAAGTATTCCAGTTCGCCATGGTGAAGATGACGTGTCAAAAATTCTTTACTCTTTCTCCCCTGGAAATAAATGAATAAAATCAAGACTTTTGGGCTGTTTGTTGTGCCAATCTGACCAGCGGACGGAATTCAGCTCTCGTCGTCTACGATCCTCGCGGGAAAGAGGAAAAATACCAAGAATGAACGGTGGGAGCAAGCAAGCACAGGAGGAAGAGGCCAGGGAGGGCAGCAAAGCTTGTATTTATTCAAGGCGAAGCGGGGTTGCAAAGTTGACTCTTGTAGCAAAGTATCTTTTTTTTTCCTTTTTGTTTTTAAACAAGAAGCAGCATCGGCAGATTCATCAATGACGCCAGTGATTGGGGTGACACCGAGGTGCCGGAAGCCAGAAGGGGGGGAGGCATCATTTCTGGGGCTTCTGCATCTGGACTATCGGCTCCAATGAACAAGCTTACCAAAGTACACGCTACCTGCCCGTGCACCTTGGGCGGGAGCGCAGGCTCAGGTACCCCGCTACCTGGGTCCTTGACCTTTGGCGAGTACCAGGATGCCCAGGTGGCCAGCTGACCGCGCTGCCGTACCAGCGACGACGGCGGCGCCACACACCATCATCCCATCCTGTCATGGTGGCATGCTGTCATGGCCATGGTCGACGGAGCACATACGTAACTAAGTTACCATCTTCTTCAACGGCGAACCGTTGACGGGCGACGGCCCAAACGGGCTGACGCGGTGGCGAGCGGGCCCAAGTGTTCATTGGGTTTGTTGGCTAAGGAACTTTAGAAGGAGTCAAATGCACCAGCACGACTTGACGCCTCACCCTCACCCGCCGTCGGCACCACTGACTGAGACTCCCAACGAGGACGCGTCTTCCGTTTCTCTCCAAAATAACAAAATGGAGAAACCACCTCGGCAGCTCATCATCAAGAAGCACGATTCACGCCCGGCGGCATCAGCAGCAACGCAAAATCCAATCTCCTCCGCCCATGAACGGCACCCTGAGGACCTGCACCCTCCTGCATGTTGTCGACGCATCCGCAATACGTCACCACTTTTTCGTCAACCAACTCTTGTACACACTACTTAGCACCGCGTACCTTGCCCAGCACTCCACAACACGCGGGGTACGTTGCACGCAGCGCGCCCAGGTACCTCCCCACCCTCGGTACTTGACTTGCAACAGCCTCCAACATTGAACTCAGTTCAACGGCATGCAAAAACCTTGACAGCTCGCATCCTCATCCGTCTTTGTTCATCTCGAATGCTCCGTCCGCCCAGACAGAGAGACAGGCAGACACCCAGTGCTCGTCCTGCCCCATCTTGTCGCGCAGCGTGAAACACGCCATGCCGCCGCGCTTCATCCATTTCAGATCTCTCCCGCATCTGCCGAGCCTTGATTCAGGCCGTGCAACCCCCGAGCAAAACGGGCGCTTACTTTAGGCAGCCAAGGCGAGCGAGCACTCGACCTTTTCTACCATCATTGATGCTTTAATTTTCACAGACAAGAGCTGGTAAGGGACCCCCTCCCTCCAGTGGTATTTTCTTCGCGTGGATGAAACCGCAAAGGCCACTCCTCCTCGGCCAATTCGACCAGGACAGGGAGTTCCATCATCACCATCATCAGATGGGTCGTATGTTCATCCGCAATGAACCACGGAAACCTGCCTGCAGCGGTGCGCCATACATACAATACGATCGACGGTTCCCCCTGGATAGTATTCACTCGCAGCTGTTACCATTCCCACCCATCCCCCTGGTCCTTGTCTCACCCGCCCTCCCTTACAAGAAACCATTAAACACACCCGTCAGCGACCAAGTCGACGAGCCACTCAACACTTAGTTGCCAACGGGTACCAATTCTCGACAACGCAACCATCTCTCCCCTCAACATGCAGCAGTGCCTGCAGCAACACGAGACCCCTTACCCATGCTGCCATGCGAGCCGGCATGCCATGACCAAAACTATAAAGTGCCTATTGTTGTGTGTCGAGTATTAGTAGTACCATGTACTCATCTAGCCATTCATCATCTCACTGGCACCCAACAAAGCAGGCCAATGTAGACAAGAGACTCGTGCTATTGTATAGCAATCATTACTTGAACCAATAAAACAATTCCATCACAGGGTATCAGTGTATGTAGCCTCCTCTACACCTTGCAACAAAAGCCTGCCATGCGCCGCGCCCCATGCTGTACCGAAAACCAAGAGCGCGCAATTATAATACAAAGGAAATGAAATACAAAAACAATTATGCCTGAGCAGCATCTAGTACAAGTCCCAATATTTAACCGCCTCCGAGTGATGGTTTTGCCCCGCTTCTACGGAGTATCCTTGCCCCCTTATGAGTCCGTCACCAGCTGCTCTCCTTGATCGAGCAGTTCCGTCACTCTGCGCAAATCCGAGATCAAGCTGCGGCCGAGACCAACAAGCAACAACTTCTCTGCATTGGCAGGCAGGCCCAGGTAAGTAGGCGGTTCGCGTTCAGGAAGCTTGTGCACCCAAGTCATGAAGTCTTGCAGGCTCGTCCCAGAAGGCACAAGCAGCCCGCCGTCAGGGCCATCCACCAGTTTGTGATCAACCTCGTACGCATTAGGCGTAAGGAGTGACGTGACCAGCTGGCCGAGCAGCTTGAAGTCCCCTTCATCGTCGATCTTGCCGCCATATGTTTCGGTAACCAAGTAGCGAATCATTTCCCATGGGATATTTTGAGGGGCAATGTTGGTCCGGTTGCCAGCTACGCTGTCCAGCCAGGTATCAACAATAAATGCCGAGCATTCGTACTATTTGTTACCCAAGTCAGCAAAGTAATATCAACAAATACGGGCGCCAAGTTTACTTACATCGCTGTCATTGAACTCCCAGAAACCCTTCCAACCAAGATCTGGTGCGTACCGTAGCCGCTCTTGGGCGACGGCATGCAGGAACGAGATGAGTAGGTACAACCTTGTTCTCTCAACAGGACTCTTGGTTGATCGGGTCGACAGTGAAGACAAGGAGTCCTTCATATTGGCCCTTACTCCAGCAGGTTGCTCGTACATCAGCACCCGAGAGGCACGCAAAAGGTTGACTGGAATCTTGGGACTGGATTCCATTGACAGGAACAGTCTAAAGTCTTTTTGAGGGTTGAGTGCATCCATGCGCTTCTCAAGGCTCTGAAGCCAGGTAGGCGCCAAATGAACGTTCTTGACCAGAACCCAAGATCCGTTCTGAGCAGCATTGCTAATCGCCTTGTCGGCACTGGCGAGGCCTTCGTTCGATCCCATGGCAATGTTGGTGCATTTGACATTCATTCTCTCCACCAGGTTGTCCACTTTGTAACTAGCATCGAAACCAGGGCTAGATACCAACGCGATTGGAAGAGTAGCAGACACTTGAGCAACTGTCTCTTTGAGATCCTCGACAAAGTCAAAGATTTCACTGCCAAACACACGGCCGACAAAGCGCTCAGCCGCAGGTACAAATCGATCCATGCGGAACATCTTGACTAGCAGCAGAGACAGTAGTGACTGGTCCGTTGGGCTAGTTTTGTCGTCCCAGATTTGCGGCACGACGTCTTCTGCCAACTCCTCTGTAAAGAACTTGTTCCAATCTTCATCGGCAACTCCATCAAGCGTCTCCTTCAATATGCTAAGCTTCTTGGCTTCGATAAAGGCTTTGTCCTTCAGCTCTGGAGTGGAAGACAAATCCTGACCTTCAATGCGGTTGTCAAGGACGATATCAATCAGTGACTTATCCATTTTGTGCGGAGATGCCTGCGCAAGTAGCATGCCGAGTGTGATTCGGTCCTTTTGAAGAAGACCAAGAGCTGTGCGTTTGAAAGTGTTGACAAATAGATCCTTGACAATAATATCACGGCGAGTGTTGTGGTCAGTCTCGTTGGCGAGGTTCTTGTTGCCATGAAGTACCAGTTGGAAAATATCCAAAAAGTACTGTAGAGAGAACTGATAGAAGTGGTTGAGAAAGTGCAGTTGATCAAGAACAGCAAACACGGCACTGCAAGAGCCTGCGATTACACCATATTGCTGAGTTATCTCCTCTACTTCAGCCATGACGCCCTCAGTGTTGCTCATCTTGGCGGAAATCTCCGCAGCTTCCGTCTTGAGCCTCTCGAGAGTCTCTATCACGTTGTCGTCATCGAGAATATTACCGCGAGACTCATTGAGGGCCTGCAGAAGCTGCTTCTCTAGCTGGCGTAGATGTACTTTGAACTCGCCCTGAAGCTTGATGAGATTAGTCCGGCGCTCATCTACATCGGGTCTCTCAGATTTCAGCACGTCGTTAAGTGACTGAGTCTGCAGAGAGCTCTTCGTGACTGTAAAGTTGACAAATGTTGTTCGACTGCAAATATCTGGAGCAAACTGCGCCGAAGGGTCACGAGTGGACAAGTAAAGCTTAAATGCTGGCGAAAAGTCAATCTCTTGCTTGCCGAGCTGAATAAGGACACGACCACCGGTGCGCTGGTACTCCTTGTTCAAGACATGATTGAGGATAGGATCCAAGTGCTCGGCGTCCTGAATCAGGATCGGGTTACCGAAACGTAGAGAACTTTCAAGCTGCTTCGTAAATGTGACATCTAAGAAGCTGGTAACGGTGAGCTTCCTGTCCTTGCATTCCTTCTGCAGGAACTCTGTCACTCTTCCTGACGGGTCAATAATCAGAGGGTAACGATTGAAGCGTTTGAGAATGATAGCATTCTCGGTGCAGAGATCATCCACCGGCAATGTGTTCTCCTGCCAGCCAAGACGCTCATCTGCACTCGAGAGGTACTCGGTAACTGGATTGGGTGACTTGTACTGAATTCCCGAGAGGTGAAGCTGGTGGCACCAATCGTCCATCATGGATTTTCGGAACGTTTGATCATACAAGCCGCTGTATGCCAAGAAAGCGGCAGCCGTAAGCACATCACCAACAAGAGTGCTGATTTGCGTTTCGAACGATTTGCTTCCTTCTTCCCAACGTGTTCTTTCGGATGACAGGCTGTCCAGGAGTCGAACACTTCGGTCAACCTTGAACTGAACCTTGGACATCTCGGACTTGATCGCTTGCGTCTCGCTGATGAGTGCGGCATATTCGGTCTTGTAAGTATTGATGCTAGACTCAAGTTCGGCAATGTTGTTCTCGACTGCCTTGGCCTCTGCCCTGGTCTGCAAGGCCTGTTCTTCAAGCTGGGTGACTTCTTCCTTGAGAGGACCAACACGGTCCAAAATATCTGCATAGTTGACCTGGGCAGCGACCCATTGCACAAGGGGACCGCAAGCCTTCGAGGCTCTGTTGACCTTCTCAAACGTAAACTCGGGGTTGGAGAGGAAGTCGTTTCGCATCTTGTTTCTCAACGCCCGAGTCATTTGCTTACCGTTATCGAACATGATGATGCTGGCAATGAAGTCATCTCTGCGCACAACTGCTTGCACTGCTTTCCAATCGTTGATCTTGTGGCCAAGCAATGTGCAGACGGCGTCAAGAGCGAGCCTCACACCCTGTGGAGGGTTACCCATGGATCGCACTTCAGTCAGATGCTGTCTCTTGATGTTGCTGACACTGGCCTTGGCTTCTTCAACCGCTGGTTCAGCCTTTGCGAGATCCTCCAATACAACTTTCTTCCTCTTCGCCACCTCGGCATCCTGCTTCTCCAAAGCCGCCTGTATCTCCAGCGAGGTGTTTTTTCTTTGTTCAGCCTCTCTTTGGTCTGCAACCATGCGCTGCAGCTTTTCGTTTGCCTCTGCATCCTTCTGTTCAAGCTGCGTCTTCTTCTCCGCCAGGCTTACACGCAGATCGCGCACCTTGTCCACAGTGTCCCTGAGCTTCTCGAGGCCGACATTCAAATGACGCTGCTGCTCTTCCAAATCTTCACGCTTCTCATTGTACAGCTTGACGTACTGACCAACAAAATCCAGGAAATGTCGTGGAGTGAGGAAAGTTACCTTCTTCTGTTGCCTGTACAACTTCTCGTTATATCGTTGAAGCGAATAGTGGATATATACCATAGAATTTACAACAGCCTCGCGGTGAGATGGGGGCAGGTTGAGTCCGCGGTAAGCAACCGGGATGGTGTCAGGGGCTTGAAACGTGCTTCGGTCAAGATCGATAGAGTGCGTGAGCTCATGGCCGACCTGGAAAAGAGCCTGATCTGACCAGTCTCCAAACCAGTTGAGCACACATCTGTTGAACAAGGCGGGACTAGTGGCCGCCTTGGATGACAAGCCTTCCTCCGGCGGATTCATAGTGAAGACAACGTGGAGATTGTTCACAATCTGTTGAGTAAACCACTTGTAAAGCTCTTCTGGTGAATCCAGGTGTAAGTTTTGACGCTGAGCACCTTCCTTGCAAGCAGTCATAAGAGCAGCATATTCGTCACCCTCAAACAGGCCGGGAACCTCTGCATTGGCAAGCAGCGTGTTCATGCGTTCCAGGAACCCAGAGTCCAGAACGTTTGCCTCGTCCATGATGAAGCATATTTTTTCACCCTTGCAACCACATCGTCGTAGCACGTCTCGAAGATCTTCGTCAAAGTCTTCGCCAGAGTACTTTCCATGGACCTTGATCTGGAACACCTTGAGGCCATTCATCCAAGCAACGAATCGTGACAAGGTAGTTTTGCCACTACCACTAACACCAATGAGGATAAGATGTCCCTGCGGCTGTCTAAACACACGATCGATTCGCAGCACGTGCTCCAGAACATCGTTAAACAGGATAAGTGGTACATCAACTTCTTCCTCGCAGAATGTCTTGAGCCTGGCTTTGACAAAGTCACGAAGCTGCTCACGATCGACGGGCACATAGTTCTTGGACAGCCAGTTGGAGAAGAGGATGGGTCCCCCGAGGGATTTCTCCTCGTCAATGTTGGGGAAGTGCTCCAGAGCAATACGCCGAACTGCCTCGTCAGTCCATTTACGCTCATCCTCAGCGACGAGACGGTCCTGGAAGAGTCGTAGAGCCTCGTGCGCCCAGATACGGATCAAACCTTCAATTGACAAACTTTCCAACGGCTTGATTGCCTCGTATACACCGCGAACCCAGCGAGTAAGTTCACGGGGACTGTAGACATAGTGAGGCTGAATCTTGGGGGTAAACCTCTGCTGGGATTCTAGGTAGAATCGAACCATGGCGCGAGTGAGCGCTTCGGCGTACCCACGGAGAGCAGGAATGATCTTGAGGACGGCAGAGTTGAACGTGCCGTAGATCTGGTTGAGTGACAGCTCTCCTGGATAGTCTACCATGATGAGAGGAGCATGCCGCAGGAACCTGGCGCCTAGAGGGGTACGGCCGGCGTCAGTTGGAGGGTTACAGGCACCAACAAACTGAATACGGTCAAGAGTAACCCAAGACTTGTCCGAGGTGCGCCAAAAGCCATTGTGCTCAACGAGTTGTCGCAGGAACGAGATTGCTCTCTGAGTTCCATAGTTATCCGGAGCGGGCAAGTTGATTTCATCGCAAAAGACGACGAGCCAACGCCCGATTTGCGTAGGAGAAAGCATGACTCCATTGAGCGTCTTCTTGTACTCACAGTACTGCTCAAACGTCTTGATAAGAAGATCGGGCGTGGTCGCACTCGAGAAGTTGAGGCCAACAACCTCCATATTTGGGAGCTTTCGGAGAGCGCTGAAGAGAGTCATCGTTTTACCGGAACCAGGGGGGCCGCAAAGCAATAGGGGTTTGTGCTCAGCAAGCCAAGAGTAGAGAACATCTTCGTGGCGAACGGTATCCAGAGTTGGAATCACGACATCGGTCTGGATGATGGAGTGGGTGTTGACCTCGATGCTAGGTACTTGGGTTTGCCAAGAGATCCATTCAGCCCGGGGCAGGCTGACATCAAAGTCAATCAGTGAGCTGCTACCATCTAGTGGCGGCGACCCAAAGCTTGCAAACGCGCACAGGTCATCGCCAAAGGCTTTTCGATCCGACAGAGGGCAGTCGCCGGTCAGAGCCCAAACCAAAGCGAGGAGCAGCTTCTTGGGAATGAAGCCTTCAATCTGTTCAGCATCCAGCGGGAAATCTGAATGCTGGCCGTTGTACTCAATGACATCCCTAACAGCCTTGTTGAGCAGCGAGAACAATGTGTTGAGAACACGCGCCACGGTGAAAGTCATGATGTGGTTATACTTTTCAGCTCGTTCGAGGGCTTGATGAATGAAGTTTTCAGATGTCATGTAGGCCTTCAACAAGTCGGCAACTTCACCTTGAACGGCGAGCATCTTGGTAGGATTTTGGCCAGTGGCAACGCTATCTTCATCCAGATCTTCGAATGGCACGCTACGAAGCGTCTCAAGATAGTTCGTGACCATCATGTCCGGTGAGACGGTATCTTCGCTGAACCAAACCATACCACATCGACTTACAGTGGCAAGAGTAGCATACTTCAATGTCTCGACTTCAAACATGATTCGAACATTGGGCGGTAGATTTAGACGCTCGCCATTTGGTAGTGTCAGAAGTTTGTTGTCATCAAGCACACTGTTCAGGTTTTCCACCCATTCTGGATCAACGTCACCGTCAAAGACAATCCAGTGTCGCTTAGAATCTTCACCACGAAGATTGTCAACAATCTTGCGCAATATGCTGGTGAAGAGACCATCCGTCCATTCACGAGTTGTGGCATCCAGGTTACCGTACAGAGCCTCCTTGGACATAACCTTGGAATCAATGACGTGAGAAACACCCTCAATGCCTTCGACCTTCTGGAGAGCGTCCAGCAAAAGTCTCCAAGCGCCTGATTTTCCGGTGCCCGAGTCACCAACCATCATGACACCATGGTGGATCTTCTGAATTTGGTACAGCTGCAAGACCTTGGTCATCCACAAGTCTGTCACAACAAGATGACGCTCCGCAGCGAGAGTCCGGATAGCGCCTTCCAATTCGATCAAGTTGGCGGGCACGTAATCGACACCAGGGAAGCAATCTTTCTCAATGGCGGTGAGAATGTCGACATCAGATTTAATCAGCTTGGGAGCAATGGTCTCTCGAATGCTTTGGACAATGATTTCGGGCTCGACAACCTCCTCAGCTCCAAGGTTGCCATCGATTAGACGAGCTCGCTTGAGACCACCGGAGCTAACCAAAACACTCTTCAACGCACGCAGACCAAAATCGTAATGTGCTTGCTTGGAAAGCTTGCCAGAGCATTGGTCGAAGAACGGTACAGTTTGCTTAGACAGCTGCTTCGCCTGGTTGAAACCTTGCGAGTAAAGCATGACTTCGGCAATCAACTCCTTGTCTGGTTTGGACATGGCTACGCTGCGGAACAACTTCTTCAAGTTGTCAGGCAAGTTGGACCGACCCGCATAGCCAGGGTTCATTGTGATGAAGATGCCGGTGTTCTCGTTGACGCTGAGCTGACGCCCAACCAATTCGATTTGCGATTTGCTATCTTCAGCACCTTGCTTGAGACCAAGCTGAATATTTTGAATTTGCTGCGACACGGCAGAGAGAATTCTCTCCTCCAGACGATTAAACTCATCAAAACAACCCCAGGCCCCTACTTGACAAATACCCAAGAAGATTCTTCCCATCGCTTGGAAGTCGAAAGTGTCGTCACAACAGAAGACAAGTGTAAATCTACCGAGTTGAAGACCAAGTGCTTTGACGGATTCGGTTTTGCCTGTTCCAGCGGGACCATAAGGTGAGCCGCCAAGACGCTGGCACAAAGCTTGTGTGAGGGTGAGAAAACAGCGATCGGTAAGTGGCGTTCGAACAAGGCGATCAGGAACACCCAGGTATTCGAAACCGTAGTTGAGCTTGGCGTTGGCCATTCTGACGTGCAGACGTTCCAGAAAGTTACCCTCAGGGGCGTATACGTATCTCATTTGCAGCTGCCAGAGATAGTGACCAGCAGTAGTCGCATTGTTGTTGATGAGCTTCTCAATCACATCACGCTGGTGTACGCATTCAGTGATCATCTGCTCGCACTTCTTTCTCGGAATAATCTCCAAGTCGCCCAATACAGTCTCAGCAAGCACTCTTAGTACTTGTACTTCTCTGTCATATAAGGTCTGCAGGGTCTGTCCACCAGCAGCCAGAGACTTGTCCACAGCTGTCGTCCACACAACCTGGGTAGCGAGCACGACGATTTGACTAGGAAACGCGTTCATAAATGCGTTCAAAGCGTCACTATCAATGGCTTCAGTCTCGAAAATTGGTGTATACTGTTCCACCGCTTCAGAAAGAAGCTCAGCAAGAGTGGACTTCATACCACCCTCGAGGAGTGCTAACCAGTCATTGATGCGTGGTGTCTTTGCCAAAGAGATTTCCCTTTTGAGCTGGACAGTTTCGCCTTCTTTGGAAGTAAAGGCAGAAATCACAGTCTCGTCATCGCCCATCACGAGGCCAGACAAGCCAGCAAACATTTTCTTGAAGTGCTTAGCAATACGTAAGGTGTCATTGCTGTTACCAATCATTTCCAGGAGATCCTCATCACCGACGAAATAGAATCGTGGGAATGAGACTCTCTCCTTCTCCAAATATTCACCCAATGCCTTCTGAATCTTGTTGAGCATTTCTGCCAGGCGCTCTAGGGACTTCTGCGCGTTCGGAATGTTGAGCACATCCAAAACATATGGGGTCTTGTTAGCTTTCTTCATAACGGCCAAAAATTCGCTGTTGATATTCTGGAAACGGCCAGATTCGATGGGCAGGAGGTGCTTAATATCGGCGTTGCCCGTGAAAACGCCTTCGAGGTATACCCATTGTCGCTGAACATCAATCCACACGTCAAAGAGTACGTGAACACGGTTCAGTTTGTCTTCCCATGAGACAGCCTCCTCTTCAAACTCCTTGTAGTAAGGCGAGTGCTTCATGGCTTGCAACGAGTTGAGATTTTCACTGCATTTGGCAAAGAGGTCGTCCCAGCCGCGGATCAAACGACACTTGTTTTGATAGTTGACCATATCCAATGCATAGTTTTGCCAAATCTCACGTACTTGTTTCAAGAACTCTTCAAGAGCCATTTCTCCCTGGGCCTGGGCAATGATATCCTTGACAATGGCTTCCGTAGCGATTAGATTGAGGTCCCATACATCGCCCAAGGTCATTGAGCTAGGTGAGAATCGCTTCTGAGGCTTAATTTGCTTGTAAATCTTATGCCAGTGGCGCTCGCGAATCGCGTCAGATTTGAGGTCTGACAGGATTGGGTTAACTTTGAGGAATCCGCGCAACACGGACTGAACGTGCTCAAATGCAGCGTACTGCCTCATTCTGCTCGGCATCTCCTTGGTGCTTTTGATAAGATCATCAACCTTGGACCGAATCTTCCTGGGTTGAACTGCAGTCCAAAGAATCTCGCGGGTTTCATTCAGGCTGGACCAAATAGTAGACAGGCTGGACCAAACCGATTGGAAATCACGCACTTCCTCGAGGGTGGCATCGAGAAAACTGTCTCCACCAACGGGCAGATCAAGAGCTTCCTTTGCTTTGACAACCTGCTGGAAGTCGTCCTGCAAACTCGCAATCCTTGTTTCGAAGCTGCTCAACGTAGCAGACGCAATATCAGGTTGAATTGTGCCAGACACGGGCTTTTCGTCATTCCACTGCGAGATAATCTCAGTTATGCGTTCGTTGACCAGCTTGTCTTGAGCCACAATGTTGGCACGCATGGCATCAGATTGTTCCTCCATAATACGAGACTTCTTTTCTAGAATCTCTTTCAACGCCTCCCACTGGCTGTCAATCTGCTCAATGTGAAGCCAATCGTTGGGGAAGTGGTACCGTTGTCGTACCAAAGTCGACTGTCCCTGCCGGAACATGTCGATTTCGGGAGCCCATAATTTGACGTTGCGCTTGCAACTCTGAACAGCTGTGATAAACTGCACAGCCTGAGCCGTAGATGAAGTATCAGAGCTCTGTCCCTCTAGCTGCTTGCGGGCCTTCTCGATCTCAGCATTGACATCTCGCATGCGATTACCCAGTCGACTCGCAAACTTGATCAAAATCTCGTGCTGCCACTGGTCGTACTTGGCGTTCACCTTTGTCTGGACTTGATCATAGTCAATAGTGATGTGGCCAAATGATCTACTGACTTCTTGGGTATCAAAGGTGGTTCGCACTTTGCGAATATCCTGCAAGCACTCAAGCCATCGAGGCAGGTGGTCACCAAGAATGTCGTATACCTGTTCAGACTGCAGATCCCAAAGCGACTGGAACTGGAGCCACTTGTCAATGTAGGCACCAATCTCTTGCAGCTTCTTCTCGACGGAAACATAGACGCGATGAAGCATGTCGGCGCACTCAGTCGGCAAGTCGGTGAATCGATGTTCTTCAGCAGCAGTAGTATTCAGGCTCATCTGATAACGTGCCGCTTTGATCTTCCGCAAATCACAAACGATGCCGAGCCAGTCATGCAAATGCAAGAACCAGCTCGCTCTGGCATACTCCAACGGAGGGTCGAGGTAGATGACTTGATTTCGCATGACCAACTCGAGCACAAGGCGCTTCATCACAGGTCCATCTGGCTTGCCCTCGTCTTCGCTGGTCTTTTTCCATCGACCCTCATCTGAGGCTTCGTCCTCAAAGGCGGCAATCCAAGCGTTAATCGCAGCATGGAGGCGGCCCAGCAGAATAGACTGTATCTTCTGGTTCAAGTCTCGCACCCAAAACTCTAGGTTGACATATTGTTCCAAATTCAGTTGATCGACAGCAGTTTGGATAGTGTTGAGACGAGACTGAAAGGCAGAAGAATCATATGGGCAGCTGCTAATTTCTTTGAGGGCTTGCTCGACAATTGCATGAATATGATTGAGAGCCACCGCTTTGCTTTGGAGCACGGACACTGCGGCGGCAAACCCACGAATAAACATTCCATGCTTGCTCTCATTGCTCTTGGAGAGAGTGAATTCAGTACCACCAGGGAGCATGGGACGAGCTTGTCGCTGCTCTGCATAAAAGAGCTCATGTGAATTAATGAAGGACTCCCATCGAAGAGGAACACCGTCACCAATTAGCTTGTAGACGTCATTACGATAACCATTGAGCAGGACTGATTCTTCGCCCATGGTAGATATTTGTCTCAACGTCTGAGATAAGGTTCTGACACTCTCCATGAGGCTGACAGCGTACGGATATACTCTCTTTGCATCTTTCGACACTGTTGTCACAGCATGGGGGACCGAGTAAGATTGCCACGTCAGGTTTCTCGTCTCCTTGAACAAGGTGATAATTTGAGGGTCGAAGTTTACCGCGAGTTCGAGAATGCCACCGGCAGATCGGACGCGAGCGATCTCGAATAGCTGGCCAGATATGGAGATCTTTCGTCGACTGACATCTGTGAGCCATGCTTCATAGATTCTGCCAGTATCGAGCTTGTGCTTGAACAGCTCGCTCTCTTCTTGCAACTTGTGGCCCTCGGCATGTAGTGTCCAGTCAGGGCCCAAAACAGCCTCCACCTTTCGCATATAGCCATCCAGTTGAAGTTCGATTTGTCGGGCCCATATGATTGCTCCTGAGACCGGGGGTAGATCACGGAGTTGAGCCATAGCGTGAGCCTCCGAGTGTCCATATTGCTGTTTAAATCGCTCATGAAGGCCATTGATGGCTTGTTTGACATGATCCATGAGCTGGTTCTGATACTCCTGAATGGCGCCGCGAATCTTCGGGCGGACGAAAAGGGCATTGAACTTGGAAAAGACGCGGAACATTTCATTAGCGGTCCTGGCTGTTGCGAGTCGATCTCGAAGTCTGGCGATGATGGAATTTTCCACTCTAGTTGTGCGCTCGTTGTACAGGTTCTCTGCTCGTACCCATCGTTCCTTGCCTTGCTCCGTGACGTCGAGCAAGTCGACGTTTTGTAATGCTTCCCAAGCCTGTTTAACTTCTTCTACAGCATCAACGTCGCCAATTTCCTCCACAACCACCCCGTTTGTGCCTGTAGTCTCTGTCACGCCAGGAATTGTGGCCTTGGGGCCGAGAACGTTGACAATTGTTCGTTGAAGTTGTTCGTGGTTGTCGCGGAACGTGCCGACGTACTTGATTCGAGATTCAAGCTCTGAATGCTTCTTATTAATCTTGATGGGAATGAACTTTTCGTTCCGGCGGCGAGTGACTTCACGAGCAACATTTGTAAACTCTTTAATGTTCTCCTCCCAGGTGCGGAATATGCCATCACAAGTGCGCATGAGTGCCTGGAACTGCTGATAGTCAAGGTTCACCAGTTCTGTGCCTGGTAGGAGTCGATGAAGTACGTCATCAAGATCGGCAGAGATGGCCTCAACAAGCGGTAGAGCCCGGCGGATGGGATATGGACAGATCCTCAACTTCTTATTCAGATGGTTGAAGATTTGTGAAATTGCCTCTTGGACCTTTGGCAACGAAGTAGCAGACAATAACTCATCCAGGGGAAAATCTCGCATAAGTTGATTATACTTCTGCACCTTGTCCATGGCCTCCTTCAATCCCGTGTCGGCGGTAAAACTGACAGTGGCCTGGAATCGCTTGGCATGCTTGAGAATTTCGAGAGTCAAGAGGACACCCTCACTTCGTAACTGGCCTTCGATGCCCTCCAAGGCTGACTCCATGGAAAGCCAAAAGTTCACCTCTTGGCTGGCAGTACTAAATTCCTGGTTTGCGTTGGATGAAGGATCCTTTGTCATTTTCGTGATGCCCTGTATAGACTTGATCCATGTGTTCACGTTGGCCTGTAGCCGGTTCAGGAAAGTGCTGTCCTGCAACAAGTTTTGTGGAATCGCATCGATGGCTGCCTTGCTGTGACGGGCATCGGCTTCGTCGAGAACATTTTGGACGACCGAGTGGAAGATCAGGGATATCTCGGGAATGTCGACATTCTGCTGCAAGTGCAACAAACTCAGCTCCAGGTCGTTTAATCTCTTTTTCGTAACCGGAATTCCTGTTTTCGCATCGACATCGGAACGACCCCTAGATCCGTTTGCCAGCTGCTGACTCTTTGTGTTGGCGTCAAAGTAAGGAACCAACGCATGGTGGACTTGAGAATGAAGAACCTCCCACGGGGAAAGTGACGCGCCTTGCTCTCCGACAGACGTATTGAGGGAGGCAGGACCAGGTAAATTAGTAATAAATATTTGCGATGTAAGGGGTCTGGCTGGGTCAATAGGCTGCGGTGTCTTCAACAGAACGAGAGATGCAACGGTCGAGGCGGAAGAAGATATTTCTGTCGAAAGAGTGTAGTAAAACGAAGACGGGACTAGATGAAACGCAAAAAAAGGAGTCGAGTCGGATTAGCAGAGTCCAAATGCTATCAAAGTAAGGCACGAAATCCAAAAACTGCAGCATCACTCACCAGTAGCGTCTGTTCCGTTCTCGACTGTGGACGAATGTGCGATGTCTTTCTGGATATACAGAACGCTCTGGGTATCATTCGCAAAACGAGTGCAACGCGAAACAGTCTCGGAATAACGGCTATTATGCAACAAATTTCCAGGCTGTTCGAGGTCCTCTCGCGTGGCACCGAGGGCTACCTGACAAACGGCAGCCAGATGCTCAACCACGCGTTCCGGATCGATGGTAGGGAAAGCAGGAGATGGCGCGCCTCCTCCATTGGTCGTGGCCACAGGATTCTGCGCCGGAGGAGATGACACCTCCATGGCCAGCATCAACGATTTGTGTTGGGAGCAAAAGGTCGGACAGATTATTCGCGAATAGTCATTTCTGGAATAGAAAAGAGTTTTGATCGGCTCACGAGAGGTTGAGGGGAAAATAGAGCGTCGTTCGAGAGTTCTATGGATGAGTGGCCGAGGGAAATTGAGTTCGAATTTCAGGGGCAATGCGTACGTCGATGTAGACTGTACGTGACGTGTCCAACACAACTGCACAACACAGACGCAAGACGTGCCGCAAATCAAAGGGCAGTTCGTAAAGGAGGGACCGAGTGCGTGAAAGCTTGCGTGTTCAGTGCTGGATGGGAAAATAAAAAGAAGCCAGGTGGCGGATGGTGATGTCCAGAACAGGCAAGCCCAGTCAGGTCGTCACCCTTTTTGGCGAGATTCAGGGACGAGCAGCTCTGGGGTGAGTGAGTAGCTCAGAGACACAATTACGCAGTGGGTACGGGGTATGGAGTCAGCACATGTGCACTCAGTACTCTCCGTACTTACGCAGGGCGTATGAACTTCAAAGTCCGCTGCTTTGCCGGCACCACAAGAGTGCAACCACCAGTTGACATGGAAGTGGACTGAAGTGGGCAAACGCGACCCAAGGTGGGGACCCAGTCGCGGGTTGCGCGACAGCATGTGCCATCGTCGCCAGGCTTGACTTGAGACTCGGAGCAATTGGTAGTTGACAGACAGCAAAGACTGTGGGTCGCAGGACATCGCGGCCTCCGCTTTGATTGGCCCACATCCCTTTCTGCTTGCCTCATTTCGCCTCGGTCTCGGGGCGTACGGGGGGGAGCTTGTCAGGAACCACTGTGCAGTGGCTGCCACATCAGCGCTCACAGGGGGCGTGAATCAAGCCCAAGCCAGCACAGCAGAGGTGCCCCAAAGGCAGGCCCCGGAAGCCGCTACACGTGCCATTTATTCCCAGGTGACGTCTAGTGGTCGAGCCCTAGCATTAACTGACGATTTCACAGGTTCCAGCGCCTTGTTTATAATTGCCAGGTGAGTGAATGGGCGATGCCCGGCCGACAACAAATTAACTGCAGGGTACCTATCTACTTAAGCATGTCATCTTCAAACACTTTCGCAAAGGCGGGCAGTTCATACACGCGGCGTATCACGGAGTACACGACGCAGTCGAGGCGATCGAGTTGCGGCTTCCAGCCAAGGCTACTCCCGTTCACATCTGGTGTCACCAGCGCTCGGCATATATTGGTCTGGTCCATCCTAACCACCACCAGCTACTACTAGTCGACGTCCCTCACACGCCCTCCCTCGAAACGTGGGGGGGGAGGAGGGAAGGAAGGGGGGTAACTGTCAAAATTCGTTTCCAGATCCAGCCTGCCCGTCGTCCGGTCTATCCAGCTTTGCAGATGAGCCGGCATCAGTGTCTTGACCTTTTCCATGTCTGCTTTTTCTGCGTCTCGTCAAACCGCGCGGTCCGGGGTCAGCCAAAGCAGCGAGCGGGACTTGCCGATATGAGTGATGCTCTCTTCCCGGGCTCTGCAAGCCTGCATGGCTCGACGCAGCGGCTCGAAATGCCGGCATGTTCCCGCTGTTACTGCTAGTACCAGTCCGCGGCTGCATCAATTGATCCTCCCGTGCGAGGGCTGCACACTCGGCCATGTGTCAAGGCCAGGTCCTGACCCGCCTGCCGACATCTCGCACGCATCAATCGTCAAGGCTTCCCGCTGCCGTCCACCACCCAGGCGCCTCATCCACACACCTCTGCTGTCACTGAAAACCCACCATCCCGACCCAAGGTCCACTACATCGACACCTTCAATATTTACTTGCATACTCCGTACTTCCATGTCGTTTCACACCGCGCATCTCCTCCGCCGCCTGTGGCGTTTTCCCACCTGTTGCTTCATGGCTAATCACGTCAGGGTCATCTGGAGAAATAGGAAAGTCGTGGATTTTAGGCGTACAGGGCAAAATGTGTCAAATGTGAATTTCAACCCTCAGGCTCCCCAAACATGAAACGGCGCAAAACAACTGAACTCCAGACAAACCCACGTTTTCGTTTCCGCAGGTCACCTCATCCTACCTACCTTTCCCTCCACCCTCCCCTCTCCCATATCTCTTATGTATTTTCACGCATTCGTAGCCGTAACCCCAAGGCTTCCGTCAAGCAAAAGCAAAAGCAACAAGTAGTCGCATTCCCACACTCCCAAAATAAAACGCCGCCCTAGCCAGCCAGTCCCATGACCCCATGATCCATAAAACGACCTGACTTTCCTTCCAAGACAAAAGTATCGACAAAAGTACAACAAACAATGGCAGCAAACAGTAGGCGTAGCCCGGGCTCACATAACCGAGTTTCCCCCGATTGCCAAGTTGCCATCTGGTCCTGCCAGCCTCTCCCGTTGAACCATGACGCGCTCGTTACATATATCAATAAACATCTCAAATCTCTTGATGAGCTTTTCTTTTTCTTCAAGTTGGCTTTTCAGCGCATCGATTTCTTTTTGTTTCTCCTCTTCAATCTTCTGCAGGTCCTCTCGCGCCTTTGCCAGCTCTCTGCGAAGGTCCGCGCGAATCCTGTCTTCCGGTGATTGCTGCGGTTTTGTGTATATCGCCGGCCTATTCTCGGCAAGTCCTGTTGCCACCTTCTGCGGGTTTCGATTTATAGCAGCTCTTGCATTGTATATATCCCTCGGGAGCAAGTGACAGTCCGGATTTTCGGTTTGCAGAATTTGGAGTGTTTCGGATACGCCTGCCCCTGCGTGATGGTCAGCAGAAGTACTTTTGGTAGAATTTGAACCTTTTGATGGTTTTTGCGTACCGTTTTCCTTCAGCTGTTTGACAGCCGCCACCATCTTGCTGTCAAGCTTTCTGGCGGCAGGATGATTGGAAGGACTCTCACTTGGCCCATGATTGTGCTGCAGATGCGCAGGATCAGGGCGGTAGCGAATCGTCCACTGAGTACGTTGTTCAATGGCAAAAAAGCCAAAGGGACAATCGCATTTCCTGGATGATGTTTTGCGCTTGCGGAATTCCGGGCTCACCCTACTGGGCGGCTTTCCAGCACGATCGCAAACAAACAGGACTTTCTTGAGGCCAGGAACCGTCTTCTTGGAGCGGCCAATAACAATGGCATAGCCAACAGATGTGCAATAACGCAGAACGGCTTTTTGCACGGCTTCTAACGTTGGATAGCTTCCTCCCTCAGGCGGGGGAGACATCATCTCTCCCATAGGCTGCGAGGGGACGTAGGAAGGGTCATTTAAAAGCTTTGAGTCGAGACCATTGACTTCCGACGCATCTCCATCTTGATTTCCATCGACATCCATTTCACTGCCCGCATGGTTTGCCTGCTGTTGGGGAACCTGAGCAGCAGGCTGCTGAGGGGAGGCCTGTACCTGATTGACTTGCTGAACTTGCTGAACTTGTTGCTGCTGGGGAGGCTGCTGCTGCTGTTGAGGCATCTGCTGTTGCGGTATCTGTTGCTGAGGCGGCTGGGGCGTTGATTGCTGCGGAGTAGGCTGAGGAGTTACCTGGGCCTGCGGCGGTTGCGGCTGCTGCTGCTGTTGAGGTTGCTGGGACGGCTGTTGTTGTTGTTGCTGCTGCTGCTGCTGCGGCGTTGACTGTTGCGAACGACCATGAGTCTGGTGAGGCTGGACGCTTTGGCGTGCCTGATGGCCTGGATGACCCGGATGGCCTGGATGGCCTGGATGAGTCTGATGAGCCTGATGCGCAGGATGTGCCGGGTGTGCCGGGTGTGCCGGATGCTGTTGGTGTTGTTGATGTTGTTGGTGCTGCTGGTGCTGCTGGTGCTGTTGATGTTGCTGATGTTGTTGTTGCTGCTGCTGCTGCTGTTGTTGTTGTTGCTGCTGCTGCTGTTGATGAGGTTGGTGGCCTGGATGCTGTTGGTGATGCCCTTGCTGCTGATGATGAGGTGGGTGCTGCTGGTGGCTTGGATGGCCAGGGTGGCCCTGATGGGAAGGATGTTGCTGCTGGTGTTGATGAGACAGGATCGGGTCATGCTGGACCGATTGACTCATGGACGTAGGGAACATCATGGGCGGCGGATTTGGCTGAGGCGGCATCTGCTGCCTCGGCGGCGCCGCCCTCTGTCGCTGAACACCGAGGGCATTTGGTGGTACGTGTGAGTTGGGAGTTCGCGAAGGCGGGTGGCCGTTGGGGATATTTGGATTCACTGGCGATGCGAAGAGATGTGGAGGATATGTGCCTTGGGGGGGCTGCTGAGGCGTATAGCCCTGTGGTTGATATGGCGACGCGGCATGAGGGGCCGGGGATTGCTTATTCGGTTGATGCTGATGCTGATTCGCGTGGGTTGGAGGAAATGCGGCACTTCGTCTGAGGCCAGCTTGCGAGAAGTTTAACCCGTGGGCATTAGAGCCAGACGGTCCCAAACTCGACATGGTGTGTCTGTCTGCAGGAGAGGCAGTGGCGCCAAATCGTCGTGATGGCGCGTGACACGCAAAGCTCTGTGGTCGTAACAACGAGAAGGGAATAAAAAGATGTCAAAAACAAAGAAAAAAAACGACGACGACGACGCTTCGCTCAACGTCGCCAAGCAGAGAGAGTTGAGGGACGAGCCGTGGTTGAGGGCAAGTCGGAAACGCGTCGGCGATGCTCCCACATCCGCTCCTCTCTCTCAGGCGGCGTCCGAGTGTAGTTGTTGGTCAACGTCGGCCGTCGGTATCGTCGTGATCTCGGCCGTCGTTGAAGCCCTCGTCAACGGCTGAGCTGGTGATGGACGTTGAAAAAGAAACTGGGCTGCGCAATGGAAACCCTGGACCTGGTTTGGGGGTGTCGATAATGGGCTGGAGGAGGCGTGGAGGTGCGTGGAGGTGCGCGCCCGAGAGGTGTGGGCAGAGGGAAGGGAGGAGCTGGGGAGACAGTCCACGGGTGTTGCAAGACCCAAGGGCAAAAAAAAAAAATATCAAAAAATTCTGGTCGGGTTGTGCGGGCGGCCGGGCGGGCAGGCGGATTGGAGCACGTTGCGCACTCACAACGTTAATGTCTGGTCTGGTCCAGGTGTGGTGGCAGCCATGGAGGTGGCACTGGCAGAAGCGGACTCTGGCTCGCTCACCAGCACGTCTGGCGGAACGCTCGTTGGCTAGCACTCGAGGGGTGGAGACGTGAGGCGATTAATTTGGTCAAATGGGAGGGAGGCGTACGAGTCCAGCCCGACAAGGTTCCAAGGGCTTTTTTTTGCCTCGATCATCGCCTTCTGCCAAAACGTGCGCTTTTTAGCATTGCCCAGCACGACAAATTGGCATTGGCAGTTCCCGCGGGCATAAAGAGCCATCAAGGGCCCGGCATGGCCCAGCATGGCCCAGCATGGCCCAGCAAGGGTCGGCATGACATTCGCCAGTGACGGCAACCGAGACGACTTGGCTAGCGTCAAACGGGCCTCTTGTCCGGTCACACACACGCCCACCACCTCTCACCGGCAGTCTGGTTGCAAAGATGCGTGGCCCTGTGAGCCAGACTTGGAGCCGTCCAGACCTCGATTCATATATGTACAGCCAGGAGCTGGTTAGCAGTTGGCAAGCTGGCTAGCAGCTCCTGTAGATGTGCTTGATCGGACGCGATGGCGGAAAGTGGTCTGCTGGTGGTCTCTAGTGCTAGCATTGAACGGGGCCAGCCACCATGTTGCCCACCCTGCTGCCTGTGCGCCTGCCTGCCCTCCAGCGCCAGACTCAGGCCCAGGCTCAGGACATCAAATCGGATCCATCGATTTACTATGCCAAGTTTGAATTGCCTCCGTACGCGAGCAAGTACTCCGTACGGAGTAACTGTCTATGTACAGTCCAAAGTCAACAGCCCAAACTGCTGAAAGAAAAAAAAAACTTGGCCTGGCTCCCTCGTTCTCTCTGCTTTTCTCCATTGTTTTCCTATGGCGTTGGCAGGAATGCAATGCCAAGCGCCAACATACTTGCTCCCCACCACGTGACGTGCGCCAATCACCATATAGCACAAAAATGCAAAAGCTATTTCCTGCGCCGTGTCGTCTTTTGGCCGTGTCTGACGTGAGGGCCAGCCGTCCAATCGTCAACTTCAAAAACAGTGGCCACTCGCCAGAGCCAATTGTCGACGTCTGTGTTACATCAAGAGCCATTTGCTGGCCCTGCCTCCGGTTTGCCAGTGTCTAGCTACCTGTGCGGCTTAGCTGTCCTCGACTCTCCGTTCTAGAGCGCGTCGTCCTTCCTGTTTGCGCCTCTGGCCTTCCGGAGCAAGTGCTCAAGTAGGAGGGGCCTAGGAAACTTCGCGCGAGTAGTTCATCTGGTTACATACACACGATAATTTATTTCATTTCACTGCACGCTTTCTAAATCTCCATCAATATCGTGCTCGCATAAATATTCATACCCCATCACACAACGGTGCTTCTGTCTACTTGGTGATTATTCATGGCGTCGGCATATTTATTAACCCGGCATGTCGTTTTTTGGCAGGCAACGAGACTTGTCAATCCAGCCCTCCGTAATACCCTTCCCACCAAGTTGAGCACGTTTGTCATACATCCATGCTCCATCCTTTCTCTATCTTGCACCACCAGCCAATGACTCAACAAAGCGCGGTCATCAAAACGACCGATTGACGCATGTATCAGTCAAACTTAATCCACCACTCCTACTTTCTTGACCGTCGTGAACCCAGAGCCTGCTGAGTCCTGCAGATGGCCATAAATCATTAGATCCTAGCTCCCAGTTCCCCCCCAAGCCAGCCCGTCATTATACAGGCCACAGCAGAAAAGCAAAAAAAGCGCGCAACACAAGAACCCTCTCTATTCCATCTTCCTCCTCTTCCGGCTCTTAGTAGACTCTTCTTGGCCATCCACAAAATGTCCCTTTTCGATTTGATGTTGGCGTAGATTGTCTGGACGATTTTTATACTGGCTGTTGCACCCCGGGAATGGGCATGGATAGATTGTGGGAGGCGTGTTGGCATGCATTAGCTTCTTGTGTTTGGCCATACTTCCATGGAACCACTGAGGGTTTCCCTTTGGTCTGTAGCCACAAATCTCACAACACATGTCGGTGTTCGGTTTTTTTGGCAATGCTGCCTCTCCTGATCTGGAGGGCGTTGAAGGCGTTCGGGCTTGGGAAGGCGCCGGGATGAGTGTGGATGGAGTATTGGACGCGGCCAGCCACTCTTGTTCGTTGACAGGTGTATGATCAGCGGCGTGTATAGAACCCAACGACTCGTAATCAATTGGCAAACCAGGCTGGAATGAAACTAAACCGTCGAAGGCAAAGTCCATTTGCATTTCTAATTCTGATATGCCATGACTTGATATATCGGGCTGTGACTCGACCAAGTCTATGCCCAACACTGGGACATCAGAACCGTGCATGATAGATGCCATTAACTCAATACCAAGCTTGTGATATTGCAATCTGGGCGTGTAGTGAAGGCCATTCTGAATCTGAAGCGAGTCGATGCGGGTTCTGATTTGTTTAACAAATACATCAAAGTACAAGTCCGGCGGCAATTGCATCTGTGGAGATGGTCAGCACATACATCAAGCACGCTGACAGCCGGAACCTCGTATCATCTTACCTTTCCGGTCTGTAGCAATTCAAGCTCAAGACGGCGAACTGTAGAGACGTGATTGGACTCGATTCGATCCAATAGTTCCTTCATACCTGAAACAAACCCGCCCGCATTGTGATACTGTTGAGAAAACGCGAGAACCAAACTCTTTGCTGCGTCTACAAACGGAGAGTCTTGTATCGTGGCAAGATTGGTATCTTTCAGATGTTTTGTACAGAGGTTGGATGTTTGGATTTCTGGTTTTGTTGTGTTTCGCAGCGCGGCGTATTCTAACTCTACAAGATCGTCAGCTTGTACTCACAGGTCCATACCTCATTATCCAGCAGCCATACCGTCTAAGAAGTATTGCGAAATGAACAGTAATGGGTCGTTGTTGGGGTCGATAGGGGTAGCGAGTCCTTTGCCTTTTCTGGCAGTTGGTGTAGACGGGGGCTCAGGGAGGCATCGTTGTCGAATGTGCACCAAATCTTCATCAGTCACATCGCCAGGCTTCCAAAGGAATTCAACGACTTGCAGGTATGCAAACTTGTCCTCGTCCGTCATCCAAGAGCAATAGGATACAGCCTGATTGAATAATTTCGTCAACCAGTTTGCAGCATCTTGTTCGTGTATCACGAGGGAAAGAGAATATACGACATGTAAAAAGCACAACATCTTCGCCGAGGATTGCACCTGCTGTCCTTGAAAAATGTCTGACATTGTCTCCAGGCCAGTCAAGGAAACCGAATTCGGTGGTATACTGCAAAAGCGTGAAGCCACATGGTTCTTCCCATCATGGTTCAACGGTTGTAATTTCTTTACTGAACCAGACACGTGGAGATTCAATGTATCTCGCGCTGAGCGTAGGAGTTCATGAGGGCTAGCCTGTTTCTGAGCATGGCTCTTGAGGTCTGCAAGAAGATGCTGTAATTGTTGGCTCTCGTTTTGGAGGCTTTCCGGGTGCAAGCCTTCCGCTGGAGAAGGCACAAGAGGGACGGTCGAAGGCGCGCTTGGTTGGTGGTTGGCATCCACGAGATCAAGCACCATTGGGATATCAGCAGGGAGCTCTGTCAAGCCTATTAGGCCAGTCGGTCCGTCCACAAAATGCGAAAAGGTCATGTTCACATCATCAACCTCCGGATGAGTTGGCAAGGGCGGCGAACATGGGAAGACATCGTCCGGGTTTGGCACTTCATCTGCGGGAGAAGTCAGGGCCGACTCAAAGCCAATACCATTTCCCCAAGCTCCAGACCATGCTGACATGGGAGAAATGGTGCAGCTGGCCATGGACGACGTGCTGTTCGTGCTGTTCGTGCTCGTCGTGCTACTGGTTGATCTGACTGATGAGCTCGGCTGCAGGTTCCTACTTCGACGTCGCAGTCGGACTCGAGAGAAGTCAAGGGCTGCTCTTGTATTGAGTTGCAGTGCTGGCTTAGCAAACGTATTCACTGTGTTGGGCTTTGCAAGGTCGGCTGGGGAAACAGTCTGAATGGGCAGTGACGAATACCAATTTATGTACTCTTCGTAGCTCACATGGGACTTGTCCCCGGTCATAGAATTTCGAGAATAAACAGATAGAGGCTGTGTGCAAGCGGTATATGCGGAGGAGGTGGAAGACGACCGGCTTAAGTAGTCTTGTTGGGAAGCTTCCCCATCCTCAGGAATCGGAGCAAGCACGACCTCACTCGAGTCAATTTCGTGAATTTCATTCGACTGCAGCTCGAACCCTCTATGGGCCTCTGTAGGGCGTCCTTCGTGAACAAGTCCATCGTAGCTAGGCGGGTCGTCTTCAATGTCAAGATTGGGAGGCGAAGGAGTTGGAATGGGAGACTTGGGTCTTCCCAAGGATGAAAACACAGACTTTGCCAGCGATAGCAACTTCTTTCGTTTCGAAGGATGGCCGAGGCAGCGTCGACACTTGTTGATCTCATGGAACGTCTCAGCCTGGCCACAGTCATAGCACCAGTACTCGCCAGACTCGAGGTGCTTGCAATCATAGAGGTGCTGAAGCAATAGCTCATGGTTGGGGAAACGCTTTCGGCAACGAAGCAAAGGGCATTCCCTACGCTCCTCGGCGGTCATCTTGGGACAAACATTTCGCTTGACTGCAGCCCATACAATGAATCTATGCAGAGCGCATTCATCCGACGAAGTGTCACGCGTGCTGAAGATTGCTTTCATCAGTATATGCTCTTAGTCCTGCGGAGGGCTGTTCTAAGAAGACTGCCCCATGGAGCGGGTTACCAACGTTTCATACACACATGGCGGCTGCTTCTCAGACTCAAAGGACCTGATGGACGATGAGGATATCGAGGCAGTGGTTGAGCGTCCGAGGCTTAATCGATGGCTCGTAGGGGTACGAGTAAATCTTCGTATGGCCGAGGCCGTCATGCTAATCTCGTCAAATGAAGAACGTTTTCCGCTCTCCATAGTGGCAACAGATGCTCAGACGAAGAACAACGAAAGGTTGACCGCACCCAACCAAGACTTCAAGGTATTGACGCCAAAAATAAAAGGGGAAAAGACTCGCTACATGGTCGTAGCCACAGGTGTTTAACTCAGGCCATAGTCCTTCAACCAGGGAAGAATGAGGATACAGGAAACCAGGCTGTGGTGGCTCTGGTCCTTGTCCTGGGAGGCCTTTGGCCAGCTCTCGCCGGCTTGCATATGTAGGACTCCTGCCGCAGAGCCGTAGGACTTGAGCCACAGCCCAATTGAGGGCGTGAGGGACAAGGCCCAGGGACGAACAGATCCCCCATCCAGAGCCGGGCTTGTCAACCTTGATGACGGATACGCGGGCAACCCCCCCTTCAGCCAATCGAACGATTCCCGCTGAGTGGCTGTGAGATCCGGGGCGGCCATGCATTTATTGGCCAGACCCTGGCAGGGCGTCAGCAGCAAGGCAGACAGCGTGGCCGACCAGCCGACCAGGGTCGTTGTCATGATGCAAGAGAGGTGTGATTGAAGAATGATCGAGATAGCCCAGATTGTCCTACCCCGTCCTCCCGAGGAATTGTTGGGCCGAGTCCCCCAGGTTGACGATACGACCGGTATTGAAGTACGGAGAGATGGCGATGAGGGTTTTCGCGTCACGCCACGCCTCTTTGTCTCTGGGGATTCAAACTGCGCGCCCGGTAGGAATCAGGTCGCTGACCTCAGTCACCCCGCATTCCCCGAGCAAAGGTCAACTCGAAATGCGCGCTCCGTACCTCTGTCCAGCATAGTCTTGTTCCCAACGTGGAATCGAGGGGGTCAGCGATGCTGGAATCTTGCAGCATGGATGATCGGTAGATGGTAGCCAAGGCAGACAGACACATTGCACCGCCGATAGGCGCAGACCAAGGGAAGGGAAGAGAAAGAAGAGGCGCCGCGCCGCTTCTGCGGGTCTGCCGTCCAAACAAGATTGACACCTTCCCATCATGAACGACCTGCACGGAGTACATCACATCACATGACATTGATCATTTGGTCAACAACAACTTTAGCCTACAAACAACACACATTCCCACTCCATTCCTTCAGTACCACTGTCTGTATTGAATGTTCGAATAGTCCCTGGAACCCGACTGGGCAGAACCGTGAGTAACCCTACCCTGCAGCAATACACTGGAAAATTGCTACTTTGGCCCATCACCGCCGACAGAGATTTCAAGCTGGTGAGGGTTGGCAATTATTATCCATTATCCACATTCTTGAAAAAGGGAATAGAAAATAAGTCATCAGAATGCTGTGGATTTGGTTTTTCAGCTCAAGTGAAGGGACGGCGGAGATGAAATTTTATGAGGTAATGGACAATCCCACATGCAGATTGATCATCTGACGCAACACGAACTATAGACATAAAAGTGTCATGGCATTTGAATGGAGCACGAATCTAGTGAGAGAAGTGGCCTTGGGGCAGATACATGGCGCATCTACGTCTCCCATTGTCCAAAGCCGGGCTCGTCTGAGGACTTTGGTATGATTTCATAAGTTATTAGGACCCCACGTTTAGCAATGGTAATGTTTGGCACATCAGATAGCCATAGATGACCTACGGACAAGGCGATTCAAATCTAGATCAAGGCTAGATTCTTACTTCTTATTTGCAAGTCATGTTGAGCGGTTGAGGTGGGAGATGGTAGAAAAAGGTTGCATTTTAGATTCTAAACCACCCACCCTTGTCGCTGCTTTCTGGGAAGCACATAGTGCGACCGAGATAAACGAGTATGAGCCGTCCTCTTGAAAATGGACGCAACCACTCATTCGTCCAACATGACAAAAATTCAAGGCGGCGTATCTGGAGTCGCGCCGGCATCTCTGAGCCGGAGCAGCTTTCCTATCTAGGCAATATCATCGGGCCTGCCCACCCCCCTGCGGCACTGCGGCACTGCGGGTTCCCACTGCCGGAGCCGCCCAGATCCCCAGATCCAGCGCGCACGCATTGGACCTGGAGCTGTCTCAGTGGCCAGTTGCGCTATTCGGTATTTCGGTAACGCCGCTGGGATGCCTCGGCTCTCCACCATATTCATAAACCCGGGCCTCCGCTCCGATCGCCGCCCATCGCCGCCCATCACCGGCCACCTCCAACTGAACCTCGTCCCCATAAGTTCCCGTCATCTTTTGTTCCTGGAGCGGAGCCCATTGAATCGAAAATGAAGGGCATTCAAGTTCAAGAATACGTCAAGGTACCGCAGCCCGCTCACATCATGCACCGAGGGGATCCGGCGAACTAACCTGCGGCCCAAGTCTCCAACAGAGCTCAAGGTGTCTGAGCTTGCGGACCCCGTGCCCAAAGATGACGAGTATTTGATCGAGGTTCGCGCCGCTGCGACCAATTTCTTCGACGTTCTCCAGATTGCTGGCAAGTACCAGAACCAGCCACGTATGTATCCCCCGTTGGCCAAGACTGGGCAAGCCTCCCCATTTGCTTACCGAGACAGCTTTCCCATGGATTGCCGGCGCCGAGTTCGCTGGCGTCGTCATCTCCACGCCCAAGGGGTCCAAGAACCCCAGGTTTCCCAGGGGAGCTCGGGTTTTTGGCGCGTCGCAGGGAGCATACGCCACCAAGTGTGTTGCCAAGGAGGTGTCTATGCTGCCTGTGCCCGAGGGCTGGTCGTTCACCGAGGCAGCCGGCTTGTTTATCACCGCTCCCACCAGCTACGGCGCTTTGGTAGTACGAGCCAATGTGAAGCAGGGAGATTATGTTTTGGTTCACGCCGCCGCGGGTGGTGTCGGCTTGGCTGCTGTTCAAGGTTCGCTGCCCGTCTCTCCAAAGTCGACACATATCAGAACGCACCATTTGTGAGCTAACGCTCTTTTCACAGTCGCAAAAGCGTTTGGTGCTACAGTCATTGCCACTGCTTCCACGCCCAGAAAATTAGAAGTTGCCAAGTCCTTTGGTGCAGACCACGTCCTCGATTACAAGGACCCCGAGTGGCCTGCCAAAGTCAAGAAGCTGACGCCCAAGGGTCGCGGAGTTGACATTGTCTACGACCCTGTTGGGCTGGTCGACAAGTCCACCAAGTGCACTGCCTGGAACGGCCGGATTCTAATTGTTGGTTTCGCCGGCGGCGCCATCGAAAAAGTGGCCATGAACAAGGTTCTTCTCAAGAACATTTCTCTCGTGGGCATCCACTGGGGCGCGTACAGCATCAACGAGAGAGAAACCATCCCCGTCGTATGGCAGGGCATCACAAAGCTTGTCAAGGAGGGCAAGCTTCGGGGAACAGAATTCACAGACGAGGAGTTTGTCGGATTAGATAGAGTCAAGGATGCGCTGGTCGCGTTGTCGGGGCGTGGGACTTGGGGAAAGGTTGTTGTCAAGGTGCCACAAGAAGGCGGTAGCCGTTTGTAAATGTACCAAGCGACAAGTTGTAGATGATGACAAGTAATGGTCTTGACGCACTCCAGGTTCGAAATATTGCTTCTGTACCTTTGCATTTTGAAAACCTATCCGTTCTGGCCATTAGTCTGGTGTAACGTGAGACTATCCAAAACTGCTATAAATCAATCATGCTACCTGGCTATCTGTCGTTATCTAAAATCATTTCCTCGCTGTTTGAGAGTTCTGCATATGTATATTATTCCCAGTCATCTTCAAGGCCTTTGTTTAGCAGGATCCCGCTCATACACTCTGTTATTCGTTTGCCGATCAAACATGTGTTACTGACTTGTGTCTTGATCTTTTATGAAATGTCGTCTCTTGACTTCTCCCTTCACTTGTCCGTTATCTCGAGGTTCATTAACAGCGATATTCTTCTTGATCCCTGATTTAGTCAAGGTGGGTTTTGTCGGTCCAACCATGTCCGTTTCAACAGTGCCGACTTCCTTCCCCTTAGTCCCAGAGTCATTCACCGCGGGTGTTGATACCGGGTCGTCCTTCAGCTGTGGTAGGGCAATTTCCAACACTGCAATTTAGGACTTGTTTGTGAGGATTTCATGGGCAGATGGATCGATAAGTTGAGGATTTTCAGCCCCAGAGATTGTTGATTTGTACTCCTTGGTCCGGAAGCCATCTGCTTCGATTGATTCGTCAACCATTTTTGAGGCCTCTGGCTCCGTGACTTGGACTTCTGCAGCCTCGGGCTCTTTACCCTGGGGCTCATCGACCTCTCTGCCTGCTTTGGGTATAGTTTCACAAGGTTGTTCTTCGCCTTGTTTCTGTGGATTGCTAGCCGCTTCTGCGTTGTCATGCTTATTCCGCTCATCTAGATTCCTTACGTCCAAAAATGTGTTTGCATTTCGGGTAATCGTATAAAAAGGCCCATGTGAAATTTTATCGAATATTTGCTCTTGAAGTTCTGGGTAGTCAAAGGTGTTCCTCCTGATAGCATCCCAGTTCTTCTGCGGGGGAAGTACCCTCTCCCATGGATCGCGATAGATATTATGCCATGCCATGGCGTCATAATCACCATATCGATGTCTAACTTTCTTATCTGCGCACAGAGGAAACGGGCATTGGGCGGCTGGAGGACCGACTTTGAGAAAATGTATCATTTGTTTGAACTGGGTATCGAGCGGTCTCCAGATGCGAACAGTCTATCGGACCCTTCCAGAGTGTATATATACATATTTGCACTGGGAATCCAGTTAGTTTTCGAGCAAAAGAGTAATGGTAGGTGGAGGATGCTTACTTCTGTCCCTGACTTGCCCCTGTCGAAGAGTATGACACCGCCAAAGATTCTGTCCTCTGCCCAATAGCCTGCCATGTCCGCCGCGCCGTTTGGATATTTCTCGTGGAATGTATAACGCGCATGTGAGAATATTGAAGCAAAGGCTGGTAGAGCCTCGCGCGTGGTCCATTTTCCTGGCATCCATTCATATGTCTTGTCAGGCTCCACGTATGTGACGACGCTCTGAATATCACCTTTGTGTGACTTTTCTTCAAGATTTAACAGGTATACAGCCATGGCATGGACTGCAGTTGCCACCATTTAGATGAGTCGCAAGTCAAATTGTCGGCTTCCCAGATCAGCGTTTTGGAATGCTTGCACCAACTGTCTGCCTTGAATTAGCTGCACATTCTCCCTTGAAGCCGTAAGCATTGTGCCATACGTACTGAAGTTTTAAATTGTAGAACAGAAGGGTCAAACTCGGCACGAAAAGCCCTCGTCCTTTCCGTGGCTCCCTCGCAGAGGGACTCATGGGGGAGTAGAGGATTGCCACCCAGGTTCCTCCTCGAGTACCCTTCGCGGTAGACGTCTATTGTCGGAAGTCCATCGGCAAGCTGGGCCATTGTGAACTCTGCCAGTTGCGTAGATAGAACATTTAAAAGAGCCCGTGTAAATATGGCATGATGATCCGGATCCAACGTGGACACGGAGACTGTTGAGTTTGTCGTCCTGGGAGTCGCCATGTTGCGGAATGGAATCTTGGTGCCGAATCTTGACGCTCTCTGGGCGGTGTTGTTTTTGCCCTCCTAGAATGCACGGCTACACCTCTCTTTTAGGTCTTTTGAGAAATCAACATTTCAAGGGCGGATCGAGAGGCGATGCTGGCGAATGAAGAAGGAAGTACCGTCGTTGGGTGTTGCCAGTTGGGTGAGCGCCGCCCCGTTACTACCAGGCATGAGCATGTGTCATCGAATGACGCGCGCTTTGCTTGCATGCAGCTACGGAGGCAGCCGTCTTGGTTCCATGTTTGTTTGTTTCAATTGTATTTGACAAGAATGGGATTCACTGGTCTGCCTGGTCAGTGCTCCTTTGTATAGGCCGGCTCTGATCACCAGAAGGTCGGGCGCACGGCAATACATGGTGCGATGAATCTGATGATGTGTGGCTGTGTTGGTGTGTTGGTAGCGTGTGGTGGACGCAAAACACGGCCAACAGCTGCTTCTTGCCTGCATCCAGGCCAAGAATAAGATTGTTTGTTAACTGTTCGCTCCATGAGTGTAGAGTTGTATCATTTCGTAGGTACCAGTCGACGTTCTAGATGAATTCGTCCATGCTACTTGAAATCTGTTGTAAACCAACATTTGCGACGACTGGCGCGTACAGGTCAAGTCCAATGCTAGTATCAGCATGTATCTACAAGGGTTCAGAGGGCTAAGAAGAATATAAATGCGCGATGCGTACCCGTAGGCATCGATTCTCACGACACCTTCCGAGGCTACTTCTCTATCCACTTACTCATTGATCACTTATACAAAAGAATTATCGTTTCTACAAAGTACGCCCCCAAACTGGGGGAGGGTAAAATGTATGTTATTAGACCCATATCTTTAAGAGTATTTGTTATAGTATTAATTAAGTAGTATAGTACATCGTGGTATATTAGTATATACTTACGAACAAGGCAGGAGCATGTCTCAACGTCGCGTACTTCGAACTGCCACGGTCCAGTGGAGGGAGGTTCAGAGAGAGGAGTCCCTGCCTATTCAGCGGTCTTTTGCCCAGTTTCAGCCTCGACGCTTCCACGCCATCAGAATTTCGCAAACACAAAGATAGAAAATCCCGTCTTCGAGGCCGTTGCTGCTACGGCTCAACTGGGGATAGATATACTACACAGCTCTACGGGATTCTCGGGTCTTATGGACACCGGAAAGCAGATCATCAAAGAGACACTACGCAATAACCCTAATCAACGCTGCCGAGATGCCGAAAACATTGAGCAACATACCAAAGACTACCTCGAGCGCATTACAGAAAACTTTACTGTCCTCCTATTCTACGATATGAGAGCAGCTACGAATGGAAGAACTACCAAAGGCTCATGGGAGGTCCCTCAGGGCAGGTTATTCCCCCCTCCACCATGCCGCCGCCATTGAGATCAACCGTATGGTTCCTCCCAGTCTTGAAGCAGGAGGCTTCATGTCAGGTACGAGGCTTTGTATGCGAGTTTTATGGTAATTCATGAAAACTAATAGAATCTGTAGTAGATAGCATGTATACGCAGTGTACCAATTTCCCCCCTCCGCTATCCTCAGCTTCAGATACTTCAAGAGAAATTGACCGGCCCGCAAACCTGGATATGGAGGATTCTCGCAACGCCCCCGGCTGGCTTCCAGCCCCTTCATGGCAGTCTAACTGGCAGAGAAACGGATGGGACTATGGTCTTGCAGACCCTTTTTGGTCTCTTTGCCCGTTCTCTCCTACTACTGGATCTAGTCGCGACAACATTGGCAACTCCTCGTCCTTGAGCAATAGAGAGTTCCAATGAAAAGAAATCAGTGTCCGGCCTCCTCCACCGCCGTACATCTCTTGCAGATCGCCCATGGAATGCAAGGCTTCCCTGCTCTTGAGGGTGAATCTCGTTCTCGAAGCTCCGAGCATCGGCAACCCACAAAGAAGCGGGATAGTGTTAGGGTAGTCATAATGGAGCTAGTACTGTCAGCTGGAATGCTGTACCTTCTATCATGATATGCGTCAATACTTTATGTAGCCTCATTCTACTACGGAGCACCTGGAAATAACGTAAAATAAGCAACAATATTTAAACCCAACGACACACCTCCAATAAAATTCCATATCGCTTACTAGTTTCGAGCCGAAACAACACCATACCTCACCAGTCCCAACACGGCCCCAAGCACAATCGCAAGCGCCGCGGGAACCCCAAAATGCCTCCCACCTACATACGTCGTAGCAGTGACCACCACCCACCACGGGTCGTCACCAAGGCTCTTCCCTGACTGAAACCCTTCATCGATATAACCCACCTGCCATATGCGATACACAGCTGCATAGATCAACCCGACAGCGCCAGCATTCACGCCCCTCAGTCCGGATTTCACCCACGGCCTGCTCCGCAAGGCGCTCCAGACGCCCATGGTTCCGTGGACAAGTATAATGCCGGGGAGAAATATCCCCAAGAACCCAAGAATGGCGCCTGCCACTGAAGAATACCCGCTGTTGATGGCGGCCAGACTACCCAAGAAGACGGCAAAGTTAAAGTTTGGTCCTGGAAAAGCCTGGGTGATGGCGAGGCCGATGAGAAAGTCGCGGGGACTGACCCATCCCTCTGCGACGACGTATTCTCTCAACAAGGGAATGACGACTGGTCCTCCGCCAAAGATGATGGTCCCTGCGAGGTACAAGTTTGCAAATAGTTTAAACAGCATGGGCGGACTGCGCAAAACACCACGAAGGACCATGATGACGATGAAGGTGAGGAAGAATGCCGTGATGATTGCCGTCCCGACCTTCCAGGAGAACTCGAGGCGGTATTCTTGCGGGATAGTACGAGGCTCAGGGTCCTCTGATGGAGGGACGTCGTGCTCGCCAGGAACGCTTCCTCCTTCACCAACGACCCGTCCTGGCTCCGGTGAGGCTCCTCCCAGCCTCACCCATAAACTCTTCACGTTGCGAACCGGCCGGTGAAGCCAGCGGTAGTCATGTATGACGGCGGCGCAGCCGGACAGTACCATCAGGACCGGGAAGTACCACAGTGCGTTGTACAGCATTCCCGCCGTGGCCGCCAAGAAGACCAGTATCCGGGTGAGTTGGTCGGTGACGGCCTTGCCGGAAAGTTCAACCGCTGCCAGTGCAATGATGCCGACGGTGGCGGCATTGAGGCCGGACAGGAGCGCGTATACCTCCCGCGGTAGAGTATCCTGGATGTTGGAGACGCCGATGGACAGGCCAAACATGCCCAATGCGCCGGGCAGACTGACGAGGCATATTTAGTCTCTCTCTCTCTGTGTCTCTTTCCTGTATATCCTGGCCCACGACGAGGGCTCCTTTGCAACTCACCTCCATATTAGAAACGCCAGGATGGCGGCAAGCAAGCCCCCGTGGATGAGGTTGATACAATAGAGCATCTTGGTGCTTGCGGGGCCACATAATGCCTGCGAGATGCTAAACAGCTCTTGATACTGTCAATGTACGGTTAAATCTCTCAATCAACAAACACTCGGGGCATTGCGGCGTGTGATGCGCACCAGCTGTTCATCTATCCATCTCAGCTTCACCACGAATTTGTCACGAAACTGCTCGTTGTTTGTTAACCTTGGCCGAGCACACATAGCCGTCTTGCACACGTACAATCTTAAAATGCACCGGCGGCCCGCCAAAAGCAGTGAAGCCCAGATACCAATTGAATCTCGTCGCTTCCCAGCTGCTGCGGACAGCCCTTTGCAACGAGAGATCCCAGCTGTTTACAGTCATGGCGCACACCACACGGTCCGACGTCGTGTGCCTTCAGGGACAGTGCCAACGCCCAGAAAGTGCAGTCAACTGCTGTTATTATATCATCTTCCCGCGGCCTCACAGTACCCTTATTTCAGCCCCCCATTCAATACGTGTAACAGCCAGGTTGTGAGTCACTAGCCGAGGGTGTGGTGTGCTTTGCGAAGGGTATTGGCCGGCTTTTTTGCGCCCAGATAGCCACAAAGTTGCGCCATCGCTGGCAATCGTGGTCAAGGTGGAACAGCCAAGACAACCAAGAGTTCTTGTAGTATACGCAATGTGCCATGACATCTATTTTGGCAATGAGTTAGTTTGGCGAGCTGGGAGCTCGTATGACATCTATTGGATTCATGGCATTCTACCTCATGTCTTCATAAACCTATTTTGCTATCTTGCCGCGTTTGCCAACTGCCCAAACCTCTCCAGAACATCCTTGTCTACATTCACCGCCCACTGTTCTTCAAACGCCGCCTCGCCACCAACCCGGGCTACTAGATCCTGCAGCCTCGCACTCACAAACGAGAATGTCGGCACCGAGTGAACCGGGTCTTTGGCCATAGTCTGTCGTTCTATTATCATCTTAGGGGTATCGTATTCTGAGGGTTCCAGCTCGCCCCATACAAGTGTATCATGACCACCCAACTCCCCTTCTTGGACTTCGGAGGTGACGTTTGTCCACATGTCGAAGTAGTCCTGGAGCTTGGACAACGTGAGCTCTTGCATGGGAGACGGAAGTTCAATCAGCCTCGTGAGGCCGAGAAGGTACAGCTTTTGGCGTTCTTGGTGGTCCATGCTGGAGAGGTGTGAGAACCATTCCGCAGAAAGCCAAGACCACACTTGTTCGAGGGATCCGAATGCAGTGAGCATTTGTACAAACATGTTGGGTTCGGCCAGGGCAATCCGGGCTAGTATGGCCAGGTAGTCCCCTTCTGTAATGGTGTTGAGCTTGGAAATCTTCCTGTTAGGACCGGTTGTTTGGTGTGCTTCCCATGCGTCGTGGATATTCGTCATGATTTGGTTCATGAAGCCAGTTTCTAGCATGTCTTGTACAATGACTGAGATTCCGTTTGACCCACCGAGCTGTGTTGCCGCTCGGATAAGGTACTCGATGCAAACAGTCCCCAGACGAACTTGCTCTCGGCTCTTGGAATTGAGAGTGCCAGAGAGGGCGGCCAGCGTTGGCCGGCGGAGCTTGTCCTCCAACATTGCAGATGGTGCTATCAGGATGTACGACTCTACGGCCGTAAGTGCCTGGGATGCTGTGTCTGGTTGGTACTCCAATAAAGGAAGAGCCATTTCCGCAAGGCTAATGACTTCGGGTGCAAGGGGTGCTTTGCTTTGCATAAGAATTGCGTTCCACAGTTCAAGTGACTCGTCAATGAGATGGACATGAATGTCGGACCCTGGCCTTGCGGCTTCTGATAGCAGAGGAATCATAAAGTTCTGATAACGTTGTGACTCGTCACCCATACTCATAACAAGAGCTGCAAAGATAGCAATGACTGCCTGCTTGATCATGTATTCTTCGGTACCAGAGTTCTCCCATACGCCTGGAAGTGCAGACATTAGCTGGTCGCCAAACTGTGAAACTTGCTCTTCCATTCGCGTTACCAAGATTCGAACGGACTCTAAAATGGCCAGCTTGGTCTCATCAACGGCCACGTTCCGGATGAGCTGGATGAGTTGAGAGAGGACGTCAGAAGTATATGGCAAAAATGCCTCGACGCTAAAGTCGAGCTCATCTGCGATCCACCGCAGCTGTCTTGCAGCCGTGATTTGCACTACCAGATCATTCGTTTCGTCATTGGGATTCAAAAAATGCTGAAAAATTTGATACACCAATGGTCTGCTGGTATCTGCCAGCTTAACTGGTGCCCATTGGCTAATTAGAATAGCGATGCGTCTCCGTAAGACTTTGTGCAAGCCACCTTGCTGTTGAGCATCGTTCACAATCGTTGACGACAAAACAGAGTCAAAATCGAATACATTGACAACATGGGCAGCAGCCAAGCCCATTGCTGTGTACACAGCCTCTTTCGTGGCGATGTCGGCCTGAGATGATTGTGCAGATTGGAAATATGAAAGCAATGGTGGTATAATGAGTTGTTTGAAGTTTGTAAGCAGATCCAAAAAGAGCTTTTCTGCGCATGGCCGAACCTCCCATTCGAAGGCGTTGCCCTCACTTTGCTCCTGCTGTTCCCACTCTTCGGGATCTTCCTCCCACGCCTCAAGATCTGAGCGTCGGAAGACAAATAAATGTGTGATAATAGAGTTAACCATCTGAATGACCAGATCGTCTTTCAGAAGCTCTGTTTTGATAAAATTTCTAGACTGTTCTTGCTCTGCCTTGGTCTCGGGAGTCCGGTATTTGAAGGTTTGCACCGGTTGAAATGCAATTCTTACACAGGCACGGAGCAAAAGAAGGCCTTTAAGCGCCAGCCGTTCTTGCAGAGGCCCCTCAACCTTAGCCTTGGATGAACCGGCGTCCCCAGAACCTTGACGGATGCCGCCTGACGAGTCAAAGACTTCTGCGAACTTGGAAACCAAATCCCAGTACGCATGGACAAGATGAAGAGAATTGGGTAAAATCGAGAAACTCGCTGCGTGTTGTTCGGCCATGTCTATATGCAATTTCGTAAACTGGAGAAGATGCTTGCCAACAAGGTCTTGGTAGATGGGAGGTATGGTGGGTTCCTGGCCTACAAAGTTGAGAAACTGTCCAAATTGATTTTGAGAAATCGTCCAGAATTGTTCGACTGACTTGTCGGTGTGCGGCCTCTCATATCCTAGGATTATAAGCCTTCTGATAATTTTCAAAGACAGAAGACTATTATGCATGGCAACATTGGCATCCTCTCCGGACCCTTGATTACTGGACAAGAATGATAACCAGAGTGTAGTCTTTTCGGCATAGATATCATTCAAGACGTAGACAATCTCAGGTGTGACGGATTGTAACGCTGTCTGTGATTTCCTCAAGCGAGCGGTTCCCAGCTCTTTCACCACCCGCAGAAGAATTTGAAGAGTTCCGTATAGATGCTTCTGATTTCCATCCTTTCCGGACCGTAATAGGCCGATTGTATGAGACAGTGCATCGGGCCAGTTTGCCGGGTAGTCGATTCTCACAACTTTTGCCACAGCAAGGGCATTGTGCAGGGCCAGGTTTCGTTCTTCCTCGTCAATTGTTCCTTGAAAGAGTCGAGATCGGATCAAGGTCTTTTCGTCCGGTTTTATTCCATTCCTGACATGCGCATATAGCCTCCAGTACTTATCGATTCCATTCTTGAGTTGAATAACGGCGAGGAAGCGCACATTGGTCGGGATCGACTTATCGAGGAACACGGCCTGGCACCTGGTCAGCCCTCATTTGGCATGTGCGGGCGTAAATGTCTTCCTACCTGCAAAGACGAATAGTAGCCCGGTGTCTGCTCCCAAGATGTAAGCTGTTGCCCGGCAGTCTGCCTTTGCGCAAAGTCGTTCGAAGTGGCAGCCTGCAACGCGTGGCACAGCGTTTCGAGGGACAGGGGATTCGCCTCGCCAGGAACCTCGATAGCAAAGCTCATGGTTGTTTTGCCAGGACGGTTCAACTAACCACCTGCCGCTCCCTATAACAGGCTATGTACAGCCTTTTGAGCAAAGAAATAACACTCTCGTCCTAGTCCCAACAAACGCCGTGGGGTTGGAGCACGAGAGCTTGAATTTTGAACTTGACCGACCGACGCATGTCCCACGGGCAGGTTTGGTGGGGTTCAGACAAAATGGAGGGGTCAAACTAGACTCTCACCAACTTGACCTGGACTAAGCGCTTGAACCACAATCGAGAACCAGCCAGCCCGGTTCAGCCTCATTGACCTGCATCCGTGCCTGTAAAACAACACGGCAGTTGGCCGTGGCTTGGTAGACCGACTTGTTCAAGGTGAATTCAAGTCTCGGATATGATTGTATATTATTTGACCATACACGAGGGTATTCAGCTGTGACCTGCTGCACCTTGTCGGGCACCGGCGAATTATCTACCACACGCAGCCCATCACTGCCACCATTGACTGCAAGAGACGCAGACAAAAAAAAAAGAAAGAGAAAAAAAGGCAAATTAATTAGGAACTTAGAGCACATGTACCAACTTCCATGTCCCGATCAGACTAGTAATCTTGCCAAATCTCCTGCAAATTTGAAATACACAAGCCAGTCTCTGAAGTCTAAAGTCGACCGGACGGCATCTCATGCCCTCTGCTTGCCAGTGGACCCCTAAAACAGCACGAAATCTATGGATGTCAGTGGATCCATTCCATTTCCAGTAATGAGCTGAGGAAGCCCTTCCATCTTCACCTCTCAACAAGGCCAGCTCGGACAAACTCCAAGCGCTTCAATCGTGGCCTTCGACCGCCATTGACAGCCACCGCCGCCATGATACGCTTAGGGGCTGCCAGACAAGCGGCTCTGGGCATATCACGCGTGCGATGGACCTGTCCCGCCTGTCTCTGTCGCCGGCAGTACTCTCAAAAGCCAGAGAAGCGCGAACCTCCCGACCATAGAAAAATAGGCCTGCAACAGGAACTCTTCATCACCTCCGCGTACAGCCCCGGGTCCCCAATCTTCCTACCAAACGGAGCCAGAATCTTCAATCGGCTAATCGACTTCATCCGCAAGCAGTACGCTCGCTATGGCTTCCAGGAAGTCATCACACCAACGATATATAAGAAAGCGCTCTGGGCCAAGTCGGGCCACTTAGAAAACTATGCCGACGACATGTACACCGTGACCGGAAACACGAGCACCCCCGACAAAGATGCAGGCGGGTGCTGCGGAGGCGGCCACGGCCCAGCCGAGCCCGACTTGGAAGCAGACAACGAGTACGGCCTGAAGCCCATGAACTGCCCGGGGCACTGCCTCATATTTGCCTCCAGAGTCCACAGCTATCGCGAATTGCCAGTCAGATATGCCGACTTTAGCCCTCTGCATAGAAACGAGATCTCAGGTGCTCTATCTGGGTTGACCCGTGTACGACGATTCCACCAGGACGACGGCCACATTTTCTGCCGCCCTTCGCAAGTCGAAGAAGAGATCAAGAAGACGTTGGACTTTGTCAAGGTCGTATATGGCGTTCTCCGCCTGGGTGTCGGCTACAGACTTGCGTTGTCTACCCGACCAAAAGACCACTTCATCGGCACCGAAGACGAGTGGAACAGGGCCGAGGATCGCTTAAAGATGGCGCTGGACTCGTCGGGCATGGAGTGGAGCATCAACGAGGGGGATGGTGCATTTTACGGCCCCAAGATTGACATTGTGATCAAGGATTCGGATGGAAAAGAGCATCAGACGGCCACAATCCAGTTGGATTTCCAGCTTCCCAAGCGTTTCGCGCTCGAGTACCAGGCGCCCGCGCCTGAATACGAAGCACGGGGAGAGACGACGAATGATCCGGTCTTGTTGGCGGAATACGGCCCCGTGCGGCCCGTCATGATTCATCGCGCGGTATTGGGCTCGGTGGAACGGCTCATGGCCCTTCTGATTGAGTCATACGATGGCAGGTGGCCGTTTTGGCTCAACCCGCGACAAGCCATCATTCTCACGGTCAATACATCACGGCCCGTTTTGGATTGGGCAGATGAAGTCAAAGAGATCCTCCTCGGGCTGAAGAAGGAAGCAGGCCAAACGAGCACGGAAGGACCCGTGAACCCGACCGGCCTAGCAGTCGATGTCGATTATAGTGCTCGCTCTCTCGGCTCCAAGATCCGAGAGGCACGAATCAACGGCTACAGCCAGATCCTAGTTGTGGGCGAAGAGGACGTCAAGCATGGCCAAGTCAGCCTCGGGAAAGAGAGAATGAGCCCCATGGAGATGCGTGACAAGATGTGCAAATTGGCCGACGCGTTTGAATAGGGTAACTAAAACTTGTCTTGTATTTATACATTGTAAACTATAGCCTCAATGATCCCACAATAGAATACCCATCACATCCCCGGATAACGTCCCAAAATTGTTGCGTGATGACCCTCCGCTCATTCACACAACAGTCGCACATCATCTACTTCTTAAACTATCCGTTGCCAAATGCAGAAACACCACCCCTGACTCAGCGTAATGCTGAACCCCTTCCCCCAAAACATCAGCAGTTCCCTGTGGGACGGAAATGGCAACTAGGGATGGTTGTGGTATGAAACATGATGTGCGACGACCCGCAAAGACCTCGGCTCAGGTATCGTTCAGAAGCTGGGGCTATACACTCTTTCTGTTAAATCGCCCAGACACGCGAAGAACAGGGATGTAGCTAGCGCAAGTATTCTCAACACAAAGCTCGCCATCCGGAGGTAATATTTGTTTGTAAAACATGGTTTTCTCCTCCGGTGCTCACAAAGCAAAGGGAGTGATTGTTATGGCCGGCCCGTCGGCACTTTTTTACGTTTGGGAGATTCCATCGTCACACGCATAAGCCGGATTCATCCCTTTGAGCGGCCATGAGTCTGTTCGTTCAACACCCTGGTTAACAGATGGTTAGATGGTAAACGGCGGTGGGAAAGAAGACAACAGGAGCATTTCGGCTTGGCAGCGTTCGCTCGGCCAGTGGACGTTGAATGGGAGAAATGAGGGTAGGGGTTAAGGGAGGAGCAAACTAACTTCTTGAGCTCGTCGTCTACATGACCGCCTGACTGCTCGATGCGCTCAATAAGTGCGCGACGTTCTTGCATCTGTTGGCGCATATATTCGACGGTGCGCTTCAGTACGAGACCCTCGGACCGGCCTTGGCCTTCTAGACCAGGGACGAGTTCAGTCAGGCGGTCGAATCCTTCGCGAATGGCTTGTCTACGCTTTTGTTCTATTAAAGCAAGGCAGGTTAGTAGAAGTAAATAAAATTTGTCTAGGGAAAAAAGGTATCTGATTGACAAATCTAAACGAATGCATGCATGCAGCATTGATTCGGCCGAGCAGAAGTATACAGGATGTTGGGTGTTGGCGGGTGGAGAGATAACGTCATGTGGCACCATACCTGAAGCAATGTGATTCTGCTTCTTCTCCTCCTCAGTCAAGCGAGGCTTCTCGTCAGCACCAGCGGCGGCATTCTCTCTGGACGATGTTGATGTATTATTCGGCGACGACATGGTTTCAGTTGGCGTGAGCGAGCGTGAGAGGGACAGGGATGACTATAACCACGGAATAGTTTGCCACGCGCTGGTTCGCTTTGTTGTGGAAGGAAGGAGCCTGGAATAAAAGGAGTGACGAATAGATGGCAGTGGTGGGAATGGGAACCAAGTCGGCTATATGTTTCTTTGCTAGATGCGGAACAGAAGTGAGTTGGAACAAGCAACGAACGACTTCATGTGAGACGAGAAACTGGGCCGGGGCATGGATGGGTTCGGTTAGTGGGGGGACATTGCAATCTACCACCAAGTACGGGGTACTACCAAGGGGCTTTGCGCAAGCCAGTTGGCGCCGAGTCGTTGGAGTCCCCATGCAAAATCACATGCACATTTTATGCATTGAGCACATGCATCAGCTAGCCGCACGGGTCTTGCTTGTGAAGGCGGAACGGGATATGGAGCAACAGACAACAGCGTACGAAGTAGTACATGATATAAGCACTTAAGTACGTACTTTAGGGTGCGGAGCAAGGCACGGCTTATGCGTACCACATCCAAACATAAGTAATTGACCCAGCTACTGTATTGGCGTATAAGTGCCTACTTAAGTAAGTAGGTAGGTACTCAAGTAGATTGGCCTCGGAGCTTGATTCCTGCGGGTTCGCCAAAAGAAAACTACTTGACATCTCACCACCTGCGTCCGGGGAAGGGTAGAATTAACGGAGATGAAGCATTTAAAAGAACGCAATGGGACGTGAGAGCCCTGGATTTGACTGATCTGGCCATCTTGTGAACGGATGATGCCGGGCATATATCTTGATTGACGCAGGGGGTAACTGCTAGGTACTCCTTGACACTTCCACATGCCATTACCTCCAGTTTTCTAAAGTTAGATAGATGGAAGTCAACTACAGCCAGATCGATGTGCTACAAGTAATGTACCGTGTGTATTAATTTCTGCGGAAGCCTCGGTTTCATGCTTTCCTGATGATTCGATCTGATCTATTTTTTGCCAACATTTCCCATATCACTCTATCTAGTGCCACCTGGCACGACTAATCCTGGTATCATCATTTCCCCTTGTGCCCGTCGACAGTCCGAGGTCACAAGCTACGCTTGTGAATTTGCATTGCTAGTTGCGGATACTTCGGGAGTGTCCGGCACGAATGACAATCACACAAGTCTTTCTGCACTGCATCAATCATCCTCATCGGTGGCACCATCGTCAAACTCATCCGCATCCTGTTGAAACACGACCTTTTCGGCCATGGCTAAACATCGCCTGACTGGTAATCCCACCACGTTGTCCACACTGCCCTCAATCTTCTCAGCGAGTATCATGCCGCCAATCCCTTGGATGGCATAGCCTCCAGCTTTGTCTGCACCCTCGCGGGTTTTTACGTAGGCTTCAATAACGTCGTCCGGTAGGCCGTTCGCTTCGCTGAAGAAGTACACTTTTGTCTCTTCTGTGTGAGTGGTAATGCAGTAGCCGGGATGCTGTGCATCTTCCCGAGGTGCCAGCACCGTTACAGCCGTCAAGACACGATGCATCTCTGTATCACGCATATGCTTCAGCATGCGGATGTGTTCTGCCTCGCTCCGGGGCTTTTCTAATATGCGGCCGTCTCGAGTGGCGATGATTGTGTCGGCGGCAATTACGACGTCGGGGTCCGGTATCGACTTTAGGTGCGTCTCTAAACATGTCGTGTAGACATCGAGACATTTTCGGCGAGCCGTCTCAGCAACATATTCATAGGGTCCATAGACTGCTTTATCCACGTCCTCGGGCTTTGTGGAGGGGGTGATCTCCAGGTTGTTTAAGCCAATCTGTTTCCTAGGTAAGCTTCTATACGTATATAGCGGCGCATTTTTATTATATACTTGTTGGAGCAAGGCCTTGCGCCGAGGTGAAGCTGATGCGAGCACCACTCGCTTGGTGTTGAGGTGCTTGATGATGGGCAGATCGAGTGGCTGCACCGGTTTGCGAATCGGCCCAGCAGATCGAGGGCCTGTATTGCGTTCCGCCGTCGCCTGATCATAGCCGGGGGGTGGTCCGTTAGGCATCTTGGAACCTGACAATGGGGTGACGATGTCGAAAGACCTTGGTTCTAAAAGTCAGCCGGCTTGCGACAATGGGCTGTGAAATTCACCGATGACACACTTTGGTGGGTGGTGGGGGAATTGGTTCCACTTGGCTCTTCCCGCGGTGCAAGTAGAGGCGGCGCAAACCTGATGTTGTACTGATCGCTGCCAGATCTAAGTACCTAAGGTATTCATGAGAGACCATGTACTGGGTAGACTCAATGTTAGATAAATGAATGGCCGAGTACTTACCAGTACTTTTCCTTGACTTTATTCAGCCTAGCCCCAATAGCAGTTCCTCTACGCCAGGGAAACCTTGTTCGATGAGGGACCACCTCGCTATTGGAAAGTATGAGCGCAACTGGAAATCATAGTCAATGGCTGAAGGGGGAAAATGCTATTATTTACATAAAAGCAATCATTTGGCGACTACAAACCCCCAATATATTACTCCTCCCCATGTTTCACTGACAAAGAGCTTCTGTTCTGAAAGAGAATGTGTGAGAACCTTGAACGAATCTCTGCCTTGTTGCCTTATTACCAAGGTTGGACTAGCGCAGAGCTGCCTGGTACGTGCTTTTTTGTACCTTGAATTCGAAAAGCAACTGTAGAACGCTGGTCTCTCCCAAACCCCGTCGCCCTAACCATCGACAGATTCCAGATCCCAAGCTTCCTTTTGGCTGCTTGGACGCCAGCACATCATTGGCAGTCTGCGAGACAATTTTGCGACGACTAATTGCGCGGTATTCGATTTATCCTTCCGAATCTGCAGCCTTGTGCGCAGCACATGTACCTCACGGCAACGCGACATCACAATCACGCGTCGAGTGCAATCTAAACTGTCTTCGCGAGCTCCCGTAACAGCTGGCGAGGTTCTAGACACCAATCCGACTTGACAACCTGAAAGAAGCAAATTGAATTTCGCTTGGTTGTGATGCCCCGACCGCTGCGTCTGTGATTTTCAACATGACGGACAGCAAGCGCAAGGCAAATGGCCATTCGGCCACAGAGGCGGATGATCGCTCTGCCAAACGTCGCAAGTTAGCAGTAAGTCAATGTTTGCTATTTGGGTCAAAGCCATGTGAATGGTGTTGAAGCGATCTGATGAGTTCGCTAAAAGAATTTGACTATAGGAGTTCGATCTCTCCAAGGGCGAGTCCCGTGAATCAACTACAGCCTACGGCCTCGCCTTTCTTGAGCAAATACGCCGCACTGCTGACAAAAGGTAAGTGCAGTGTTTCTGATATGAAATGCTAATACTTGACAAGCAAATCTAACTGGACCCTCGCCTGACAGTGGACGGCTCGTTGCGATATATTTTGAGAACCTGCTTCCTCGGGAAGGAAATGCAGAATATTACAAGCGAACTCGGATGCCTATTTGTTTGACATCTATTGAAGAGAAACTCAATAAAGGAGGTTTCAAGAACCTTGCGGAACTAGAAAGTTATTTCAAACGAATGATTGCAAACGCGAAAGAGTTTTACCCTCGCTCATCAACCGTGTTCGAAGATGCTGAACGCGTTAGAAAAGCATTGAGTAATTACATGACCAAAACGAATCCAGCTTATCAAACGCGGAACTATCAGGCAGTGCCAACTCCGCTACCACCCGAAGATGGTGAAGAAGTAGAGGAAGAAGAGGAGGAGGGGGATGAAGATGCCGAAGGCGAAGAAGAGCCAGCCCAGGAGCAAGAAGACGAGGACGGCGAAGAAGAAGAAGAAGAGGAGGAGGCTGAGGAGGCTGAGGAGGAGGGGGAGGAGGGGGATGATGAAGAACCAGCTTCTAGGCGCAGATCCATCATCTTAAAACGGTCTAGGGGCCGACCTTCGCTGGACTTGGCATCACACACAAACAGTCCGCGTCGAGCCAGACCGGCTGGCCGTCCTGACCACGAGTATAAGAATGTACCATTCAAGGGGTTGAACTTCCAGCAGGCGCAGGAAAAGATTGTCGAGGAGCTACTACGTTACAAGGAGCCAGAGTACGCACATTCAAGACGGAACCCAATCATCACAGATAACTAATCAGGTGTTAGGTACGAGGGATATTTTGAACCATTCGTCAATTTGCCACCCCGCGCCTTGAGAGATTACTATCGAGTCATTTCCGACCCTTTGTCACTAAAAAAGCTTCAGAAAGAAGTCCTGGGCATCCAAGGCCGTGGAGACCCCACGGGCATAAGCGACTTCAAGAGTTGGAATGCTCTAGCAGAGAGAGCCAAGCTGTTGTGGAACAACGCATATTTCTACAATGAAGAGGGCAGCGAAATCTATGAACTGGCCCAAGAACTTGAAGTATGTAGCTTTGGCCCTACAATCCGTAGTTTTGGGACTAACCTCGACTCTAGAAAGCATTCAACGAGCAACTCAAGAAAGCCAAGGCAGTGGTTCAGGAACCTGCGCAGCCCAAGATCAAATTGAAGGTTGGACAATCCATCGATACCCCCAGTTCATCGAAGAAAATTACCATCCTTGTTGGTGGCCGAGGAAGCTCTGTTGACTCACCAACGCCACAGACAGCGCAGTCTATCGAACCCCCCGCTGGTGGCTCTCATGTCAATGGCACAGCACGACAGCCTGCGCTCGACGCAGCACGAAGCGCCTCGGCCTCAATGCCTTCGCCCAGCCCATCAACACATGTTGGTCTCAAGGCAGAGGAAAGTGCGCGAATGTCTCCCGCAGTGCTCGCTCAAACTCCTGCGGAAGCTCCTCCTGGGCCGCCAACACCTGCCGTGGAAGCGCCGCCGCCGGCGCCGCCGCCACCCGCTGGACCTCCGCAAATACAGTCCACGAATCCAATGGCAAATGGCTATGTAGAGCCAAAACGACTCCGTGCTCCAGGAAAGGGTACGCTCAGATCGCCCATCACCAATTCAAATCAATGTGCTAACAAACTCTACCAGGCATCAAAGACGCACTCATTTCTAGACTTCGAATCCAACTCCATCCCAGCATGCAACCCGGTGACCCCGTCCTCCTCGATGTCCTTCCTCTTCCCCATGAAATGCAACAATCCGGCACCGTCAACGTCCCCCCGATCATCAATCGCATCTTCATCGTGCCAATGCTCCCAGACCTCCTCCAAGACCGCCAGTATAGTCTCTGGGTTCTCATCGACAAACAGCCTCTCAAGCCATGCCATCAGCCTATCCCTAACCAGCTACCCCAGGAGCGCGCATTCGACGTCATGCTCCACCCAGGCGTTAATGTCATTGAGGCGCATCTCATCGCTGCCATTCCTCGGCATGAGCGCGTCCCAGGAGGGCCAGAGGTTGAACTAGAGGTGTTTACAGCTTATGTTAATGTGTTGCGAAATTAAGCCATTTCAGACGTGGATATGGACGTTGCTTTTTGGTAAATGCTACGGAGAGTTGATCTTGGGTCACATTGGAGTTGCTGGTGCAATGTTTTTTAGGAAGGGACCTGGCTTTGGGTCTTGCAGCTTGAGCGACGGTAAACAGCATTGCTGGTCTTTATGCGCAGTGTACGCATAAAATTGTAGTGTAAGGAATACAAATTTCTAATACTTCTGTGGCCTATGTATAGCAGTGCACGATGTATAGAGAAGCGTAGCTCCCTGCGTACTCATATGGAATGAACGGTCTATGGTATCACTTAAAAAAAGAATCCCCGTTTGCTAGCGCCAATCCCATGCTTGACTTTTGCCAGCCCCCGCTGCCGGTACTAATTTACAACATGGCCATTTGCCACTTTCAACCTGCAGCTGGCCGCTGTTTCAGCTGTATCAAATGCTTCAGGCCTGTTTGAATAGCCATGTAGTTCTTCTGCTTGGGATCATACCACCCCAGAACATACACGGCCATGACGGCGTTCTTACCTTGCAATTCCACCAGGCCATCTACACGGATGCACCCACGGCTCGGGGGCTGTTTCACAGGCTGCCAGTTTTTGGTGAACGTCATGGAAGCCGCGTGGAGAGCACCTTGGATACGAGGGTCGAGCTGGGTATTGTCGCTGCCGATAGAAGGTCCGAAAAGATCCCCGTTGGCCGTTGGGAAAGGGAAGTTTGCAGGCTTGTCGGTAGTGCTGGGGACCTTGACGGCGTGCTTGCCCCCCGAGCCTAGCGCTCCTTGCTCCTTCATGCGGTTAATAGCGACGGTTTGCCACGATGTGTCTTGGGGTGGTTCTGTGTTGAATCCCAGGGCTTTAGCTACATCTTGTGCTGTTTGTCTGCAGAGAGAGTTGACAAAAGTCCAAACAGTCAAGGCTACAGCTTTGGGGTATATAGCCATGTTGACGTGGCTCGCGGCGACGGAGTCGATTGGTCTGTCGCCCCAGAAGATGCCCTCGTCATCGATGATGATCCTTCACGCCTATCAGTTAGGAATTGCATTCATATATATGCGCTAGAGACAACTTACCCAGATACGTAGTGTTTCGGCGGAGGTGCTGGGGGGTATATGATATCGAGCCAAAGTTTCTTGAGTTTGATGTCTTTTCCTCCCAGTAGCCTTACATAGCCTGGATTCTTTTCCACACCACGACGGATGATTTCCGCAAGTCCGACTATTCATCGGGTTAGCCAGCGAGCGTGGCAAGTACACAGTTTCCACGTACACTTGATATCTTTTTGAACCTGCTGGTCCTTGTTCACAGCCAAGAACGCAAGCCACTCGGGATCGGAACCTTTATATGGGGGTTGCTTCACTTCCTTGGTTGTAAATGGGAAAGGGAGAAACAGTAAAGGGTCGTCTTCTTCACCCGCCATCTCCTCCATTTCTCGCTTTTCCTTGTCAGACAGGTTATCCCACTCGTGATCAGCCCAATCAAGAAGTGGATCAAAAACGACGGTCGCAAATATCTGGAAGCACACATATAATGTAATCGTAGTAAACACGACACGGCTATCAGGATACAAGTCAGCGTAAATCTCGACGTGGAAACAAAATCAGAGGCGGCCCTACCCCAGTCGCTTTCGAAATGCATGTGATTTCGGTGCCGGAGGAGGTCGAGGAAAGTACACCGGTAAATCATGTGGGACTTTGCTCCCCTTAAAGGGCCATAGTGAGAGTGGTCGAGTCGATTGCGGCACCCGGCGTACAATATTTGGTCTGACAATGAAGCTCGAAGCTGTTGAGGCGCGCCAAAAGGCGGCCGCCGCTCGGGGCAGCATGCCGCGATCGCTGCGACGCACAGAGAATAGGGTGTGTCTTGACGTAATGGGGACGGTGGGTAAGTATTCTCAGGAAGGGATCGCTAATAGGAATAAAGAAGAATAACACCGCTCGATGAAATGAAACTAACGCAGGAGACAAATGAGAAAGGCCAAGTGTGGGAAGCTGGTAACGTAGATATTCGCTGGTTCGGCCATCGGTGGTGGCATTGCATGGGTCCTTCAATGTTGCGTGGGTCCTGGCTGGGCTTGCACTGTTCAGTACCGGCGCCGCCTGGTAAGTCCGGAGTATCTGGCGCCGTGTTTCCGACACACGCATGGTGGCCGGTAGCTCGTACACACCTCCCTCGTCCGCATAGCGTGGAGCCCATCCACGTCAAGCTGGTGACGTCTCAAGCTCTCCGGCTCGTCAAACACCCAGCAGCTTCACGGATCAGAAAATATCCATCATGAAGCTTACGACCGGGCTCATTACCGCCTTTGCGGGGTACGTTGCTGCCGCACAGCAATCCGCCCAAGTGTTCATTGTGCCCGCCGGCGATGCGTCGTCGCCTCCCGCGATCACCCCCAGTCTCGCTCGGCTACTACTTTTGCAACGACTTGCCCCCAGTGGTCGGGGCTTGTCCCTTCACGATATCCCGAATGGCGTCGGCCCTGAACATGCAGTTTCTCTCATCAGCCGCTTCGGAAAAAACATTCCTCCTTTGTTCTCGGACGGACAAGCCACCGAACCCAGCCAATTAGTCTTGATGCTAGAGGGCATGGATGACAAGCAGATGAAGGACCTTCAAAAAGCACTCAGCATGAGTCCATCATTCACCATAGCAGACCCGCCTTCTGACAAGGCGCACCGAGATCTGATGGAGCTGGACTTCTACAGGGCAGGTGTTGCTGATGGAAGCAAGTGTTCTATTCAACAGTTGGTTAACCCTCTAGAAAACTGTTGGGCGGGCAAGCGTTCTGCTGCAGCCAAATTTAGTATCAAAAAGGTACGTATGAATGCATAGCTTTCGGAAAGCTGCCACTCCGAGGACTGCGAGTGCGAGATGCTAACGGTGCTTTAGAATCCAGAACTCCTCGACGAGGTGCCGAAACAAATCAAACAGCTCATCCGACTTGCGAAGTCCGGGGAACTTCAGACAACTATCGTCGCCCTTCCTTCAACCAAGAGCTCTAGCAATTGGCTAGACGAGCAGCAACAAGAGCTGCGCCGCCGTCAAGCCGAACAGGTCATTTCCTCTTTTGACAGGCCTGCAGCAAATGCTGAGCCGACCTCAACACCCAAGCCGGACCCCATCTTTGACTCAAGCGAGCGGATCAAAGCCTGCTATGAAACTAAGGAAGCGTGCATGGCCAGCACTCGCAACTGCTCCTCGCATGGTGAGTGTCAAGACAAGTATGCCAAAGTCGATGGGTCCAAGAATACCGCCGCATGCTTTTCTTGCCATTGCCAACGTACCCGGAGCACGTCTGGAAGTCTGACAACCTGGGCTGGTCCAACATGTGCAAAGAAGGACGTCAGTGTTGCATTCTGGCTATTTGCTGGTTTCACTCTCGCCTTGGTCGGTATTCTCTATTTAGCCATCAGCATTTTGTTCAACGTTGGCGAGGAGCAGCTTCCTGGTGTAATTGGTGCTGGCGTTTCGCGGTCCAAATAGACTGGATCATATTATCAATTGGGGTGGGATTTTCTACGTATACTTAAGAGCTTCTGTTCTACATCCATAGGGAAGGAAATGTAACATAGGGTGTATCGATACATGGTGTTGAATTCGCAATTACCGTCCAACAGATTATCTTTTGTTTGTTTACGGAGGGCCATAATAAGCTCGCATGAGCCGCAAATCAATGATGATTTGTGGCATTTACGTTGCCCGGCCTTTTAAGCTGACTGTCTGTATCGTTGACACTTGAAGCCCCCGTCTTCAGGCCATGAGGAGACCGCGTGCGGCGTTTTTGCTATTCTCCGCAATTATCCTCCAGGGCCAATCACATGCGCCAGGCTAGCTTATGAACCCAGGGACGGACTTTTCCGTAGACTGCCGGATCATCCTACCACCTCCAATTCTCCATCGCATTGCTTTTGTTCTCTTTCCAAGCGAAAAGCCCGCCGGGGTAAACTTAATATAGCCGAAAAGGCTGAAGAAAACCGCCTTACGTACCACATCAGTGGACTTGGACGGCGTTTGTCTGGTCATGTGATGCCACTGGCGAACATGGCGAACCAAGATGATGAGAGTAAGGCTGACGACAACAAGCTCCCAACGGCGAAATGGGGAGCGGCGTGCTCGGCGTGCGCAACGGCCAAAGCAAAATGCATCAGATCAAACCCAGGCCCAAGCGCAAAGTGTGACAGGTAAGTGGTTTTGATAGGGCTGGAAATTGCCCGACTGAATTAATTGACCTCAGTTCCGAATTGTCCGCCTCGTTTTTCATGTGTCTGGTGGGTATGTCGGCTGATAGCACATGTTTTTTTGATGCAGGTGTCAGCGGCTTTTGAAGGAATGTACGGGACAAGTTCATCGACCGCGCAAAAAACGTCAAGCAAAGCCATCGTGAGTAACTTATTGCCCTTGCAATGCAATGTTTATTTTTATTCAAGGCCGCATGTCCATTTCCCGGCCAACCTCGGCTCATCTTGGGGTTGTGTAAGTGTGATGACGACTTCACAATGCACTAACTACCGCACAACAGTCGAACCGCCCAGATTGAGGAGAGACTGAATGGCTTGGTCAACCTTCTCCAAGCTTCGGGTGAATTGAACAATAATCAATCTGCGCTAGGTGCTCTTAGTGATGTGGCTGCCAGAGAGCACTCCGCCATAACTCATGATACGCCGTCAACAAACTCTACGACATCATACATGCCACATTCAAGCTCCTGGAGGATCCCCGAGACATACAACTGTTATGCAATTCCAGCATGTATTTGCCGCCCCGAACCTGGCGATGCACCTCGTGATGCACCTCCCCCGCCAGATTCTGACGATGTGCTTTTGGAGCTCTACCGAACCCAGATGCTGCCTGTTTTCCCCTTTGTTGTCATTCCACCATCGGTTTCTGCATCTGAATTACGCTCTAACCGACCATTCCTAATGTCGGCAATCAGAATGGTCACATCATTTCGCAGTCTGAGGTCAATGAGAGCTCAGATGTACCGCCTGATGAGCCACATTGCCGATTATGTTCTCATCCGCTCAGCTAGGTCATTGGAGTTGCTGCAAGGCGTGATGATCATGATCTCTTGGCACCAGTATCACTGCCTAATGCATGGTCAGATGAACAATCTGATTGCCTTGGCAATGAGCCTTGTTGTTGACCTAGGTCTGAATTGGGCACCTGGATTACGAGAGCAGGCGAGATTGATGGTGGCGAGACCTGATGAGCCTCCTGGGCGAACAAATGAAGAAAGAAGAGCTCTTCTCGGAGTATGGTTTTTGACGTGCAAGTAAGTCTAATGCGCCGGCTACAGCTGTAAAGCCTATTCTAACATGACCCAGCATCTCAGTCAGCTTCAACAGAGTTGAATCTTTGAAATACACGGCGTACATTCAGGATTGTATGAACGTGCTTGAAAATTCGAGAGAATATGAATCCGACATCACTCTTCTTTACCTAGTCAGAGTGCAGCGGTTGACAGAACGCATTTTTGAACTCAATTCTAAGGATAAGGCTGTAGAAGATATTCCCGGGCTTCCGTCTGCACCCATGTCGGCTTACATTGCTGCCTTCCAAAATGAAATTGAGACAATGCGCAATACTCTGCCTCCAAATTTACAGAATGACGGTATGTTGTTCTCCAGTCTTTGCAGAAGTCGATGCAAAATGAATATACTAACAGCTTGCAGGCGCCTTTTTGTCATATCTCAACACGGCAATGCTTAGACTCTACGAGCCTCATGCAGTCGACTTGGCATTTGTCAATTCTCTCTCGCAGTCCCTCACAGCCGGACCCCTTGGTCGAGGCACTCCGCTCGATAAGCTTTATCAGTCTAGTGCAGCGCTCCGAAACTGGTTTGATAGCTGGCTTTCGGTGCCTGCTTCTTCTTACTTCAGGCATCCTACCACTATCATGTCGCAATTAGTATACGCTATCACGATGCTGGGGCGATGGGCGCAGCTGGCAACGCCCAGGACGGTATACGAAGGAGGCACGCCCATGCCTCTTGGGGAGGGCAGTTCAGCGTATAATGCAGATTCACAAATGGGTACTAATGGGCTATCCGAATCCAAATCATTCCAGGGGTACAATCAGGGCGACCAGAAACCACGGTGTGGCGAGTCTGTGGATCAAGATTTCATCGCAGCTCTTGCTGGTTTGCAATCCCAGCTCCAGTCGCAACCAGGATTGACGATTAATATTCCGGAAATACTTTCCGAATTGTGTTCGAAATGTGAGCAAGTCAACAATATCTTCCAACAAACCGCACCAGAGGAAGAGAAGATGGACAACAACGTGTGGACCTTTAGCGCTCTTAAAGTCCGCATCACGCGTGTCAAACTCGAACGCTGGGCAGAGCTTGTAGCTGCTGCAGCTGAAGGCCATGATCGGTTAAGCAAGGTTGCACATCCTCAAGAATGGCGAGGATCATACCCACAAACGTCGTCTGCCAACATGGGTCAGCCTCCCAACGGTATGGCCAATAACGGGTTCGCGCAGGATCAAACTCAGATTCAAAATTTCCTGGATAGCACTCCTTGGACTTCAGATCTTTTGGATGGAATCGACCCTACTGTTTGGTTTGACGGATATTTGGATTGGGGAACTTTAGTTATGAATTCTATGGGACAGGGGCCGGTAGGGCAACAGCCTCAGATGTGAAATACCATTACTGGAGATGACATGAGTGGCGTTTCGGAAATGGGATTGGACTGGTCATAGAATGTATAGGCGATCTGTATTTGGAAGGAATACTCCTATTTATAATGACATTTTTTCTGTTTGATCAACTTTGATGACTGCCTGTTGATATGCCTCAGTTTGCAGCCCAGTTTACATCCGCGGCAGGGACGCACTTGGTGGGGCAACTGACCTCCAAATCTACTCCAACGCGAAAGACTCTCCCCTTCAGTATCTCTTGGTAATGACCACCTAGTCTCCTTTCATCCTTGCTTCCAGCCATAAGTTTCATTGTACGTACACCAAGTATTGCGCCTAGTGCCTCTAACGTACTGCCCTCGTATAATGCCAATGTCGGCAGTCACCCAAGCCCAAGATGCCCCGCCATGGTGGTCATCATTCCCGGAGCCGAAAGCTCCTGTTCACGCCCTCGAGCCAGAAGACGTCGCGCAGCTCCTGGAGAGCCATGCCTCGGCCGGACCAAATAGCGCAAAGAGTTTTCTCCTCGTGGATGTTCGTCGAACGGACTGGGAGGGCGGCACAATCGCCACATCTCTGAACCTTCCCGCTCACACATTATATCAAACTCGGCCCGTGATTTATCAACTGTGTAAACAAGCCAATGTCAAAACCATCATCTTCTACTGCGGTGAGCTGCTTCACTTCATCACATGGTTTACGAAACCTCCAGTGAGACTGACTCCTCCCAAACAGGAAGCTCGAATGGCCGCGGTCCTAGATGTGCAGGCTGGATGCAGGATTATCTCAACGAAATGGGCGAAGCAAGCATGTCAGCCGCCATTCTCAAGGGCGGCATTAAAGGTTGGCAGAAGAAGTATAGCGGTAAGCTGATGGACTGGTACGATGAGAAGTTTTGGACTCAGCAGCAAAGTGCATAGGGGTTGTTCTTTTGTCATTTGTCTATGATTAAGAGCCAGAGAGAAAAACTTATTCCTGCGCAAAAACCTCCCAATTCCACGTCACCATTATCATCCGAGAACGCCAAACTTGTTTTTATAGTCAACTTGCATTTTTGCATCCAGTATTGAATCATCGATGATGATGCTGTCGGTCGTCGCCGCCGATTCTGTCTAGGGCCTCCATCATGACGACTGAGTTTCCTCGAATAACCTGATCATGAAGTCAGTTTTACATCCTATGAACAGAGAGTTGCTTATAACGTCAACCTACAACCATGCCAAGCTTGACTTTATCTCCACCCTCTTTCTCTTCCACCGCCTCGTCGAGGACAATGTTCAAGAACACCTTCGGTGTGATTAGCAGGATCCAATAGGGGCGTGCGACGTAGGGTTCAAGGGAATATTACATCGTATCCGCGCAAGACTCCAATGACCTTGCGACTACCGTTCAGCTGTACGAATAGTCTCTTCTCGAGATACTGGGAATATGTCAACTTGGATTCGATCTTGTGTGTAGACTCCCATGTCGGAGAGGCAACCGGTATTCGACCAAAGCATAAACGGCGACAGTCTTGCGGCAAAATCCACATACCTTTTTGAGCTCAGGTTGCGCGGGCGCCATCTTGAGCTATGAAATAATCTGGGCATAAGATGCTGTTGAAAGCTCTTTGATGCATCGCGATTGCCCACTACTAGAACAACAGGCATACAATGTGTCACGTGATGATAAGATAACTGTTGCCTGCGTCATGGGCTTTTGATCTTTGCGACAACGTGATTCGATTTCTGGACACAATAACCACCTAAAAATGATTGCATGATGAGTTCCTTCGCGGCCAAGCGCAAGGCTAGAGTGATCAAAGTCGATGACGAGGAGGGATCAGACGGCAGCTCGTCATCAGGCTTAGATGCCGCTGGCTCCAAAGAAGGTGAGGGACCCTCCCCCGTCGTGCGACTCTTTTTTTTTTTTGCTGATGATATCTCAAGGCTAACCATGTATGGACAGATGTACATAAGCCTTTATTTGGCTCAAAATCCGGGCGCAAACCGTTCAGACAGTCGGGGTTGCGAAAAACTTTTAATCCAGGAGAAGGAGACACCTCAGCCGCAACCGGAAGCACAGGCAACGAAGATGCAGAGGACGATGGGCCGGTCGTCGTACGACCAAATCGACCCGGCGCCGGAAAACAAAAGAAGAAGGGTCCTAAGACTAGACTGTCATTTGGCGGTGGTCCCGAAAGTGGCGAGTCTGAGGATTTAGCTACGCCAAAGCAAGTGCCGCTGGGACAGAGAGCGCTTGAAAACAGCGCTGTGAGACGCGGTATTGCTGTACGAACACTGCCAACAAGATCTACACAAGAGGAAGAAGAGGATCGGCCAAGATACAGCAAGGAATATTTAGATGAGCTACAGTCTTCGACGCCAAGCACACCGCAGGATATTTCCAACTTGCACATTAGCGATGCCGACGAGATGGAACTAGATCCATCCGAACTTGACGGAGCTTTGGTGGTCGAATACCCAGGAGCCTCGTCGCCGAAACAAGGCACGCAGATACTTTCAGAGGCTGAGATACGCGAAAGAAAGGAACGTCGCGCCAGACTGGCTCAAGAGCAAGGCTTCTTGTCGGTTGAAGACGACGACACGGATGCCTTTGGGCGCAAGAAGAAGGATGACGGCCGATTACTCGCAGACGATGAAGACCTGGGAGAAGGATTCGATGATTACGTCGAGGACGGCGGTCTCTCGCTAGGCAAGCGTGCCGAAAAGGAACGTAGGAAAAAAGAGAGGAAGCAAATGGCAGAATTGATCACAGCTGCTGAAGGTCACAGCTCAGACGATTCCTCAGACAGCGATGCCGAAAGGAGAATGGCGTATGAGGCATCACAAAGCAAGGCAGGACTCGATGGCTTGAAAAAGCCAAGAAAGAATCCAGCCGGAGATTTGCTTCAAATTCCTCCAAAGATTACACCACTGCCAAGCTTGTCAGAGTGCTTGACAAGGCTGCAAGCTACACTCAGGGAAATGGAAAATGATCTCAAGGTGAAAAATGCTCATTTGGATCAACTCAGGAAGGAGAGGGAGGATATCGTGAAGCGGGAAACAGAGGTACAGGCGCTGCTGGACGAAACCGGGAAAAAATATCAAGAAGCCATGGCTCAAGGGAAAATAGATGCCGATGCCGCCAGTGCTGCAGGGCCAAACATTGAGTTGGTTGGGGAACGAGGCTTGGACAGTCTTGGAACCACGCCTAGACGGCCGGATCAATCTGAACTGGATGCAGTGTCGTGACCATTATTTTCCTCATAATTAATAGACTATACCCCTGGTGCAAGCCGCCTCTAAAATCTATTTTTACAAGCTCTTCTTGCCCTCTCTCAGTCCGCTGAACTCCAACCCCTTGTCAATATCTCCAAACAAGACGCTCCACATGTCGCGAATCCAGTGTGTACGTCCATACCACGGGTCCTCCCCCGTAACCTTGGGAATCCTGTCAGCCGCCTTGACAAAGTAATTGCTGTTCAAATCAACCGCCAGTTTCCTCGGCATGTCTTTCCTGTGCTCCAACACGGGCATGGCCTTGGTAGCCTGTTTGTCTTCCATGCTCTTGATGACACGCACAAGCAGCTTGGCAATTGCCTCCGCCCCGGGTGTCCACGACTGCAACACATATCCCAAAACGTAGCCCATGTTGGGAAGAGACTCGAGCATGGTGCCTCGCCAGGTGTAACGCGAACCGGGGACGATTCGAACCCCATTAACGTTGGCAGCTATACCGCTCATGATTTGGAAATAAAGCCCCGTCGCGGTGATAATTATGTCAGCGTCGAGTTTGCGACCCGACTGCAGCAGTACGCCATCCGGCGTGACCTTGTCAATGACGTCTGTAACAAGCTCGACATTAGCCCGGTGCAAGGCTCGGAAGAAATCGCCATCCGGGCAGAGACACAGCCGCTGCTGGAGGGGCTCATATCGCGGCTTGAAGTGAATGTCCACGTCGCAGTCCTTGGGCAATGCGGCCTTTGTGTTGAGCCGCAGGGCGAACCTGGCAACACCGGGGAAATGCACCATGAACTGCGTGATGAACATCTCATAGGCGATGTCCTTCCACCAGCAGATCTTGTGCGCAAGACCCATGGGCAGAATGGCCCGCAGCAGCGTGTCCAACCACGACGTCCTCGGAATCGCGGCCGCGTAGCTGGGACTCCTCTGGACCATGGTCAGCTGCGCGACCTGATCAGCCAGTGCCGGCACAATAGTGTACGCTGTTGCGCCCGAGCCGATGAGCACGACACGCTTGTTGGAACAGTCCAAATCCTCCGGCCACCACTGCGGGTGCGCCACGGTGCCCGAGAAGCTCTCGATGCCCGGGATCGCGGCTGGCATGGCCTGGTCATAGGCATAGTACCCCGTGCACCCGATGACGAAGTTTGCCGCCAGGACCTTGGCCTCTCCGGCGTGCTCGACGGTCAGTCGCCAAAAGCTGTCCTCGTCGCGCCATTCCGCATCGACGACGCGGTGGTCGAACCGGATCTGGTCGTACGTGCCGTCTTGTCTGGCGGCGTCCTCGATGTATGCGACGATTTCTTTGGACGAAGCAATCTTGTGCGCGTGTGGCCAGGGGTGCCATCGAAATCCAAAGGTGGTCATGTACGAATCCGACCTGAAGCCGGGGAACTTGAAAAAACTCCATGTGCCGCCTATGACGGAGCGGCCCTCGAGAATGGCGAAGCGACGATGGGGCAGCTGTTGGCGGAGGACGTGGGCAGTGTTTATGCCAGAGAGGCCGGCTCCCAAGATGATGATGTCGTGGCGTTCTGCTATTTCTGGCATCTTTGCTGGCAGCGAGAACGCCGGGTGGGAGGGACATAAAAGTCAAAAGGAAACAGTGAAACGCAGGCAGTTATTCTGGGCGGTATAATAATTGAGGTTTTATGTTTAAAAGTTGAAACCCAACTACTCCGAATCGGGACATTTAACGTCCGTAGTACTAGATCCATGACTGTCCATGGGTCAAATTGCTGCCATTGTTTTGCACAAGTTGCGATTGCTTCCAGGGCTAGACATTATTTCGGCAGTTGTAGTCGTTTGTGTGTCAGCATGCCCCCGTGCGAGTCGGGACGCGAAATTCGTGGTTGCCAGCTGAGGATATTTCATATTATCCCGTCCCCGTTTATAGAGGACAATTTAGGTGGCGGGGAAATCGATCATGTTAGAGTTGACGACACGGCTGACAATGCCAAAATGCTATTTGACAATGTATTTGCACAAAGATAAACTTATAGGCTGGGGTGATGGGAGTATTGAGCGGATTAGACTCTCGTTTGGTATTCGAGAGGCCACAGTCAGTGCCTTGTGCCGCATTCTCAATCCATTGATGTCTTGAGCAAGCCACTACCCAGGTACTTGGGCAGTTATTTATTTTGCGGGGCTCGAGGTACTTTTTAATATCGGATATTGCCGAGCAGATGATGACATGCAAGTGCGCCAGAAGTCAGAAACTTTACTTTTGATGTTGTTGCAACTTCTTTTACTACTAAAAGCGGAGGAACCTCTTGCGACAAAGGCCGCTACAGTAAACCTGGTGTATCTCTCTTCGCCATCCTTCTTCCACATGTGTACTTACAAAGTTACAATACTGGGTGCAATACTGATCTACAGAGTATGCAGCACCTTGTTTGCGTTTCGCCCGGCATGCTACGCCAAGGTCTCATTCTCCCTCGTCGGGATAATTCTCTTTGATGAATTTATAAATATCATCCATCTGATCTGGCACTTTGAACCAATGACCCTCTTCCTCAGCGCCAGAGTACTCCTTCCACTCGACTATAAAACCGGCCTTTGAAAGCACATTCCTAGCTTGCCGTCCAAGGGTAATGTCAACATATGCGTCATCATCACCGTGTCCCAGGAGAATCTTCATGGCGGAGGCTTCGCCTTGTGGCTGTCCGCCAAGTGTCATCATGCCCCTAACAAAGGCGTCAGATTCGTCTTCTCCCGGTGTTGGCTCTGTGCTCGCATCAGCCGTAGCCTGCAATAGTGCTCGTTCTATATTCGCAGCAAACGGAAGCCAGGTGCTGGAGCCAAAGAATGCCCCAATTCCTCGTGCAGGGCCTGGGCAGAGTAGCGTCCATATGCCAACTGCGGCACCTTGGCTAATACCCCCAAGGAGCACGTGGCTCGCATTCCCGTCGAGCCTCGCAACCTCTTCATTTATAAGGACCTGAATATGTCTCACTGATGCTGCAATGCCGTTAGTTTGTAGATCTTGTCGGGCAGTGGTGTCAGTCAACGACCGAGCCTCAAACCAAGCCGGTATTGATTCTTGAAAGGTAGTACTCCAGAGAGATGGGGATGAAGGAAACACCCAGCGCCATCCAGGCAGCGCCGAGGCTAGGGGCTTGTGGCCAGATAGGTGAGATGAGAAGAACTCGTCGGCAAACTCCTGACCATTGCTGCCTCGTCCGTGGAGAACTATGGCCGTTCGGGTGTGTCTGGATTGAGGGTTGATAATATGAACAGGTCCAAATTGCGGGTTGGCGATTGTATCATCTTTGCTCATCTTATGATTCTGTTTGGAATATGGACATGTCCGGTCAAAGGTTACATGCACGGTGATACTCCTGTCCCGTCTGAGATCATTGATGCTGGTAGCACCAGCTGACCAGCTGACCACAATTGCTCCTCCGGAACATTTGAACCTTGAGCTCGTCTCTGCAGCCCCACACCAGCTATCAACTGGTGGCCAATTGGGCCGTTAGGCTGCGGCCCGCCATCGAAACAGCTAGAAGGCTGCGAAGGCTGGCTGTTGGGCGTGGGCTGAGCTGTTCCATGATTTTCTATTGACTGTTCCCCACAGCGGCGCCAACAACCTCGATTGTCAACTTTGTTCTTTAACAAACCACTATTCCGAGAGCTGGGTAGAATTTATTGACTCTTCAAAAACCAGAATCCCTTCTCTAACGAAAGTTGCGCTTTCCCAACACATCATACCATGGCTTCCGCAGACGAGCTCAAAGCTCTTGGCAACAAGGCCATTGCCGAAAAGAACTTTGATGACGCTGTGTATGTACTAACCATAGCCCCCAATATTGCTCATCGTATTGCTGTACGGTAAAGATTTGCCAGCAATTAAAGCTAACCCGTTTTGTGCTACTGCAGAGACAAGTTCACCCAGGCCATTGCCCTCCAACCCGAGAACCACATCCTGTACAGCAACCGATCTGCTGCCTACGCATCCCAAAAGGACTGGGACAATGCGTTGGCCGATGCCGAGAAAACTACCCAGATTAAGCCTGACTGGGCCAAGGGCTGGGGCCGAAAGGGTGCAGCTCTTCATGGAAAGGGCGACTTGCTCGGGGCCAACGATGCCTATAGCGAGGGTCTGAAGCTAGATGCCAACAATGCTCAGCTGAAGAGTGGCTTGGCTTCTGTCGAGAAGGCTATGCAAAATGAAGCAGGTACGCAAATAAATGATGGCACGCATATACCTTTGTACCCCGCACCACAACTGACTTGATGTTTATTAGGCGGAGCTGGTGGTTTTGGAGCAGACCCTACCGGAGGCCTCGGACAGATGTTCAAAGACCCGAATCTGATCCAGAAGCTTGCCAAAAACCCCAAGACCAGCGGGTTTCTAGCAGATCCCTCCTTTATGGCCAAGCTGCAGCAGATGCAGCAGAATCCAGGAAATCCCCAGGATCTTTTCACTGACCCCAGAATGATCCAGGTTCTCGGTGTCTTGATGGGAGTCGATATGGACGTGCGTGATACGGATCCCCGAGGTGACACAAACATGCCCGATGCTCCCGAGCCCAAGAAGCCTGAGCCCGCCAAAGCCCCCGAACCTGAACCCGAGCCCGAGGAACTCGATGAGGAGGCACTGGAAAAGAAGAAGAAAAAGGAGGAGGCCGACAAGGAAAAGTTTCTAGGCACCGAGAACTACAAGAAGCGCAAGTTTGACGAGGCCATTGAGCACTACTCTAAAGCCTGGGACATCTTCCAGGATATCACCTACCTCAACAACCTGGGGGCTGCCTACTTCGAAAAGGGTGACTACGACAAGTGCATTGAAACCTGCACCAAGGCTGTTGAGGAGGGTCGCGCCGTCTATGCCGAATACAAACTTATTGCGAAGAGCTATGCCCGTATCGGTTCTGCCTACGAGAAGAAGGGCGACATGGCCCAAGCTGTTGAGAATTACAGCAAATCCTTGACTGAGCACCGCACACCCGATGTTTTGAACAAGCTGCGGGCTGCGGAGAAAGCGAAGGTTGAGGCTGAAAAGAATGCATACATCGACCCTGTCAAGGCTGAGGAGGCTCGTGAGGAGGGTAACAAGAAGTTCAAAGAGAATGACTTCCCTGGGGCTGTCCAAGCGTACTCGGAGATGATCAAGCGTGCCCCCGATGATGCTCGGGGCTACAGCAACCGTGCTGCGGCCTTTGTCAAGTTGTTTGAGTTTCCTAGTGCCGTGGATGACTGCAACATGGCTATCAAGAAAGACCCCAAGTTCATCCGAGCATACATTCGCAAGGCTCAGGCTTTCTTCGGCATGCGCAAGTACTCGGACTGCGTGGATGCCTGCACTGATGCCACCCAGGTTGACCAGGAGTTCCACAATAATGCCAATGCTCGTGAAATCGAGCAACAGCAGCAGAAGGCACTGAACGCCATGTACTCTGCCCGCGATAACGAGACTGAAGAGCAGACTCGGGAGAGATTGATGAAGGACCCAGATGTAAGTTTATCTAGCTAGCCCCGGCCCCTTGATATTTCTCTGGCCATGCTGACATTTCGGAATTAGATCATGAGCATCATGCAAGATCCTGTCATGCAGTCCATCCTGCAGCAGGCTCAGTCCAACCCCATGGCACTTCAGGAACACATGAAGAACCCGGGTGTTCGGTCAAAGATCCAGAAGCTCATGGCTGCTGGTGTTATTCGAGTTGGTCGATAAATCGGAGTGTGTGTTGGAGATTTTTGTAAAGATACCATGTGTCGGAATGCTTTATGAAGTTAATGATAAAAAGTTCACTCATGTTCACCCCGGATTCGCCAATGTCCCCGTGTTATGTCAAAATTGGTTAACTGACTATTTGGACGCTGAAAACGATGGCTTGTTTAATCGCATATGAGCACACCGTCCGAGGCCTCAGCCTTGCAGCCTTTTTTGGGCTTACCGCCGCCCCATGAAGTTGTTTTAGGTCGACTAACAACAATTTTTTGCCATTGACGGCGGGAATGGTAAAATTCCTGCGCAACCAGGCGTGTAATTCAGGCCCAAGGCAGTTTTGATGTGGGACGGCGTGTTTCCAAGATCAATCCGTCAGAACCTTGGTCATTCAAGCAACCTGTCGCCAATATTTGGCTTGTTTGACTACAAATGACTAGCATTGATCAGTATGTGGACTGTGGCCTATTATTGATACCAAGCTTGAGCAGTTCGGCCCAACAAGGTGCCCATGTGAACAAGTAGCACCCCCGGAAACTTGCTCACTCAATGCGAAAGCAAGCACAGGGCGGGGCTGTTGGCAGTGCAGTAGTACCTGAGTCACCCCAGGGGGGCTGGGCGCGCTCTATGTACCAGACATGTCCGGAGCAGCCCCACACTAAAGCACTGCCCTTGGAACAATAGGCCAAACCAGTTGGCCCCTTGCGCTTGGCTTACAATGGGGATCCAAGTACGGTCTGGTGTACGGAGTACATACTTACTTTATGCAGACATGGAAGTTCCAGTGCTGACGCTACAATGTACAGTCCACCTGGCCTCCCAAGTTGAGCTTTCTCATCCTTTGTCGATTTCTTGTTCCCTCGATGCGCCATGAGACGAGCTGCAGTTCCGCAACGCAGTAGTTAGTCTGGCGACCATATCGGCATCGACACAATGGCTGGTGAGCTCAATGTGCGACCATCGTCGGGTTCCAAACCCAAGACTAACCATGTTCCCTCTCCAGATCCGCAATGGTCAGCGATTTCCACAAAGCTGCTACTCGCAGAGCTCCAACGACGCAAAGAAGACGGCGAGAGACCAGCTTGCGGTAGCAAGGAAACTGGGTGGTATGATACTGCGGCGCACGTCTTTGCGTTGCTGTTGATCTTGACGCTGAGCACACTAGGTATGATGAGTCCGGGTTCTCGGGAGTTGCAAGCTACATCCACCCGTCCAGGCTTGGAGTTTCGGTGACTGACCTGACGGTGCCAAAGCTTGCGGATTCCCATTAATATCACGGCGCGCGACAACCGGGAAACGACAGAAGACCATCATCTTCTACTGCCAACATGTCGGGACCGGAGTGCTGCTCGCTACGGCATTTGTGCATCTGCTCCCGATGGCATTCGAATCTCTAACCGATCCGTGCTTGCCCTATTTCTTCAGCCAAGGCTATACGCCACTTCCTGGCTTCGTGGCCATGGTGTCTGCTATCATGGTTGTCGGCGTCGAATCCTACTTGACCGCTCGCGGTGCCGGCCATTCGCATTCACACGCGCACAACTATTTTGATAGCGACGAAAGCGACGGCGGAGGCGAGTTTCAAGATGTACCGCTTCATGATCACCCGGGCATGTCTGCGGGCCGGACGAGAAATCACAGACCGCGGGATATCTCCTTGGGTGACGACACGGAGGCTGCGCAGGGCCTTGTGGCCGGGGTGTCGCCAGTGCCCGAATCCACGCCTACCGCAACCATACACCGACGCGCATCCGCAGAAAACGAGTTCAATGAAGGCGATTCCGACTTGGAACTCGACATGGATGAACTGGACCCTGCTCCCGTCAATCACAATCACAATGGTGCATATGCCTCGTTAACAAAGCCTGGGACTCGGACGGACCCCTCGGAACCGACTCTACATCCGTCGTCACCGGAAGAGACGAGACGACAACTTCTGCAGTGCCTTCTACTTGAAGCTGGTATTCTATTTCACAGCGTTTTTATTGGAATGGCGATTTCTGTAGCCACGGGACCAGCATTTGTCGTCTTCTTAATCGCCATCAGCTTCCACCAGTCTTTTGAGGGTCTTGCTCTAGGCAGCCGCATTGCCGCGGTACCATTTCCCAAGAATTCAATCCGGCCGTGGCTCATGGTCTTAGCTTATGGCTTCACAACTCCCATTGGTCAGGCGATTGGTCTGATTGTCCACAAGATGTATGACCCTGCGTCCATGGGCGGCCTTTTGGTGGTGGGATTTATGAATGCTATCTCGTCGGGGCTCCTGTTATATGCGGGCCTGGTACAGCTCCTGGCAGAAGATTTCTTGACAGAGAAGAGCTATCGCGTTCTGAAGGGCAAGAAGCGTCTTCAGGCGTATCTAGCTGTGGTTGCCGGTTCTCTGCTGATGGCCATTGTGGGTGCATTTGCATAGTTGGTGCCAAGTCCAGGATATTTATCAAGTGGATTGTTCAGCAAGATAGAAAACACATTTGCATTCGTATGTTTTTTTGGCCCTAGCTGGCGTTTATACAGATTAGCGACGGGGTCTGATGGGGTTTACAAAAGTGTGGTAGATGCATGCATACACGGAATGCTATGGAACAGCATAATGCATTTGGTTTATGTCGCTTACTTTAATCGAATAAGTCTTCTACTTGGACTATTTCTATTGATTCGTAGCCATGGGAACAAGACACACGCCGGGCTGATTGTTAACAGGGTATATCATTTTGACAACCGCTGTAACGGGGAATATACGCTCCACCGCGTATAGACTCAACATTGGCACAATTCAAATCAGCACCGGTCATTGCATCGCTACTAACCCCGGTGCCCGGTCTAATCGGCAATTTTAGTGTTAATTAAACTTGAACCGTAATACTAGTACTACTACTACGGACAGCGGCTCAACCCCAGACTGATCAACCCACTACCGAACCACCAGATCCCTCCGATCCGGGGCAAGCACCAATCACAAGTCCCCTATTAGCTAAACATCGGCCGACTCTCGAGACCTTATCTGCACAACCCAGGATGAAGCTTCATCCTCACACTCACTCTTTTTCGAAACTCATTCTGCACTCGCAGGGCTTCAGACTGCCGTGACTGAAGTGTGAAGTGTGTTTCTCCTGCCCTTGCCCGAGATGTGGTCGGCCGGATTCATCGCACTAGTATTCTACGTCTTCCTCGGCGCGAACCTGTTCTCTCGCCGGTCGCCGTATTTCCACGACCGCGGAGCACCGCCAGCCGGCGCCTGGGCAGATGGACCACTGAAGCTAGTCGATACTCCGTGGACGCTGCACCAAAAGGTTTGTTTCCCCGCCAGTCTAGTGAGTTGAGACGGAGGTGGCTGACAGGAGACGCGGCCGTTTTGCCAGAACGACCTCTTCACCACGGCGGCCACGCACATGGCGCTCCTGCACAACGCCATCGTCCGCGGCTACAACTCCATCTACCTGCAGGCGCCGCACGTCCGGGGCGACGACGTGCCCGACTTTGCGGCGTACGCCCTGACGTGGCACAAGTTCCTGGTGTCGCACCACGACGACGAGGAGGACAAGCTGTTCCCGGACATGGCCGGGATACTCAGGGACGACGGGATCTGGGGCAACATGACGCAGGAGCACGGTACTCACTACTCGCGAGAGACGCCCATGTTTTGTTGTTGCACGCAGGGCACATACCATGCTGACGCTGATTCCTTGTTTTTTTCGCAGAATCCTTCCTGCCGGGGCTCGCTGCCTTCCAGGCACTCCTCAACACCACCGACGCGACGGCGTATGACGCCGGGGCCCTCCGCGGGGTCATGGACTCGTTTGCGGCGGACCTCTCGGCGCACCTGCACAATGAGGTGGCCGTCATGGCGGCCATGGCGGCGCACGAGAACGCGCCGGCGCGGGAGTCTCTCCGGGGCGCGCTGGCGGGCGACATGCTCAAGGCGTGGGGGAAGAACACCGTCACAAAGGCCGGGTACGTCGACGTGCTGCCGTTCTTCCTGCTCAACACGGACCGGACGTTTGAGGGCGGCGTGTGGAGGAACTGGCCGCGCATGCCCGAGGCCGTTCGGTGGAGTATGGTGAATCTGGTGGGGATGAGGCACGGCCCGCGCTGGAGGTTTTCGAGCTGCGATGCTGCCGGGCGGCCGAGGGAGCTGTTTGCTTTGAAGGCCTTGAGAGAGGAGAAGGAGAGGGAGAAGGAGAGATCTGAGTTGTAGGGCGGTGTGTTTGGTGTTTGGGGCGGGGTGTATATACTAGTATATAGGGGGGATGGGGTGGTGTGAACGCGAGGTTGTTGTGGATATTTTGGGATCAGGTATGTATTTGTTTTCACTGCCTTGGTTTTGTATGATGAGTCCGGTTGGTGAGATTTTGTTTGCTCTAACTTGAATATGGTCATGTCAGAAGGACATGCAAATGCTGCGGATTTGGGTAGTAGAATGATGAAGAACCTAGTTATGAATCATGTTTACGACTGGCCGAAAATGAAGAGGCGTGCAATGCATCGTTGACTTGGAGAAACACGATAGCACGCATGATTAAGAGTCATGATAGATAAATATCAACGGTAGTACTCAAGGATAAGTGGCTGATTTTTCATCGGGTATCTCATTAAAAAGTTGTTTTAAGCCCACATGACCGTTTATATGTTTATACTTGTCTCCATCACAGTTTCATCAGTTCAAGCTATCCAACTCAGACTCTCGCATAATTTGAAACATTACTCCATCTGGAAACTGCTCTCTCCCCGATCGCAGGCTTCTAGTGCATGAGCCAACGCCTTCTTTGCTCTCTCCTCCCGCTTGATGAAGGGTCGGTTGAACATGTCATGAAGGGGACGGGCGCTGTTCGCGTGGTCTGGGTCAAATGTCACTTGTGCATTGTCGCCGCATTTGCTTCGGGTCGTCAAGACAGCAAGGCGCAGCATGTCCCCTCCAATGCCCTTGTTGCGATATCTGTACTTGGTAGTCCAGGCACGGATAACTCCGCTGCCACCCTTGACCGAGGATAATCTCGTCTTCTTGGTTGATCCAGCTGGGGCCACCAGCCGTAAGACGGTAGTCGCAATAAGTTCGTCGCCATACCGTGCAGCAAGAACGTAGTCCTCCTTGCCTTCCGGACTGGTGATCCATTCTTTCCACTTCAAGCTCTCGGCGATTCGAATATAATTTGCCGTCAGGAGCCGTACGCCCGCCAGGTAGGCAATTACAAGCCCGCAAACCATGACGAGCGCAGTTCCGAAGTCGCGGTGCGCATTTTGCCGGTAAATGGCGGTGCAAGCTGCCACCAAGCCCACGAAACATGCCGGATGAACGATGACGGAGAAGGAAGCAGTTTGTCGCTGCTGTGCAATACTGTCGGCGACTAGTCTCATTGCATCTTGCTTCTCGACCTCCTTGGTGACGACACTAAAGGTCAAGGAAGGAAGTCCATCGTGATTGCTGGCGCCATTTGCTGCAATTGATGGTTTCGCAGGCGTTTGAACCGCCATGGTGGAGGACATCTTGATTGACACCAAAATAAGACGTTAGATAAGAACCGCACAGACAGCAAGGCACACATCAATGGACATCACGTCCAGATGGAGGAATAGCTGAACTGTGGTAAACACTGTTCTGTAAAAAAGAATACAGAAAAAAAAATTTAAAACTTGAACCATGTCAAATGCAACAGGCCGAGTGACTTCTCGGATAGATCGGCTTGCCATGCAATGCAATGTGAGGCTAGTGCAGGAAATATATCGCGTGGGAGCTTACCAGCTAAGGACCCTGAGAATGGCAGGCCGATGCACGTGGGCGGGAAGACAGGGCAACAGTCGCTCAAAAGCAACAGAAGCAGTGGAGAGGATGTCTGGTGGCGTAAGAGATGGGTGTTGCTAGCCTGGGGTGACAATGGAGACAGTTTATCAGCTTTGCGACCGAGACTAGGATGGATGGGAATAACGGCCAAATGATGGCAATGCGGCTGCTGTGATTGGTTTCTAGAGAACTGAGCATGTGTCTGCGGGCTTGCGGCAAGAGACGCAGAAGGCAGAAGATCGTGGCACGTTCTGGATCCGTTGAAATCATGGTGTTGGTGTTTTTAGCGCAAGAACCCACACGTGCGCCAGCCAGGTTAAAGCCACAAGGTACTTCCGCGCTTCCGCACAGCTGCATGTATGTAGGAAGGAAGGAGGCTCCATCTGCACCTTCTGTGGGCGACCCTGGCAAGCGCGACCGACTGGCCGAAGCTAGTGGACTAAACTGGTCGAGGGGCCAAGGTAAGCACAGAAATAGACTTGTTCTTGTTACTCCGTACAGTTCAATCCAATTCAGACCTCTTGTACATACGGGCCATCCAGCGGCTCATCGTCTCGTCGTCTCTGCTTCGATGGCGCAAACGTTCCTCCCGGTAGCCAGGCTGAGCTTGATCTATTCTTGGTTCCCGTGTCTCAACCTTGACCGGGCTATGGAAACATGTCGCACTGCCTGGATAATTTCAGGCAGACAGCTTTTGCGAAATCATCAATTTGGTCATCAGGCTTTTTCTCGTCCAACAGAGCCGTTGGCGAGAAACCGCCGTCCTTGATCTTCGGTCGCCCAATTCGGAATCGCCACAAATGTCATGCCAAGTGCCAAGCCGGCAACTTTTCCCATGACCCCAGCTCATCCCCCATCTTCATCGACCATCAATTAGTACCCAGTTCCCAGACACCACGCAAAAGTGGCTTCAGCCCCCAGGTGCAAACGACGACCACAACTATGCCAGTACTCCCTGGGCCAAACCGATTAGGAACGCCTCCCCGGGGCCAATCGCCAAGCCATCGCCAAGTAACTTGGCGATGCGTGAGAACGTGTTTCAGTCCCGCTCTCTGATTGGCCCGCATCCAACGACATCCCGTATAAGTGGTCGATACCGAAGCACCATTTCGACTCATCACGCGAGGCCTAACCCAGGCACGTCCACCCCGACCGAGCATCCTCAATGGTTGTTGGTTGATGTTGAGAGGCGTTCCACAGGCGAGTGAGAGTGGGAAACAAGAGAGAAAAAACCCTATTACGAAGTACCAAGTGCATCATCCTACGCATTCGTCCGAGGCTGTTCCGCGGCGAGTCAACAACAAGGATGCTGACATGGAACTGCGATTTTCGTCCACCGAGCCTACCCATGTGCTCTTAGCAAGTGGATGTCGCGGTTCGAGATTACTAGTCGAAAAGTCATTTTTGATGCCGCATTCAAAGTGTAGTCTGAATATAAGCTGCCCTGGTGGCTGATGCCCATCCCTTTCCCTTTTCTCCTCTTCGCCTGTCCTGTGCCAAGCTTCTATTCTTTCCTCGGCAAGAACTCATATAGCTCTACTCTGCCTTGTTTCATTACAAACGAGTGGACTTATATCCTATTGAGACGAGTTCGTCTCCTTCCCGGTACAGCAATCGTTTCGACAGCTACGAGGCCATCATGTCTAGAAACGGGCCATCAGTTGTCGCCAAGACGTCTGGAGGTAACAGTGCCTACCACAACTTCCACAATGACTTTTTACACGTCTCCGATCTCAACGAGCGTCGTCGTCTCGCCCTCGCCGAGGTCGACAAGGCCCCTTTCGGCTGGTACCATGTCCGTGCTTGTGTTGTCGCCGGTGTTGGTTTCTTCACCGATTCCTACGACATCTTCACGGCCTCTCTCTTGACCACCATGTTGGGAATAGTCTACTACCCTGGCGTCGGAGCTATGCCTACCAGCTCTGATAACGCCATCAAGCTGGCTACCTCTGCCGGAACTGTTGTTGGCCAGCTTGGTTTCGGTATGTTGGCCGACTTGGTCGGTCGTAAGAAGATGTATGGTCTCGAACTTATCGTCATTATCTTTGCTACAATCGGCCAGGCTCTGACCTCTGGTTCTCCCGCTTGTGACATCATTGGTCTCATCATTTTCTGGCGCGTGATCATGGGCATTGGCATTGGTGGTGATTACCCTCTGTCCTCCATTATCACTTCCGAGTAGGTTCCCCCAATGCGACACAGACGAGTTCTCGCAAGTTCTTAACGCAGCTAATCCAATCACCTAGATTCGCTACCACCAAGTGGAGAGGCGCCATGATGGCTGCTGTGTTTGCCATGCAGGGTCTTGGCCAGCTTTGCGCTGCCTTTGTCATGCTTTTCGTTACCCTCGGTTTCAAGGGTTCTCTTGAGGGCGCCAAAGACAAGCAGCATTGCACTGGCGACTGTCAGGTTGCTGTTGACAAGATGTGGCGTACTCTGATCGGCTTTGGTGCTGTTCCTGCTTGCATTGCCCTTTACTGTGAGTCAGCCTGGCAAACAAGCCGTCGCTGCCCCATGATACGAAGCTAATCCAATACTTTTATAGTCCGTCTCACCATCCCAGAAACCCCTCGTTATACCTTCGATGTTGCTCGCGATGTCGAAAAGGCCGGCGACGATGTCAAGGCTTACATGACCGGAAAGCATGAAGGCGAGCCTGACGAGGTCACCCGCGCCACCATGGCTCAGCAGGCCAAGGACAACCTCGAGGTCCCCAAGGCCAGCTGGGGTGACTTTTCTCGCCACTATGCCAAGCCCAAGAACTTTCTTCTCCTGCTCGGGACTGCTGGTTCCTGGTTCTGCCTCGATGTCGCTTTCTACGGTCTCTCGTTGAACAACGCTCAGATTCTCCAGACCATTGGTTTCGCCACCAGCGGCAAGTCCGTCGCCAACGTGTACCAGTTCCTGTACAATACCGCTATTGGTAACTTGATTATTGTTTTGGCTGGTGCTGTGCCAGGGTACTGGGTCTCTGTCGCCACCATCGACACCCTTGGCCGCAAAACTATCCAGCTTGGTGGCTTCATCATCCTCACCATTCTGTTCGTCGTCATGGGTTTTGCTTACAACCACATCTCTTCCAACGGCTTGTTGGCTATTTATGTCCTTGCTCAGTTCTTCTTCAACTTTGGTAAGTCGAATGCTTTGCCTCGTAATTAACGCTTTAGAAGAACAAGAATATCTTAGATTACTAACATTTTGCCAGGCCCCAACACCACGACCTTCATTGTTCCCGGCGAAGTATTCCCAACCCGATACCGTTCTACTTCCCACGGTATATCTGCCGCCTCTGGCAAGGTTGGTTCCATCATTGGCCAGGGTGCCATTTCTACTCTGAAGACGCACAATGGCCAAAATTGGATGGACCACGTCTTGGAGATTTACGCTCTCTTCATGTTGATCGGTTGCTTCACGACACTGCTCATTCCTGAAACTGCTCGCAAGACACTCGAGGAGCTCTGCGGCGAGGACGACTACGCTGTCACCCACGCCGACCGTGGCTCCAATGGTACCCACGACCTCAACGGGGAGGAGCCCGTCAAGACCTCCTAACAGATAGCATACCCAATTCAACCATTGTTTTTTAAATTGGATTTATATCCTATGTTCGTTAACGGCACCTAATGGACTAATCTGTGCTGGAGGGAGTTGGCCGTCTACTTTTAAGTCTTACTGTAACAAGTGGTATGAACGAACAAGAACCGTCGTGAGGGGGTGCATCAGCCATGAGGCATTATTATAGATACCATATATAGAAAACAGTCATTGTATAAGACGGTTGTTGAAATATGTACTAGTATGATAGTGATGAAATTTATAAAAAGAAAATTGAAAGAAAGAAAATAGCTCAAAGAATCATCCAGTAGACAATAAATGTATCACCTCCCGGGGCCAAGTAGCTATAATGCAGCCCAGAAGTCGTCCGTACAAATTCTCACCTCAACGAGTATATACACCTCTCTACGGCTTGACGAATGCTCCATATATGCCAGGTTAAAGCAGCAACCACATTGTACTTCACCACCCCACAGTGCAAGATTATTTGAAAACGCGCCATCCCACCCGTCAAGGTATAAATAGCCGGGCTCGCTCTACGCCATCGGAGCCCTTTCAGACGGCGTCCGCGAAGGCCCCCCCCTTTCCCATGAGCGCGCCAAAAACTCCACGAACTTCGTCCGACTCCCCTCGGCCAAAATAGCACTGCCATCGTCCCGCGAGCCTGAAACCCGGGTATGTGAAGCGGTACAAGCCCACACTACATCTTCCGACAAGAGGCGTCATGAACGGCCCGGCGGCTGCCGTCTGTCGTGAACCGCGGGTATTGCGAGCTTGCCTTGGATCATCTGACGCGCCTAGAAAATCAGGTCAGACGCCACTGCAAAAACATTGTGTTGCCTGTTCGCAGCACTGGACTAGCTAGCCCTGGCCTCTCAAGGAGTTGGACATGAGTATCCAAGGCATGGCTTTTATGCTATTGCGAGGCCTTGTGAGTGGAATACTTGGCGGCGTGTACGTATGATGCTTGCGACACCACCGTTTTCCTGCCTATTTGACATACATATGTAAACCATCAACCTAAACTACGTCGAGCTGGCCAGCCGTGCGGCTTCAGGAGTGATACAGCTCGTCATGAAAGCTCGTACGATCCCCAATTGGTAGTGTCTCACGTGGCATTAAGTTAATATAGAATAATAGTAGTAATAATAAACCAGATTGGTCATATGAGTAAGACATCTATTAGCGCTACATTTTAGACGTATCAAGGTCAAGAAAAGGCAACAAACCACGCAATAGACCATGAGTACACGCATCGCGATGCGTTAGACGTAGTTTACATATATAAATAGAATTGAATATCCTTTACAATCATTCCTCAAAAGACACTCCGTACTGCGACGGTCACAGAAAGATGACTATTCAAAAGTGGCTATGATATTATTCCACGCGCAATGGTACTAGGTCATGAAGATCAGTTACAGCTCGTCACATATCAAAACATGCAATAATAACTCGTCGCACATCATCACTTGTTCTCGGCAGCCTTGGCTTGTACAACCAACAAATCAGCCCTCACACCCCCTGCAACCAAATTTCCTGCAAGATTGCCCAGGCAAAGTACCAGATCCTCCCTCGACCTGTGCGTCAGCTTACCCTCGTCCAGCTTGGCGGCCACCCTGCGACCGACGACGACCAGCTCAGGGCCTGCCTTGGACTCAGTAACGCCGGATTGGGTCTCTGTTATTGCGTACTGGACGAGTTCTTCGACAGTAGATGGGCCCGTTTCTGTCTTGAAATTGACCCTTGATGCCACGGACGCGGGTAATTGGGATGATGCCCTTTCGAATAGAGCATCCCCGACAGAGTTGGATGCTCCTACAGAAGAACGAGCACGAAGAATAGTGGCTGTTGCCCTGGACTTCTCACACAACTGAAGAACGAGGTGAAGAGCAAGTCTGTCGTCTTCATCGCCAAAGTAGAGTAGTAATATGTGGTATGGTTCGTTAGATCCCGGGGCAATTGGCAAGTCTTCCTTCAATGCACCAAATGAGTACTGGCGCATGAGTTTGGCACGCTCCTCGCTCTTGGCTTTGCCTCCGGCGACAGGATCGCTACGCGAAAAGAAAACGGCCACGTTTCGGTCGTGTGAGTCGAAGACTGATTTAACAAAGGATCCGTACGAAGACCCAATCTTGTCGTTGACGCTGGTAGATGATAAAATCTGTGAATCGCCCATGTCCCCAGTTTCGGTCCAAGGAACAAGGAGGAGATCTGAAGCCATGCTGTATGATTTGGCGACAAGAGCCTCTGCAAATCGAGTTTCGGGCATGATGGCGACTTCGCCGGACGCTGAGAGATTGTGCAGCTGTCCAACGGTCCGGAAGGTGTTAACTACAGGGTCATGGCGGCTAAAATCGTCAACTTGGGCGACTGTCATTACGGAAGAGTCACGATCGGTAAGCTGGAGGAGACGGATGCCATGGGCCCAGACAGCCCTGTCCCGGGAAGGGGGTGTAGTAGAAACGTCGTGAATCTCATCAGTTCCTGTATCTGAAGGCGTGGGAGTGCTACTCGGTGTGGAGGGGTCGCCAAACATGGAAAGAAGGCGCAGGAGAGAAGGCATGTTGTCGAGACGAAGGTAGACGAGTAGGCGGTTCACCCTTTCGAGGCCAAGGGAGGAGTCGTCCTTGGGACCTTCGGAGCTAGACGCAGAGGAAATGGGCGCACCAGTGTCCCAGTCGATTTCCCCCCGTCTCCATGCGGCAATCTTCCGCTGGTACCAAGGAGGGTATAGCACGGTCACTATCGGCGTCGTGGCAAACGTGGTGAGAAGAGCCATGACGACAAAGATGGTGAATGTTCTGGTACTCAAAATGTTGGCTTGCAAGCCAATATTCTAAACAAAATATGTCAGCGTCAGTTGCCAACGTATGACTTGAACAACTTTATCATGAAAAGTAAGGCTCACCAGTACAATGAGTTCAACAAGACCCTTGCAGCTCATGAGGACACCAATGGAAAACGATTCTCTCCAAACCAATCCACTAAATCGAGCTGCCACAGACGCGCCGATGATTTTGGAAAAGAAAGCTGCAAACGTGGTAGCGAATACGTATCCCCAGGCGGCTCCTGAATCGAGCAGTCCCAAATTCGTATTCAAACCGGAGAGGGTGAAGTAAAGGGGCAAGAACAAAGCACCAATAAGATCCTCGAGCTTTTCCGTAACACGGATATTGAATCGATCCTGGCGAGGAATGATGAGCCCGGCCATGAAGCCGCCGAAAATAGGGTGAATACCAATGATGCCCGTAAAGAAGGCAGAGACCAGGGCAATCAGAAGAATGAGCGAGATGATGCTCTGCGAGGGACCATGTTCGAGGCTTCCATTGCGGCGCAGCAGCCACAAAAGAGAAGGTTTGACGACGATTAAAAGGAGAAGCATAAACCCAGTGGCAGAAAGTAGGATCCAAAGCGAGTTCAGGCCTGAACCAGCATTTACAAGCGCCACACACAAGGCAAGGAGAATCCACCCTGTCCATTGTAATTAGCTCAAATATCCGTCGGAGAGAGGATGGTTTGGCAAAGCTCACCGACGACATCATTTGCAACACCAGCAGAGAGGGTGATGACGCCGACGTTGGTATCAAGAAGCTTGAGCTCCGTCAAAATACGACACAGGACCGGGAAGGCCTTGAGTGCGGCGAGGTCGGTCAGCAAGACGGGGAAACGGCACCAACACCGACAGGACGGTTTATGCGGAGACGTACCGTGATTGCAACTGCAATACCAATGAAGAGCATGTAGACCTCAAACTTGATTGGGACCAATCCCTCGTCACTGCGGAATGCATGATACACACCATATGCCAGCGCACAGCCAACGCCAAAAGGAAGAGCCAGCCCTGCAACGGCAACAGAGGTCGCGATTCGCCAATTGCTAATCAGAAATCGGACATCGGTTTCGAGTCCGATAAGGAACAAGTACAAAATCAATCCTAGGTTTGCGACATTGGAAAGATTGGGCAACGAAGCGTCGGGAAAGATGGCCTGTCGAAAGCCAGGGATACGTCCCATGACCGAGGGACCGAGAATAATGCCACCGACAACTTCAGCGATGACCCGAGGTTGTCGAATTTTTGACAATGGCCAATGCAGGAGATGACACACGGTGACGATCAGCACCGTCTAATGCAATGTCAGTCATTAGTTCAGTTTCTCGGGCATCCGGCCCCGGTACCGACGACGGGAAGCATGTCAATTGCAGAGACGCGGCCACGAACCTGGATAATAAATAGGATAATGGGGTCCTTGGGGTTGTATTTCGTGGGGTTTGCTCCATCGATAATGCCACCTTGATTTGACGCGCGAAGGGTGGAGGTAGCTGTGGGCGAAGACAGCGTCGCGGTGGCAGCTGAGACAATCGATGAAATGGCCGACATGGTGGTTGACGTAGCGCCGCAGACCTGCAGCAGGAGCTCGCAAGCTTCTCAAGCCAAACGACGACTTGAGTCGTCTATTTCACCTGGATGGCAAGCCCGGCAGGGTGATTGAACATTGAAAGCATCAGACCAGTCTGGCTGACCACGCCTGGGGGGGCGAAGAGGGCAAAGGTAGGTATTTAAGCAGGCGTCAGCTCGAGAAATCTGGGGAGGAGCCCACGGGGAAGGAGCCCACAACCGCTGCCGCAAGCAAGAACTACTCCGTGCAAGGCTTTCCGTGTTAAAATCTCACAATCCACTTCGAGTCAGCCAACAAGGTAACGCAGCGCGACACGCCAAATGGGTACATTGCCCAGCCCAGCCTTGTCGTTCTGCTCCGTATGCCTCCAAAACGGAGCACAGTGTTGAGCAAGGCGCGGATGCCCTTGAGCTATTGTCCCATGTGATGGTGCCACCACGGTGAGCCAAGTCGCCAAGCAGCACCCAGAGGCTTGGGCTTGTGGAGGCTTGAGGGGGGGGATCTGCGGCGGTGAATCGAAGACGAGCGCAAACAATAACACCCAGCGCCCTGGTAGGCAACGACTCCATATGTTGGTCCAAACGTGGCGTCCAGCTTCGGGGCGGGCGTGAACGGGCTGCGTGTCACGCGAGAATCGTAATATGCTCATGTATCCACAGCCTGCATGTCGGCCAACAAAAAGAAAAGACGCAAGGGTGTCCCGAGATTGAGCAGCTGTCCAACAAGTCAGCCTCGTGATACATGCAATGTCTGTGATGCCTGCTTTTTCGTGAAATAGCAGGAACAGGGGTTGGATCGTGCGAGTGCCGTGCACATGTCTGGGGGAATGGCATGCTGTGGCGTCGTAACCTCCAATCTATTTAAGTAAGGGTATCAATTGATGGCTGGCATGGGAGTTGACAACAGGGCTACGCGGCGATGTCAAGTTTAACTGCTCCACCTCGTGCGGAGTACTGGTGCACATGTCTGAAGTGCCGTTGAGCTTATCGCTTGTTCAGCCGCTCAAACTAAACCTTATGTCGATTGTGTTAAATACTACGACTACTACTACTACTACTACTACTACTACTACTAGAGGTAACAACGGGCATTTTTGCATATCCTTGTTTCGGCATTTCTCTATCATTCTGGACGATTGGTTTTCTCTACTACCAGTCTTAAGTACCTACTACCCAGGTACCTAAGGTTCTTAGTATGAACTTGATATTATGCCGAAATGGGAAACCCTTCTTACCATGCATCGCCACATGTGCCTTACCCTACATCCCCTCAGCTTCGTCACAGAGTTTGGTCAATAATGGTCTTAATTGTGCCATGAATCTTCGAGTCCCAAGAGTCGCTCGTCAGAGCCGAGGTGACGGCGACGACATCCCCGGAGCACCTGGATGCGGACCATCTAACATCCCTCAAGACTGCAGTCGATAATGTTCTGAATACAGGGCTTGCAGAAGAAACTTTTGCCCAGATCGTAGATGGACTTCCCACATATTCATCCTTCTTGGAGCTCCATGTCTTCTCTAAGCGTCTGGGACACCCTGATTTTCAGCACCATGCCATATGCGAGGGGGCCATCGAACAAACACGACAGTTTCGATCTGCTTTTAACATTTCTTCACTGCGATTTGAACCTTCTGTAAGTAAATGAGCGCCCCGTAGTTCATTTCTAGATCCTTTTTCTGACGCTTGCCTTCCTGGAGGTCTTGCAAACGTATCAAGACTCTGCACCCGGCAGCAGAGCCTTCGCACTGTCTCTGGTAGAGCTTGTGGCTGTTGCATGCCATCAGATTGCTGTATTTCTTTATCAGCTAGGAGGAAGCATACATGGCAAAGAATATAATTCATGGCTAGCCCAGGAGAAAATACTCTTTGACCAGGGACACGAAAAGTATAAGGATGGCGGCTTGCAGCCTCCAGTTCCATTTTACCATTACCAATACTACAATCACCAACAATATCCCCAAGGAGTTTCTGACATGGTTGGATATTGGGCCGAAATAGTCATATTTGGAGGAGGAGTCCTTTTTGATCGATGCGACAGTGACCCAGATGTAGGTGCTTTCTTTCTTTTCTCCCCCCCTTTTGAATGCGTGGAATCATACTATGGCGCGGGCTGACCTGAAAGATCAAACACGTCTTTATTCACGACGGCCGAGTTATAGGTCCTAAAACTATATATCCTTGAACTTCTCAGCAGTTTGACAATGTCATTTCCTTCTTGCTTGCCGAAGAAGGACATGTACGCCCCTGCCCATTTCCCATCCGTGGAACTCCAGACAATCGGCCGCGATTCGACCCCTACTATGCAATGAGGTATTTCAAGATCTATAGGAATCGCTACGAAAGACTGCTCCCACCGATTCTTTGGAGGAGACATATATTCTCGTCGACTGATTACCCGGAATTGGATGACAGGCGAGGCCTAATGTACCACTTGTATGAAGTTGGGTCAGGAGAAGCGGAACACGACGATGAATTGGTGAGATATTATGAGGAGAGATTGAGATTAATATCGCCTTCTTGTCCTATTTGGAGTATGGGGGGAGACTACGACTAGGAGCTCAATGTTACGCAACGCTCGTGACGAATTTATACGACGACAATACGTGCATTTGGATAGCATCATATTTGAAAAGATGATGATTCATCGTCACGAATGCCAACCATAACATGGAAAGCACACAAGCCTACATGATCAGGCTGCTGTTGTGCGTTATGGGAAAACATTGAAGTAATACAGTGCACCCTGGACCCTGGAACATGACCCCCAAGCGAACACGATGCAAAAGGAAATATATTTTGAAAGCCTAGAATACTTTGATGTCCAGATTCAAAGTTGGATCACTTACATGTTTTTCAAGACGATGAATCACAATAGAAATCGTTTCCAATGAGGGTTCTCCACGAAGTGCTTGAGTCACTGTATACCATCGTTGGGCTTCCAAAATGTATGCAAGTCGCGTTTCCGGTGACTTCATTCACACATGGCCGAAATACCCCAACGAGCCTCCGAGCGTCTGGTGGCTGCACATGTGCCTCGAGCCAACGGCCGTTTGGTGTTTTGTAGAGGTCTGGCTCGATACAAGTGCCATGTTCGTACAGTGTACTGCAGTGGGAGACAAAGAGTATCTGAATAAGCACATCAGGTACTTGGCCATCGCGCTCTATACCGTCATATGCCTGTTCGTCCAGTGCACTGCAGTGGGAGGCAAAAAGTATTTGACTACTTACTTTACTTAAGTAAGCAGGTACCTGGCCATCGCGCTCTATACCATCATATGCATGTTCGTAGAGTGCACCGCAGTGAGCGGCAAAACATTAAAGTATCAAGTTTGATTTGAATAGGCGGGTACCCGGCTATCGCGCTCTATACCATCACATGCTCTAGTATATTAGTGTATACCTCTAGGTGGGCAAACACACGCTGCCACAGACCGTAGTACGCGTGCGGCTGTGACTCTGTGAGCATGGATGCATGTCTCGGGTTCACGTCGACCGGCTTAGTCCAGTCTGCATCATTCTGCAGTGGAAGAAAAAGTTCGGCAATGCCCCGCCATTACGTAGCAGTTGGCAGCTTCGGCTCATTTGGTGGCGCCAGCACAGCCGGTGGCACCAAGCAAAGTTACATCTGAACTTGACATCTCGCTCACTTCGTCATCTCGCCTCCTATCTGCGACACGCGCCACCGGCGAAGAAAGCGTCGTTATTTTTTTTCTTCCTCACCGTCCCCCTTCCACGTCAACGTTGCAACTGCCCCCCCTGAATTCTCTCTACTCGGGTAGTTGGCGGCTTTACGTCCCGTTTCGCCCATCATGGTCGTCGACACCGCCTATTACGATACCCTGGGCGTGCAGCCTACGGCCACCGAGCTTCAGATCAAGAAGGCCTACCGCAAGCTGGCTATTGTGCACCATCCAGGTAGAGTCGCCCTTCCATCTTGTGCATATGGGCGTATATCGCGAGAGACAGACACAAAGTTCTCGACGCCACTCCGTCTCTTTGGCGCCCAGCCGTATCGCAACCCACCACTAACCCGCTGCAGACAAGAATCCCAATGATCCCGCCGCCCACGAAAAATTTCAAGAAATCGGCGAAGCCTACCAAGTCCTTTCCGACACAGAGCTCCGCAAGGCATATGACAAGTTCGGCAAGGATCGTGCGAAGCCGCAGGAAGGCTTCACTGATCCAGCCGAGTTCTTCACGTCCATCTTTGGCGGCGAGGCCTTCGAGGACTGGATTGGCGAGATCAGCCTGATGAAGGATCTCACGGCCACCATGGACATCGCCATGGCCGAAGGCGAGGACCAGCCGGAGACCCCAGCGAATGTTGAATTCCCCGGCACCGAAGAGGCCAAGAAGCAGAGCGCACAGGAGTTCGCAGAAAAGGAGACTGCCGCTGCTGCTGCCGGAGCTCAAGGCGCTCCCGGCGCTCCTCCGCCGCCAACCGTCGTCGTCGACGAAGAAAAGCCCAGCGGCACCGCTCACCCCGCGACTGCAGCCGGACCTACGCCTCCCCCCCGATCAGATGCCACCTCCCCCGCGCCGTCCTCGTCCTCACGCAACCGAACACAAATCCCCCTCCGACCCGCGCTCAGCGACAGACCCCACGACGAAGCATCCATCCAGGCCGCCGAAGAGGAGCTCCGCCAAAAGGAGAAGAAAAAGGGCGGCCTCACCAAGGAGCAGCGCGAGCAGCTCGCCGCCTACGAAAAGGAGCGCGCTGCCATCCGCCAGAAGCGAGTCGATACGCTAGCAGAAAAGCTGCTCGACCGTGTGAGCGTGTGGACCGAGACCGACAAGGGCGACGACGTCACCAGGGCTTTCCAGGAGAAGATGCGCCTCGAGGTGGAAAACCTCAAGATGGAATCATTCGGCATCGACATCCTCCACGCCATTGGCCAGACGTACGTCTCCAAAGCATCCGGTCTCCTGCGCAGCCAGAAATTCCTCGGCATAGGCGGCTTCTTCAGCCGCCTCAAGGACAAGGGCACCCTGGTAAAGGACACCTGGAACACGATCAGCAGCGCCCTCGACGCGCAGCAGACCGTCGAGGACATGGCCAAGATGGAGGCCAAGGGCGGCGAGGACTGGACCGAGGAGAAGCGCGTCGAGTACGAGCGCCGCGTCACAGGCAAGATCCTCACGGCCGCATGGCGCGGCAGCAAGTTTGAGATCCAGAGCGTCCTGCGCGAGGTCTGCGACAGTGTGCTGTACAACAAAAAGGTTTCCCTTTCCAAGCGGTTAGAACGTGCGCAGGCGCTCGTCCTCATTGGCGATATATTCCTAAAGGTATGGTTTTTTCCCCCTTTCCGTTTCCCCCACAGTTTCAGCAGCGAATGCAAGCCACCCCGTCAAAGAAAAGTTCCTTCTGACCCCTGTGTGCGTTGCAGGCCCAGAGATCCCCCGAAGAAGAAGGCGACTACCTCGTCTTTGAGCAACTCGTGGCCGAGGCCGCTATCAAGAAGGACAAGGACGAGGATAAGCGGAAAAGGGACAAGAAGGATAGACATCACCGCCACGCCGAGGAAGTTGCCGGCGATGCGCCGAATGTTCCCAAGGCGTAAAGTTACCTAGTACTACCGTGGAGGGTCGGGCTTGAAGAAGAAGAGAAAAACCAGCGATGGATACCAAGGGGCAGAAAGTATAATCTGGGATGATGGACTAGCATGTGGACGAGTTGTGTGTGAATGGGCCGACAGAGTATAGACCAATTGCAAACGGGGGGTGTTTTAGACCAAGATAAGGAGTCAAGTAATATACACCTCACATCTCTCTTTCTTTCAATTGTGTCTTTTTTCAAACATCATTATCGACATATACCTCGAGAAGGGATAAGCACAGCATGGGCACAGGGGCAGGAGGGAAAAAACAAAAAAAAGAAATACTGTATCAAATCATCAATTGGCCATCTATCCGGCTTGCTAGATCGCCCTTCTATCCTGTATCCGCTACATCAAACACGCCCAATTTCCATCCCGAGTCGAATAAAAGAAATGGCACAGTGCTCCCCCCGTCTCGGACTCATCCCACCTCCCTTTCCTTTCCTTTCCTTTCCTATGCTATCTATTTATCTGGGGTATCTGGGATTTTTACACAAGAAACGAAACTTGTAAGCGACAAAAGAAAACAAAAAGAGACAGAACAATGTAGACAACGATAATATAAATCCAGCTTCAGTGGACATATGGATGAATCGCAACAGCGGCGGGGGTATCGGTGAGCAAGGACGCAAGTATAAAGGACGAGGCTGAACGATCCATTGTTTTCGAGACGAATGCGTGAATGAGTGCGCTCGTGCGTGAATTTGTAGGGTAAAGTGTATGTATCAAGAGCTGGAAATTTGAGGCGAATAATGAAAAAGGCCAGGTAAAGAAAACGCATGCAAAATGTTCGAAACGCCGTGAAACCCAGTTTTTGCGCCATGTATGCTGTCCCTTGGTATCTGCTGCGACCGTGTGCGCGCAGTAGGAATCTGTAAAACATTATTTTGGGTGGTAAAGAAAATAGCAAAATGAATGTATTCGGTGAGTGGTGATGGTCCATGTTGGAAGTGGCTACAAGCGTCCGCTGCGCCTGTCAGTCTAGTCGCGACAAGCGGTAAATGAGGGTATTAGCCGCCATCTGTTGGCAATTCTATCCCGCTGTCCCGATCCTGGGAAGTCTTTGGCCAAGGCGGTTCCAGGCCGTGGCTACCACTCTGTATCGTGGCTTCTTCCTGATATGAGACCTCATCATCATAGTCGTCGGATGGCGCCAACACCCGTCCGCCAAGCTTAACATCAGACACTCGAACGTTATATTGGAGGGCCTTTTGGCCCTCTTTGATTAGAGTCTCGGTAAAGTCGAGGCAGCGTTTCAGACTTTGGTTGATCCTCTGACTGTCAATAAGCAGTTCTTGGTGTTTGGTGAGGTCTAGGTGAAGCCGCCTTTCATCTCGTCTTCGTCGAGCATCCAGCTTCGCACCTGATAACATGATGTCTTCTGTGCTCATGGTATCATTGCTCGACAGATCGGTGTCATCAAACGAATCCATATCCCCTTCCAACTCCATCTCGTCCTCTTCGTCCACGTCAGACATATCTGTAGGTGGCTCGGTTAGAGCTAGAGAAGTCACCCGGCTAGATGCTGCTGACAGGGCTCCTGATCTAGAGAGACGGCGATAGCGTCGCAGCTCGGCGGTTTGTTTGCGAAGCTGCCGCTCTAGCGTTCTGTTGATAGCTTCTAGAGATGCGTTGGTAATCTCCAGGTCCTGCACCTTGCGTTCTCGACGTGCATTGGCAACGAGTTCGCTGACAGAATCACCAAAATGTGCAGACTTCGTAGGGCTCCGGGGTACTTGGGACACATCAGATTGGGCATCCCCCTCTCTTGATTCGGTTTCGTCTTGTAGCTCGTCGGCGACTTGAAAAATAGAGGCCATCGTCATGGCAGGCTGCGAGAAGCCAGGGCTCAACGGTGGGGACACCGAAGCTGTCTCGGAGCATTTCGTTGACAAGTTGAACCGAGGAAGTGTCAGTGGCTCAAAACCAGGAACACTTCCTGCTCTCCTGTGCCCGCCCATCTCCTTCGGCGCAGTGTCTATGCTTACTTTTCTTCGAGAAGCAGAGGACGCTTGCTGCGGTAATGACGGAGGGGATGATACAAGGGAGGTTCGTTTTGGAGATGGTGGCGAGGCGACATTGTTTCTCAATGTTTGCGACATGGCAGTTGATGCTGCCTTGATTGGTGACGCTGGTCGCTGAGGCGGTGGAATGTTAAATGCAGCATTAGGGTTGCCGGTAGGTGGTCGTGAAGTAGCTATTCGAGAGTTCGAAGACACAACGGATTCCGAGGTGGACTGGAGTATACCAGGCCTCAGGGACACGTCAGGTTTTCCGTTGGCGTAGAAGAATTTGGTTGTTGCGGATTCGGGATTCGGGCTCGCGAGAGAAATCGATGCAGCATTAGACGGCGGGCTAATGTTGCGGCCTCCATCGGCCGTTGACCCATTGGCATAGAAGAAGGTGTTGGCAGACTTCTGAGAAACCGACCCCGGTCTCTGCAAGCCTCCCTGTTGGATGCATCTTGCGTCGCTAGCATAGAAGAACTTGCTGGAGTCATTGGGGTCACTGGGAATATCCAACTGAGATGCTGTCTGTCTAGGCAGGTCATTCGCAGGCGGGGATACCCCCAGGCCAAGTCTGCTGGCGTTGTTGTTGTTGTTGTTTTCAAAACTGTCGCTCGTTCTCTCAGGGTTGGGGGTACCGTTCGGGGTGGAATTTGCACTATCGACCCGGCTTTGCCTAGTACCCGAGCGCGGGGTAATATTATGAGTCAAAAAGGCAGTTACGGGAGTAGAAACATCGTCTCGCGGGTTCTGAGAACCAGCAAGCGTCGGGGTCGAAGAGTGAGGCCGTCTTGCCAGAGGGGTCACAGGAGGTCCCTTGGCGGCAATCTTAGGAGTCAGAGGGGTTCGGTTAATAGATCTTGCCGCAGCAGCACTCAGCTGGGGCTGTCGAGGCCTTTCGCCGGGAGGCATATTCGTAAGGCTCGCTGGAGGGGAGCGCGTCTTCACGGCTAGCGAAATGACATGTTGCTTGTGGTGTTGAGAGGACGAACGCAACGACGCGTGGGACGCACCGGCAGTAGTAGCAATGACAGCAGCAACAGCTGGCGCCGGCGTGGTGGAGGAATTGGTGGTGTTAGCGGCCAGCCCAGGAGTGGGGAGCCTGGGCAGGTGCCGGGCACTGTGGCGTGACAACAATGGCAGGTGCGGCTGCGTCGGGGCCCCTCTTGGCGCCACTGTAGGTGACACTGTAGCGGTTACCCGGGGCTTCAGCGTCGGAGTCTGGCGGGGTGATGGCGAGTAAGAGGAAGGAGCAGAGACGATCCGGCGAGTCGTCGTCGCTGTGTTGCGGGCAGGGGGCGCGGCCGCGGGCGTGGGCGTCCCTGCGGGAGCAGATGCAATAGACGACCTCGACGGCTTGGACGACTTGGACGACTTGGACGGCCCGATGCGTGTCGACGATGCGGCACCGGTGGTTTTGGTCTCGGGTTGGGTGTTTTGGCAGCCAGAAGCAAAGTCGAGGCGTCGCATTTCCCGGCCTGTCAAGGTGCAAGTGCACAGCAACGACTCGGCTGCATCTGGCTGACACAAGGGAGAGTGAAGTTGGACAGGTGTCGTCTGAGCTGATGGACGGCATATGCATCAACTTTATGAATTAGGGGGCGGACCGGCGCGGCGGGACCAGACATGTGCAGATATGTGACGAATTGATGGACAAGGCCAGAAAGTGAACTTGGAAAGATCGATAAACCTACATTGCCTTAAGCTAGGCGCGAAGGAGCAGAAGAACATTGAAGTAAAAAAAGGGCGTGAATCGACTCAGCCATAGCACTTGCATCGTGCATAAACTTGCATTTCAAAACGATCAGATGTTTTCATTAGCTTATTTGGGAACTGGGGTCAAGGGGCGATCAGCCAACCACTGCGGAGTACGGAGTAAACGATTTAATGTTTGTGGTCTAGCCAGCGACAAGCCTATGGAGCCGTCGCACGCTTCCAACTCGAGCACTTTTCAAAACATGGTGTTGGCAGATCCCCCGTGCGTCACCGGCTCTTTCTTTTTGGCCAAGCTGATGGCAAAAATGGCACGCGTAGATGTGCGCCCTTGGGAGTTGCAGGTACAGGGGCAGGCAAAGAGCATTTGGGCAGATCAGATACCCAGCTATCGCGCTCCATATTATCATACAAACATGTATACTGCAATAAATTAGTGTATACTTCTTGGTGGGAAAATCTATTCTACAACAGACGTGCTAGTATGTACATACTACTAATAAAGGTTCTGTTCAGCCACCTGGTAGGTCTAACATTGCCGGGCCGCGTTTGTGCCATGTTTCAATGTTTGTTATTTGGAACGTGAAACCCTGACTTACCGCCTTGTGCACGTGTTATTCGAGGCTTTGTTTGTACACGCGCTCTAGCCACCTCCACACTTCAATGCATTCAAGCCCCACGTCTCATTCCGCAGCTACTATTAAAAGCATCACTCATGTCTTGCCCGTCTTTGCACTGTGTGGAAGAGGATCTTCAGCAAACAAAGTAATCCTCGCTGTTGCGGCCAATGCCCCGGGTGCTGCTGACTCTCTCATGAAGGCATGAGCACCTCGAGTCTAGCATTGACTGATAGTGCCCTGCGAAATACTACCTAGGTACGGAGTACTTGGTTATGCAAGACGTGACACGCGGACCGAGATTAAAAATGACAGGCCCACTTGCTTTATGCGTCCACAAAACGCGAACCAACCCGCGGGTTGAACTCAGTCATGCATGCTTGCAACAGCCACTCAGAGCAATGTGATTTGACAGAATAGGCAGTGTAAAGAAACATGTTATCTAGATAAACCTTAGGCCGAGCCAACTGAGACTCGTCATGGAGCTCAGCGAAACCTACCTGCCCATGGACAACCGCATCTCTTGGTCAGCCAGCGTTCCAGCGGAAGTGAGTTGTGCTATGACTCACTAGTTCTCGAATATCTCGAGATTGACATGTGAAACGCATCCCAAGTTCGCCACCCCAAGTGCAAAGTTCAGCCACCATTAATGCCGCCAAACCAACTCTCCAACGTCCTCGCGTGTTTAAATTGTACATAGCATATATTGAGTCCCAGATCGATCCTACCACATGGTTTCGTATCGCTGATCGCATCTCAAACGGCTAAGAATAGTCTTCCTTTACATGGCCTGCGTCCTCTTCGTTGCTTCGGAAAAGTAGATCCGACAGGCAATCAATAATTTGGTCAAAGAGGTGTATTGTACCACTGGCGAGCTTATTAAATTCGATTTGTAATCAATCATGAAATTCCACACCCATGATTCACAGAACAAAAATAAAAAAGAAAGAAACAACCACGGTTTCGCTCTCGCAGTGAGCTGACCAAGGCCTCATGGGCATCTGCTTGATTCCATGCCGTGGCGCGCCAAAAGGTGGAGAAATGGCGGGAATAAACGCCATTCAAACGTTGCAATTGATTCCGATTCCACATCGCCTTCTTGATTCGGCATCTAAGTCGGACACAAACTATGAGGCGTCAATTTAGAGTTGAAACGGCTTAGAAATTCGACGTCACTTGGTTTCGCAAATCGCAACGTCGATTTATACTTTCGTAATATATATGCAAGGCTAGGTTGCGATGGTAGTCGTAGTCTTGAGCAATCCCGCATCAAACTATATCACAGCGAGCAGTTATATGAAGCATCACTTCAAAAACGTGAATCCGCTGACCCGGCATACTAAAACTCGCAGATATATTAAACGCAAACTCCGCACACAACATGTCCATGAAAGCCATCGTCATCTCAGCATTCGGGCCTCCCGAAACTCTCGTCGTCAAAGAGGTCCCCAGACCAGCGCCTACTCCAAAAACCGCCCTCATCCGCATCCATGCCTTCGGCATCAACCACGCCGAGATGCACATGCGCCGCGGCGAATGGGCCGAATCCGTCCCCATCAGCGGCATAGAATGTGTCGGCACCGTCGAGACCTGCCCCGGCGGTGAGTTCTCACCAGGGACACCCGTCGCCGCGCTAATGGGCGGCCTTGGTCGCACAATCCCAGGCAGCTACGCAGAGTACACCGTCGCGAGCGTAAACAACATTGTTGCGCTTGGCACGCCCGGTGACGAGCTGCCTATGTCGTGGGCCGACGTTGCGGCGCTGCCAGAGAGCTACGCAACAGCCTGGACGTGTCTTTTTCGTAACTTGGACCTGAAGGCCGGCCAAAGGCTGTTGATCCGGGGTGCTACGTCGTCGTTTGGCCGCGCGGCAGTCAACCTGGCAGTTGACGCGGGAGCAGTGGTTACAGGGACCACTCGCTCGGAATCCAAGTTTGGCGAGTTGAAGAGGCTCGGCGTGACGAATGTCGTTCTTGAAGGCGCAAATCTCGGAGATAGACTTCAAGAGCAAGGTGCTTCCGGCAAGTTTGACGCTGTATTGGAGTTGGTTGGGAATTCTACCGTTGTAGAGTCCCTGAAACTGGTCAGGAGGGACGGCCGTTTGTGCCTCGCGGGCTGGCTAGGCGGACTTGATCCCATTCAGGGACCTGGACCGAAGCCCGGGTTCAATCCGTTGTTGCAAATGGCTAGCGGTGTTCATTTCAGCTTTTTTGGAAGCTTTGTGTTCGGGTCCGACGAGTTTCCCGTGTCGGATGTTCCGCTGAGGGACATTATCGACAAGGCGGCTGAAGGCAGGTTTGATGCCCGGCCGTGGAAGGTGTTTGGCTTTGGGGAGAGTGGAATTCGAGATGTGCATCGGGTCATGGAGGCGGGTGAGGCTGGAGGGAAGATGGTTGTGGCTTTTGAAGTAAACTGACACTATCAATGTCCATCTTAACTCTCTCCATGTTTGACTTCTGGAACCAGACCAGTTGCAGGTCCCAGGCCCCACCAGACGTACCTCTAAACTTACATGTAAAGCGTCTGGTCAATACGTGTAGCGGCCCCGCCGCGCCCTGAGCCACTAGTTGGCATCCCTTGCCAGTAGCTGCGCACATGCTTCCACTTGCCAGTAATAACCTCAACATCTGTCATCAAAGTCGGCTTTCAACCTCAACCATCCACCAAAGCTTCCAACACCAATCCTACCTTCGCGACCGCACGAGATCCCGGCCCATCGCGACCACTTACTATGGGCCTTCTCGGTATCTCCCTCATAGTTGCCTCCGTCGTCTACGTAATCATCCGACCGCCAGGCTGGCTAGCGCACATACTACTTCAATGGCGCCCCTCTGGAGGCGTAATTGCAGACACTCCAACAAGACAAAAGCGCGTCCAGGATGACACGGCGCCGAGGATACAAGAAGATGCCCTTTCCATTGAGGAACCTCTGCACTCTTTGAACGGCCTCGCAAAGAAAGCAACCCCAGCAGAATCGAAGCAGTTGAAAGATGCCGCAGTGATGCCTCCCTCCCCTCCGCAATCAGTCATCGAATTGCCCACGCTCATGGTCGACGAGCCCGAAGGTTCAACTACGCCAAAAGCAATGGCAAACAAGCCATCCGATCCAGTACCTAGCTTCTCGTTATCACCCGAACCGCTCACATCGTCCAAATCCTCGTCGAGCATGATGCCTCCTCCTCCTTTGCCGGCACGTCTGTCCGCAGGACGCATGCCAACGCTGCCTCAATTCCCAGCGCCCAACTCGGCCCAGCGTGCCCGCGGACCTGTTCCAAACCGTGGACCACCAGGGCTATCTGTCCCCAGCGCTGGTCTCACCCCTCCGCCAACGCATTCAAGCAAGCCCCAAAAACCTAGCCGCAAAGTACTGCTCGACCCAGGCCACTCGCCCCTGGACTGGGCACGTATATCCGGGCCCAACGCTGACCTGCGAGGTGTCGAGCCGTCAACGCCATATCTTCGCGTTACGCCGTCCATGTTGAGGAACCAGACGGGTCGCAAGGGCAAGGATGCTTGGATGGCGTTAAACGGCAAGGTGTACAACATTACGCCATATGCAAAGTTCCATCCTGGCGGTATTCCGGAATTAATGAGGGGAGCTGCCAGAGATGGTACCAAGTTATTCGGTGAGATCCACCCTTGGGTTAATTACGAAACCATGTTATCTGCGTGTTTAGTTGGATTATTGGTGGAGGAACCGGATGATGGTTCGCAGGAGAGTGAGATGGATAAGATGGATTAGACTTGTAACGCGGTCATGAACCTTGTTAGCTTTGATTTTTGTACAGCTTTTTGGCCGGCTTGGGATAGATCCGCCACAACGGACATATATACTTAGAGAAGATACCCCTGACAGAAAATATAGTACACAAAACCGTAACATCGCGATTGGGTATTATGACTCCCAGCTATCGTCGCTTACCAAATCTAAACTTAAGTTCATCTTCGCTATCATCGCTATCGGCTTGAATAGCTCGTAACGCTGGCCTTTGTCTTTTGGCTCGCTGGCCCGACAATGACTCCGCAGCAGACCTCTTCTCTTGTGTTGCTCTTGCCTGTCGGGATGAACTAGTCGATGTAGTTTGTGACGGTGTGGCCGTGACTTTCGTGCTACTTGTTCCCACAGAACCTGTCTGTTTTCCGGGTCGTACACTGTCAGGTGCGTCATCTTCCTCTTCACTCTCCGAAACGACAACATGAGTTGCGCGGTGTCGAGGCGATGGCTCTGCTACAGACGCTGAGTTTTGCGTGCTCTGAGCGGAGCGGACCTTAGTTGGTGACCTCTTCCGCTCGACACCTTCATCTTCCAGCCAGTAATTATCACCTATTCCAAACTCCTTGTTCTTGACCTCTTGCAGGGCAACGATGGTTCTGACGGGTAGTCTACCCGTTGCTTCGCCTCGTGATCGGAACTTTTTGAAATTTTTCATTCCATTCCATTTCGGATTCCAACGGCCATCAACAACATCTTTCTCTCTGGTTCTGGCATCTCGGGTCGATACGCGAATCTCCATCTCTTCCACTATGTTCAGACGGCGGATTTCAGCTAGGTCAATGTCGTCAGGCAGATTAGCCAGATCCTCACGCTCAGCACGAGCCCGGGCCTCCTCCTCTTCACGGTGACGAGCAGCCATGGCCAGAACGTTCAGCTTTTCCTTTGTCTTCTTCGCTGTGACTGTGGCAGGTTCTGGCTCGGGCAACGGTGAAGGTGGAGCAAAGTCTTCACCTCTTTCTAGTCGTTGTCGCTTGAATCTAGCTACTGCTGGTGCCATGCCGTCCATGAGATCATCCTCTATTGAGGCTGTCCTTTTCCGTGCCTGACTATCGTATATGCCAGGGGGTGGTTGTGATCCGGCCATATCAGGCTCCTGTGAAACGAACAGGCCCCCTTCATCCTGTTTTTCCGCCCGGCCTGGCGCGGAGTCTCGAGGCAGAGAACCCACGACTAGGTCGTCCATGTCAATGTCGGCATCATCGTCAAATCCAGCGAACCGTCGCTTTACTGGTCTCGTGGTTCGAGTCCTTCTTGGTTGTGGTTGTTCCTCGATAAGTGGTTCGGTTTGTACGCTGGTAACATTTTCCGTCAAGGTTGGTTCAGGTTCGCCATTTTCCGCTGTTTGACTAGCTGGTGCTGATTCAACTTCCAGCGGCCGCCGAAGTATTTTGGCATCCTTGGTCAAGATGGCCTCTAAGAACTCATTTTGTTCTATGGGTCTGTGGTCGAGCCGTAATGATACAGCAGTGATGAATTCTGTGTACCACTCGATGTGTCCTCCTTTAGCTGGCAAATACCTAACAAGAACCACACCCTTGCCTTCGCTTCCATCATCAAAAGAGCCAAGGCCCTTTTCTCCCGCAACTTGTTTCACAAAACGGACGAATTCGTCCGTGTGAGTCTCACCAGTTGTGATGGATTCAAAAATAGCCTTTCCGCCACCATTCGTAATTGGCGCCATTAAATTATTGTACTGAGTTTTGTCGTAGAAAATAAAGGTATAGCCTTCAAAAACGTCTTTCCGGTCGCGATCCGGAGCATATATCGAATCCGGATGCTGTACGGGCTCGCCTCCACGCGGTGGTAGGTGCTCCATTGCACTTGGCCAATATGTGTCGAAATCCTGTTCCAAAGAGCTAGGCTCTGAAGCGTCATTTGCTTCTGCGGCTTGCGTTATCGCGTCCAAAAAGGTTTCTGTCACAACATATTTTCCGTTTATGAGGGCTTGCAACCCTTTTGCCGTATTGCGTTTTCTTGACACTACATGGGTTGTGTGCTCGATATTATAATCTGTCAGAAGCTTAACGTCAAGTTGCTCAAATCGTTCTTGGAGCGTAGTGAGCGGGTCCGTTTGTAGCTCTTTGCTGGTGAATGAGAAAGTAAAGGCCACCGGAAACCAAGTTATCCTATATTACCATGAGCGTTATAGGAAGCCAACGGCACAAAATCATACCATACCTAAACTTGCTCGGGCATTTGCCCATCGTAACCTCAAGCTCCGCTTCAGCGGCAACATATTTTTCACCCCGAATTTTCCGGCCATTGACAACTGTACCAATCTTTGTGCCCAAATCTTCGATTGTAAGCTTCGACCGACCAGTCAAATGCTGTGCAAATCCGGCCTTGACGGTTTCAACAGTTATCGTCAAGTGCTTCCGCGAAATAGTTGTGTGAGATATTGCCAGCTGTCCCGCTGATGAAACAGAAAGTCAGTATTCGAATGAATGAAAGAAGCGAAAGAGCTTGGAATAACGTACGCTCAGATGCCGTTCGGCCAAACAAGTAAGTCTTGCCGGGACGAAGCCAGAGGCGCCGTCCTACAAAGTAGTTAGTCGGGCCAGTATGGCGTAATCAGTTCACATGGACGGACCATCAAACGCATCTTTACTTTCCAGGAGCCACATTTTCGAGGCTCCGTACTAGAGCAGGCATGTCTCCAGGTATCCACGAAAGACTGAGCAAACCAGGTGTTTCTGATTAAGGCCGGAAGAACGTGAACTTCTGGCGGGGCGACATCTGGAGGAACGCGTTGGTGGCGCCTGCCAGTTGAACGCCAGTTCACGTGCGCAATTTGACAAGGGTTGTATCGCAGTTCGTAGAGGGTCAAGTACTCCGTACTAACACACAACAGATTGTACGTGGGGTGGCCACGCCCTTTTTTTCGTGCAACAGGTTTCCTTTCAACGTCAAACAAGTCATCCATAGTCAAATGACGCATATTTGTTCTATTGAATTCAACACCGCGTCGTCGTGTGATGTTTATAAAGCTCATACCTCTTCAAATACGTAAGCTGAGGTCACGCCGCTCAATCATATTATAGCGTCTCGTTAATTGAACCACTTGCGCGGATGATTACCTTATGTACGACCCTTTTCCCTTTGTTCGCTGCCAATGCAATTAACGCTGCGGATGACATACAGATACCATGCAGAAACCTCTATTGATTTTTGTGATTCCTATTTCTGGTTTGACTTTAGACCTTTTCTAATCGACAACAGTCGGTCACAATCTTCTTTCTACCCGCTTTCCTGCCTGCTTGACACAACTCTTCGTTATTCTCAATCTTAACTCGGTCAATATTGTCGGGGGATTCGTTAAGCATCCTAGCAATCTCGTCCATTTCGCCGACTTTCCAGCCTCTCACTGCCATGAGGCAAAGTGCTGCAGCGATATACATCAATCCGGTGAATAACTGCGTCCCAAGGTAGCTCCCAGTGCCCTGGACGATTTGAAGCGCAATAGGCTCGCTAAATAAGCAAGGCATTGCGATGATGAGCCAAGTCAAGCACAGCGCGGAAGGAACGTTTTTCAAACCAACCACTTCAGCTGTAACTGGGCCAATTGTGGTCCAGAAAGTACCAGCAACACTGCCGCAGATAATGGCAAAGAAGATCAGTACGCCATAGACTTTGGCGTTGATCCAGATAACCAACGCAAACACACCGGCCAGGAACGTCATGAATCCAGACATGTTGATTCGACCTGTTTGATCACTAAAATACCCCACGAAAGGCCGACCAACTCCTTGACCCAGGTTAAAGAATGCACTGATGAGTGCAGCTTGTGAGCTCCCGAGTCCGATCTGGTTCGCATAGTTGGCTAAACTGAAGATAAGCACGACATAACCCAGCATACTAAACCAACCAAACCCAAGAAGCAACAGAAATTCGGGTCGTTTCAAGAGTGTCGTGTCAAACGCCAACTGGCTGGATCCAATAATCTTATTTCGATCCTTTATGAGTAAGATACAGGCCGTGTTGACAACAAAGGCCAGTATTCCTAGGATTCTGAACGCCCAATCTAGGCCCATATCCCGGATCATAGCACCAGCAGCGAACGAGTATAGTAGGCCCCCAAGGCCAGAGCCACAAGCGGAAAATCCATTGGCTAGAGATCGTTTTGTGGTGAACCACTGTGGCACAATTCCAACTGAAGGTGTAAACAAGAACCCCATACCGAGGCCAAAGAGAACGCCCTGCGTTAAAAAGAGATGCCAGATCTTGCTTGCTAAACTAGCACAGATGAGACTTGCTGTTTCCATAATAACACCCATAAACATGGTTGGCTTGGTTCCGAATTCTCGCACACATATCGTTGCGACTGGAGAGATGATGAGTGCGCAGCTAATGCTCAGTGAGCCCACAAAGGCATATTGCAGTGGGGTGGCCTCGGGAAACGTCTTGTTTGCCAGATAATGGGCGAGAAAGACACCATAGCTTGAGTTTAGGCCCCAGGTATGTGCATTGACAAGAGCCACGCAGGCGGTGCAAACCCATCCATAGCCTCCATTTGGGGGTGGGGGTGGGACATAATTGGCATCGGAATTGGATTGCGCTTCTATTGACGATTGCAAGTTCCGTTTCTCTGGATTCGAAATCCCTTGCGCACCTGCATCACTGCTTGGTTGTACCAGAGTGTCTCGGTTAAGAAGCTGTTTCTTGGCCAGCGATTGGTTGGCCGTGTCCATATTCCGCTCCATGTTCACCCTATATCAGCGATACAGGATTCGTTGCCGTCGCGAGAAAGCTGGGTAGGTGGCGAGGAACAAGTAGAGGATACTATTTCCTCCATCCCCAGATAAAAAAGAGGAAGAAGAGCTGAAATTCATGACCAGGCGCATCGGAAGCCGATCCCGCGGCCTTGATGAAAAGCGATTAGAAATCCGCCCCCAGAAACGGCATAGCGGACCACTTTTTTGGGATCTTCAACCGCCACTTCAGGACATATGACGGAAATATTGGCCGGAAATAGGGCCAACCCCTCAATCAACTGTGTCCGCTATGATTAGCCCTCGGCAAATCAAATCGGTTGAATAATGCCAGGTAGTTTCTTGGACTTCGCGAAGTCCATCTTGGTCGTACTGGGGCTCCTCCCTAGAACCATGCACACATAGGTAGATTGGCTATCTTTGCTGGCCCTGTTGCAGGAAACGCTCCTGTTGCTGGAGGACAACAATATGACGGTAGGATAGTCGATGCGTCTGACCAGACGGTTACGAAAAACTGTGGGTCTCTCTTGTGCGGCGCATAACCGAAGACCACCTCCGATTCTCGGATTATAATCCGGCGTTACGGAACTGTGACTGAATTTGAGGTTCCCATCTTGGCTCAGAAAGCTATCCTCGGATTGCTTCTCCCGAAGAATGAAGAAAACCCACTGGATAATTCATCAAATTCAAAAACTTATTTTCCGTCATGGAGGCGCCGAGTTCATTAACGAAAGCTGACACCTAGGCAGGTACCTACTAGTCATTTAGGTACGTGGACTCGGCCGGCCGCCAGCCTTAGGCTGGCTTCGGAGACCGCCGATGAAGTCCGCTGACAACACGTCTACCCGTTACTCATCGGTTGATGATTTTGGGCTCTGTCTCGTTAATTTATCAATATGCACGCGGTTTCCACCGGGGGGACATATCAAGGTCCAGCCCACCTCATTTTAGAAAGCAGACGCCGGATCAAAGCGATCTTGGTGGGTGTTTCGTTACGGCCTGGGAGACTAGTGCCGTATATCGTAGCCAACACCGGCGACCGCCAATCTCCTCCAGACTGCAATGCTTAAGTATAACGCGGAAAATTTCTTGTTTACAACGTGGATAGCGGAGTCCACTTCTAGAAGATCCATCCCAGATACTCGCCAGCTTCACTTAATTATCGTTGACGTTCGACAGAACACTTTAAAGCGACTACATGAAACAAAATAAGACAACATCAGAGGTGGGCATTAATAACGTAGCTCTCAAGACTATCGTATACACAAAAATAGCTTTTCTTCGATGGATAGCAAAATAAAGCAGTACATACGACAAATCAGACCTAGACGCCGTGGCCCAAAAGCAATATTTGAAACAAATGCTCCCCTCTCGATTGGTATCATTTCTCCTCTTTTCCTTTACCAACTCCTTCGTTAGAATCGAGTCACAAAATGAGGGCGATGCTCTTAAACCTGTTGACGCTCGCTCTTTCTGCGATCCTCACGAGCTTTTTCGGACCAGGGGAAGTGGAAGACGGGAACCTGGAAGAAAGAGTTGCTGCGAATTAGTGAGTATATGGTGCAACTTTCTTCGATCTTGGCCGTAATAGGATTGAACAAACCTGCTGTCCTGAATACCAGCCAAAGCACAATACCAGGCAAGGAAGGCGGCAAGGAAACCAAACACACCGCCAGTCTTCTGCAGAGCGACAGCGGCAGTTGCGTTGCCCATGTCATTGGCATACTGCTCGCAAGCAAGGAATAGGAAAGCCAGATCCAGAGTGAAGAAAAGCAGGAAGAACATGACAGTCGATCGAAGGGTACAGAGAAGGAGCATCGTCGTAAAGATGAACCAGCCAGTCAAGAAAAACCCAAGAGGACTGGAAACATGGCCCTCGTATGGGCCGGTCGGCGCAGTAATTCCCCAATTAGGGGTTAACAGGATAGCATACGAAATCCAGAAGCCACCATAAGAGGACAGAGCAGTAGCACCAAAGGTATTTCCGCAGGCAATTTCCCTGACGTAGTTGATTAGATTCAACACTTTAAATTCGTCCTCAGAGAAACCAGCACAGAACTTACCACATGCCAGCCAACAGTTGTACCAGGCCGCCATATCCAAACGCCAAGGGAACAACAATATTAGGCTCCTTGACACCGCGAGTGTGGGTGTTGATAGCAGAGAGCACGAAAGTAGTCAAGGCGAAAGCAGAGAGGCCAAGCGGAGCCGGGTTAGCGAATTTGCGGTGTTCATAAGGCTTCCACAGCCCAGGGTTCAGTGAGCCTCCTGATGCAGCGGCAAAGCCTGAATCCACCTGCGAGATGTCGTGGTGGTGGTGGTAATGACGTTGTTGAACACCATTGACACCGTTCGGCTCCTTCTCAACGGAAGTGGCTGGGGAGTTTATGTTCTCGGTAGCCATTGTGGTGGGAGAAGCTACTCAAATTGGGCGAGCAAGGAGGTTTCTTCTTGATATGTAGAGGACTGCAACTCAGTTTCACACTGGGGAGGAGCTCATATCACAACAGCACAACGAGACAAGATCAAGAGAGGTCCCAAGAGAGGTGGGGAGGGAGGGTCTCCCATTTTATAAGCTCACTGGGTGAACAGTAGGTTAAAAGCAACGGATGGAGGGGATAGACAGAGGTGGCCGTTGGGTCCTCCCGAGGAGGGCGGTTTGTCAGGGTCCACGACGGTGTGAGTGCCTGACACAATCATGGTTCGTTCTGGTCGACTGCATAGCACGGGGGATTCCGCAGACTCATGGACAAGAAAGCGGCCGGGGGTTGCACTGCTTCGTTTCTCGTCCGGGCCAGCGCGAGCTTCAAAGCCATCGTGTGTGGATATCAATGGAAGGATGGGACATGCGACGCGGGATGGCACCAGTCCGAGGTGCAGGTACGTACCGGCATGTACTCGGTTGCTCCAGAGAA